CCCGTCTGAACTGGACGAATTTACTGACTTAACCGAACAGGGTTCGGGTTTTACTAGGGACTCCGAACTGTGTTTTTGCCGCCTCGCTTTATGACAGTGAATCAGGCGCTCGAGCAGCTTATCGAAATTGAGGAGAAACATCAGGATGAGCGTACACCAAAAACACAATGTGTGTGGGTATGGCTCGCCTCGGTCAAAAGGATCAGACAATTATTGCTGGTACGATGAAGGAGCTACTGACTGCTGACTTTGGCGCCCCGCTGCACTGTCTTGCGATTACTGGAGAGGTTCATCCACTTGAGGAAGAGGTGAGTGAAAGTTTTCATATAGGATATACATGACTTGATCTTATCCTTCGCGTTTGTTGCAATGCAGATGCTCAAGCAATTCTACATACAAAAATAGAGAAAAGTGTTGGTGGCAAAGCGGCTGTACTTGCATGACTTCTTGTGTATTCATGCTAGTCAATACATTTCTTGTATGTGTATCATCTTCTCTTTTAGTACAAGAACTTCTGTAAGAGTTGGACCAGAGTAAGACGAGATGCAAACGAACTAGTTGCATCCTTCTAACAGGACTTGCGCCCGTTAAAAGTTTTCTTAGTCAGCTCATCCATAGACCGAAAAAATGCAACAGATACAACCTTTCTTGCAATCAGAAGAGCTTCATTAACGTCAAAAACTTTGTTGTGGTGGCATTTGCGTACTCATGAGAGTTGTTTTAGTCATTTATGCGATTTCAGATGGTTTATCTGTATGTTGAAATGCATTCTTCACTGCAGCATGATTTATTGCGCTTAAACGCCACACCAGTATGAACTTACCGACGATGCTTTTATCATCGAAACAATTGCAATCTTCCATAACAGCGAGCTTTGGTTCATGATCATGCTGCTTTCGTTGGGATTGACCATCGAGTCTCGAATACAGACGAATAAAGACTCCTTTTGTAACGGGGATACACGAAGGTGTGTATTTTACATTCACACCTACCACACCAAACGTGGTGTAGCTGTACCTTGAGGCTCGATGTGACCGTACTTAAAGTACGAAGGGTCGCATCGTGGCAGAGAGCCACGTGTTTGCATAAAACATGTTTGCCACATGTTTGCATAATAATAATAGGCTATTAAGCCAGTAAATAGTGACTAGCACTAAGTATGGAGTAGGTGCTTCCATATTTAGTGCTAAAAGATAAACATAAATATAAATCAGTTGCAAACCTGCTGTATAAGTATCACTGCTTAGGCGTTCTAACCCTCCGGAGGAATTTGTGTCTTTGATATTAGTCTCTCTGAGACCCAGTTGTAACAACCGATAGACACAATCTTACGAGCTAGCCTAGGAAGGTTTAAGCACCCTAAGACGTAGAAGCTCTTTTAGATTGTCTTCCTCTGAACATAGTGCATAAGTAGCTTGGCTACAATAGCTCTGCTGCACCTGGTAGCACTTGTAGTCAATCCCGCACCTGGGTTTGCAGCTACTTGTTTGTGTGAGAATGACATCGATGAGATGTCAGTGGTTGGCCTGTCACAGGCACAACAAGAAGGGTTGCAGAAGCTGCTCCCTATCCTTGGCCCTAATGGCGTGAAGTACCTCATCGCCCAGGGCGAAGAAGATGATAACAAGCGTATTAATATGCTTGATGAGTATGATAAATCTCTAGTTGAGCATGTAAAGGCAAGGCTAGTGCGTCGCAAACCGCCCAGACGGTAGCTGAAGGGTACGAAGAATGCGTGTTTTGCCGTTTTGGTGCTAGCGAGGCAATCCGCCACGATCGAGAACCAGGATTTATGTCGGATTTCTTTCGGGCGCTTTGTCGCATGGTGGGCCAGCGTCAACAGGCGACCATGGCCTATCGATCTCAGGCGAATGGGGCCGCGGAGAGGATGGTTCAGACCCTGACAAAGTCCATCAAGATGTATGTCTCTGATGTCGGACAGCAGAATCGGGACGAGTGTACAGAACGACTAACGTTTGCGATGAACAACGCGCAATACCGAGTCCGGAAGGAGACGCCGTTCTATCTGGTGCATGCTTGGGATGCTAGAACCACCCTCGAGGCTACATTATTTGTGGTAAATACGCGACGTCGGGGATCTGGGCCACGCAGATGAAGATACCACATTCAGCAACACTATCAGCGAGCGAGAGCCCAGGTGAATGAGAATATAGGAGCGGCCATTCAAGCTCGGATGCTATCCCATAACGAAGGGGTGGTCGACCACAAATTTCAGCCAGAAACTCAAGTGTGACTCTATCTGGACTGGGTGAAAGAGGGTTACGCTAAGAAATTGGCCCAACTCTGGCATGGACCAAATCGAGTTCTAGAGTTGGTAGGAGAACACGCAGCGCGCTTGGAAACTAGAGGTACGGAGTACAGGTTATTCCCTGGGGTACATCTATCCAAACTCAAGAGGGTTAGAGAGCTCCCCGACCGAGTGCTGCGTTAGAGGCGGACGAAATAGATCGGGTCGACTTCGATGAATGCCTGTTCCCGGAGGACAGTGGGGGGGGGCAAGAGAGCTGGAAGAAGGAGAGTACGAGGTCGAGGAGATTTTGGAAGCCCGAACTGGAAAGAAAACACGTTACCGGAGACAGCAACGAGAACTTCTCGTCCGATGGAAAGGGTATGAAGACCCCTCGTGGGTGGATGAAGTGAATTTGAATGGTGGAGTCTTACTTCGAAATTTTGAACGCAAGGAAACAAGGAGGAATCGTTTTGAAGCGATGCAAAATCATGAGGAATAGAGGCCAAAACCGAGGGTCATAGATGGTCGACCAAAGTCTATAGTGGGTAGACCTCGGCCCCTCGGTAGTAGACCTTGGTCTTTCGAGGTAGATCCCGGTCTTTTCGAGGTAGAACCTGGCCCCTCATTGGTAGATCTTGGTCTTTTCGAGGTCGACCCTGGTCCCTCGTTGGTAAACCTTGGTCTTTAGCGTGGAGTGTGGTGAAGAAAACAAGGTGGCGCAAGGTTCGAAGGAAGAAGGGAAACAGATAATTCAAGACAGAGACTGAAAAAGATGGGCGCAAGTGTATTACGGAAACGCTTACAGTTTAGGGACGAGCTTGTCCCGGAGACGCGGCATCGAGTACCTGGGATGGGGCTCGGACGAAAGTCGGTACTGGAAGATCCATGGGTAAGTGGAGTCGGAGACCCTCACGGCGTAGCGGGTCGGCAGGATCTGACCCTTCCTCATCTCCTGGGAACCAGTATACTACGCAAAGAGGTCGGAGAAGGTGTCGGAAGAAGGGGTCGAGTAGGATGTCGATATCGCACCGACCGTCACTCATCCCCTTGAAGAGTATGTCGACGACCCCTCGACACGCCCGAATCGCACAATCCCGTCGTTTCTTCCGTGCGTTATAATATGACGAGATGAAGGATCTGGAGCGCGCTTGGTCATTGGAGATCCATAAGCAGTGGGTGGCCTCCCAGATCTCTTGGCTGTGGTCTTCGTCAAAGCGCAGGTAGGTCGCCTCCAGTTCCGCGAACCAGCCCACTGGTTGGAAGGATACGGGGGGGGGGTGATCGATACTCGAGCTGACACCCATGGTCGGGCGACCAAGAGGTTCTGGAGCATCGAGGAGCTGACCAACGACGACTTCCACTTGGAAGATCGATCAACCTTCCCGTTTGGTGGACCACACTAGCCCCAAGGCAACTCCAGGCGGTCGACCAAGTCGTTGGGGGTTATCGTCACGACACTCAGCGAGCTGACTATGTCGGCCGACCAGAACTCCGCCTCCGCTGCAGTGAAGGACTTCACCGGCATGCACTCAGGGATGAAGTCACCCTTCGGGAGTTTGGGTGACCCCTGGGGAAGAGTGGCCCCTCGGTCCCTCGACAAGCAGAATCAAGAATCAGGTCTCGGGGGTAAGGATAGAGTGAAGAAGTTAAAAGATGGGACCATATTAATACTACTCAATTTGCAATCGATATAGCACGCCTCCTTCTTGCTTCCAAAGTACCTATTAAGTCTACCCACCTGTTACGGGAAGAAATACGTTTTGGTCCCCCGTCGAAGACAGTTGTGTGGTAAGACCCAAGTGCGAATAGAACCCCAGAATATATTTGTCCTGTGGGTTCGTCCGAGTAGCTTTTCCCAACTCAACTCGCTATCGAAAGCGGTCTCCTACCCTAGTAGTCCGGGAGCAAGTAAAGGACAGGCAATTAACACCCCTTAGATATCAAGGAAAAGGCCAGGGTTGAGTACCTCCCCTGAAGAATTTGGTTATATGCCCACCCTCGACCTAGTCGACCGAGTGGCCACCTGCACGCCTACCGAGTGAAGTATATCCACTCGAGGCCCTTCAAGGTCGACCTCTCTCAAGGCCAACACCACATCTCAACCAAGTCCTCCGAAGAGTGCAACCCGCCAGCCGACGGGTGCACAAGGTGCGAGAAGGTCTATACGCGGCATCGGGGTACCTCCTCCGACAGTCGGCAGTCCGGCACAGTGAGTGGCTTGGGGTCTCATTACTCAGTTTTGAGAACCCACTCCACCACAGTACTATTCTTCCTGAGATTAAGTATCTTTGATACTAGTCTCTTTGAGACACGGTTACAACAACCGATAGGCACAAGCTTACAAGCTAGCCTAGGAAGGTTAAGATGTAGAAGCTCTCTGAGCTTGTACATAATGCATAAGTAGCTTTGTTACAGTAGCTTGGCTACATTTTCTGCACATAGTGCATCTGCACATAGTGCCTAAGTAGCGTGGGTACAGTGGCTCGGCTACATGAACGACGAGGGCATACCTGTCCCGAGTACATTCGACGAATGGTCGACAGGTGATCCCCTTGGTATGGCCAAGGGGATCATGCTCAAGCGTCGAGAAAAGGTCAACTGTGCTGACTGCCAATTTGGTAAACAGCGGCACAAGACATTCAAGAAGTCGCTTGATCGGCCAATTGAAAAAGTAAACGACATGGCATTTGCAGATCTTTTAATACTAGGGGTAAGCAATGGCTCAAAATTATCTGCCGTTTTGGTTATTATGGACGGGTTTTCGCGCTTTGTTAAGTTTTATCTACTTAAGTCGAAGACGGAAGGCGAGGTGAACATGTATATGAAGCAATATATTGCATGGGCAGAACGTCAGCGCGGAAGTCGAATAAATGAGGTTATTTCTCGCGACTACGATACAGAGGACCACGATGAAGGCGCTGAGCCAGTGAAGCAGGTGCTCACGGACAAAGGTCAAAAATTTTGTAATGGTGTTATGGAAAATTGGTACATGCAAAATGGAATTGTGCATACAAAGGTTGGACCTAGTGCATCCCAATTAAATCTTGTGGAGCGGACGCATCAGACGCTGATTGGTATGGTTAAGATGATGATGCAGCAGTCAGGTTTACCTAAATCGTTCTGGACGAATGCTTTTGAAACTGCAGTTTACGTGAAGAACCGTGTTTATTGTAAGGGTGCGGGCCGCACTCCGTATGAAATAATGTTTCGGACCCAGTCAGATTTACATCACATTCGTGCTTTTGGGTCCCTGGCGTTTGTCACGTGCCAAAGGCCAAGCGGAAAAGCTTATGGTGAACTGCCGCATAAGATTTCTGATCGGTGATCGCAAAGATGTTGTCGGCTGTCACATTTATTTTCCGACGGAACACAGGACAGGTTTCGTGTCCGACGTTAAAATAAATGAAGACATCAACTACAGTGATCGTTATGACAGTGGATACAAACAAAAAGCAAACACGTGGTTGCAACTTTTCCCGATTTTATTCAAGGAGGTGACATTGATGATTTGACCGGTGAAGATGATGACAAAGGTCTCGATACTATTTCTCACGTGAAATTTCCTACTGGGTCAAGCAACTTAAGCAGCAATGTTGACGTGGAATCGGTGGCGTCGGAGCTGTCAGACTTTCCAGACATGTGGCGTGGGCGACTACGCAGTCGGGTGCCACCGGCCGACCCTGTCGACATGGTGCAGAAAAGTGCTACGTCAAGTGAGGCAAGTGAAAATGAAATATTATGGGATGATATCCTTCGGAACAGCTCCCTGCCTGTTGTGGATAATGCGTTTGAAGAAACGCGGGAGGGCGAAAATGCAGGAACCAGCTTTCAACCTGTTGCAAAATTTAGTTCAAGTGAACAGGGCGACGAATGTAAAACTGGTGATCTTTCGGTTAATGATGATTCACGTGGCGATACTTTAAGTGTTGATTTACGTGACAAAATGCTCGATGGAATCTACTGACGATGAAATTGCCGCTGATAATGATTTTGCTGAATTGGTGGGGCATGTTACGTCCGCGGTCATACGTACTGAATCATCGCTTAGCAAATTGGAAGATTACGATCTTTTGTTTTGATCCGGGTGGTCAGCTTCAAATTGAACGATGAAGATGTTGGTGCATTGGTTTCCACGACGCAGAATGTATCAACGATTATGCCGGAGCACATCATTGGTCACACACATCTCCGTGACATTGAGATTGTAAGGGGACGTGACAGAAAACGCACCAAGGTGGAGACAAAGAGAGCACGAGCAAATTTGGGGCTTCATGAGTTTAGCTACTTTGATGATTATGTAGTCGGATCATTTTTTCAAGTATTACATGCCGACATACGAGGCAATGGTGGCATTAATGCAAGGAATGTAAAAATCCAATGAATTACAGGGTAGCCATGGCGTCAAAATACGCAAAACAGTGGAAAAGAGGCAATGGATGTTGAAATGGCCGCGCTTAAGGACAAAGGCGTACTGGAAATGATTTCCAAATGTGAAATGGCCAATTGGAAGTAAAGCAATCAAGACTATGTGGGTCTTCAATCTCAAAACGGACCATTTGGATAATGTCGTCAGATTTCGAGCGCGGATTGTTGCGCGAGACGACAAACAACGTCCCGGAATTGATTACGTGGAGACATTTAGCCCAGTGGCTCGAATGGCTATGTTTCGATTATTTGTTGCAGTGTGTGTACAATTGGAGCTTCCAATTTATCAAGGTGAAATTAATACTGCGTATTTAAATGCAACGTTAGGTATTAAACAATACCTGGAATCATTGGAAGGCTATCTGGATAATACGATTTACGTTATCAACAAAGCTCTTTAGGTCGTGAATGGAATTCAGAAGTAACTGGCTGGTTATTAACTTCGGTTTCGAGCAGTGTCGCACCGAACCGTGCCTATATTACTATAGGCGGGATGGCGAATTTGCGATTGTTCTGGATGACATTCTGTGTGCTACAGAAAATGTTGAATTTAAGACGAGCATGTTTCAAAAACTGGATAAGGTCTATGGACTTAAAGATCAGGGCTTTTTCAACACTTATTTAGGCGTGGAAGTGGAGCAGAATGAAAGTTCTAAGATTCACTAGACCAAATACTGTGGAGAAACTATTGAGCGATTCAATTTTGGCGACGCCACACCCTAGCAGAATTCCAATGGAAACGACTTTACGATTGACTGCAAATGACATGGATACTGCACAGCGCAAGCAAAAACCAGGGCATGGAAAAGTATTTCCGTTTCGTGAATTAATTGGATCGTTAATGTACCTGGCTACGTGCACAGGCTCGATTAGGCTTATGTTGTTGGACAGCTTAGCAGATACGTACAACAACCAACCCAACAGCACATCGGTGCAGCTAAGAGAGTGTTACGATACGTTATTGACAGTAAAAGCCTGGGAATAGTATACACAAATACTCCAGAGGTTCAGTATACAGGCAAGCTGACGATTAATGGATTTTGCGACTCGGACTGGCTGATACCAAAGTGTTACTGGTTATGTGCATTGTATTGCAGGGGGTGCCATATCGTGGGCATCACGACGTCGAAGTATTGTGGCACAATCAACTGCTGAAGCAGAGTATGTTGCAGCATGTGAAGCATGCATGGCAAGGACAAGGTTTACGCAACTTATTAGTTGAAGTATTTTCGCATATGGACACAGAGTATCGACTCGGCATTGATAATTAAGCAGCGTTTGTCATGTCAACCAATCCAACCTATAGTCGCCGTACTCGACACATTGTACTGCGTTGGCACTATGTTTGGGACCAGGTGGCAAAAAGGACCGTGGAACTGTGGAAAATCAAGACCAAGATTAATCCATCAGATTTGATGACGAAACCACTTGCCAGTGGTCGTTTGAAAAAGTTAAAGGGCATGATCGGCATGACCAAGAACCATGTTCCGAAGGGACTGCCTTCGGAGGAGGGCGTGTTGGAGTAGGCTTCAACTTGCATACATACGTATAGGTAGAAATTAGTATACGCTAGAGTGGGACTTGCATGCATACTAGGTACGCTTTGCAAAGTCTTCTAGTCTGAGGTATCTCTTAACAACAAGTTAGTATTTGCGTGGGACGCATACCTTGTTGTATTAAGTCTAATACAATTAGATTCTATCCGTTCGAGTGAGCACCTTTAGTCACATATCAACCAGGACTTTTTTTCCTAATGAAAACCTTTTTGGGTTTTCTTTTCATCTCTATCAAGCTAATTTACATAGTTTTCCAAAAAATATACATTTCAATATAAACATTAATTCTGGCTGATAAAAGCATTAACTCCCTAAATTACTGTCTTTGTACGATTCCTCTGTAGCGATTATCAAAAACAATTGACCATACTGTTAGCGGTTTGGCATTCTTTTTAAATTAGAGTTAGTCGAGTACCATTGCTAGACAATTGCATGACTTCTAATTTCTGGTAATACTCAATGCAAGTGTTCAATTGCTGAGAAGTAAACCCCTTGCGCAAAATGACCGGTTCCAAATCACTCATTCCAAGAACTTTTAAATTGCGATCAGTGGCAAATTCCAGCAATAAACGGAAAATCTTTGACGTGGCGTCAGACGACCCACTGCTACGACCTCTGCTGTTTGTTGTACCTGCTTTGGCCTTATTTCCAGCACCATCAACATCATCTTGCTCTAATAATGACGCCTTGGACACGTAAACTAGTCGAATGGCTTCGTCAACATCCTGGTGAATAACTTCAGTGGAAAAACGGAGTCGTGCAAGTGCCTGGGAGAGTCGTAATATGCTCAGTAGCTGTCGAGCTGTCATCGCTGTTTGTGCATCATTAGCGCCTCCATTACCGTACTGACGTTGACGAAATTGCTGATCCTGTCTTTCACGAGCATGTTCGTTCGCATCCTGCTGGCGTAATGTCACATAGGCCTCCACAATATATCCGCATAGGTGCTCCGGGATGCTAGGTTGGTATTGCTTTGCAATTGCAATAAAGTAACGCAGCACCTCAGGTCGCACAGGCTCAAACTTCATCTCCGGATTACGAGAAAAGCGGTGCACATAAGTAACGTGACGTGCAAGCGCTTCATCTTTCTCGTAGTTGGCGACATCTAGCAACAAAAACAGGAGGTCAAAACGAGACAACAGCGCGTTGGGAAGGTTAATATTTTGCGATGCGCTAAGCTTCTTGTTGTAGCGGCCGTATATGGGGTTCGCAGCTGCAAGCACGGATGAGCGTGCGTTAAGCGTCGTTGTTATGCCTGCCTTGGCAATGCTTACTGTTTGCTGCTCCATAACCTCATGAATAGCCGTTCTGTCACCCTCCTCCATTTTATCAAATTCATCGATGCAGCAAATTCCCATATCCGCTAAAACAAGAGCACCACCTTCAAGAGTCATCTCCTTTGTTGTCGCATCACGTACCACAGCAGCTGTCAGTCCCACTCCAGAGCTACCTTTACCTGTCGTGTATACGCCTCGCGGAGCCACAGTTGCAATGTGCTTGAGTAGCTGTGACTTGGCAACACCAGGGTCTCCCATCAGTAGCATATTCAAATCACCACGCAACTTCATACCCTCATCCATACGCTTTGTAACACCACCTATCAGCAGCAACAATAGCGCTTTCTTCACGTCTTCGTGGCCATAAATTTCAGGCGCCAGCGATTGCGATAGCACCTCATACACATTCTCGGAGCCTTCCTGCAACCGCAACACGGCACTTTCCATTGCTTCGGACGATTCCATAGCAGAGTACCGTTTTTTGTGATTTACAACATCGGTTGCCTCCAAATAGGTTTCCGTGACAAGTCCCATTTGCATTTGCCGTTGCGGTGAGTACGGCAGTGGTAAGAACACACCGCAGATTGTAACCAGAGCACCGGGCTCACACGTTCGAGTGAGTTCACCACGCAAATACACGGTAAGAGATCGAGGGATGTGTCCCATCGGCACTTGATCAGGAAGTTCCTGAAACTTAACTTCCTGATATTTGTCAAATTTGGAAGCTTTTGTTTGCATAATCAAGCGGCCCCGGTCCTTGTTCGTTTGACAGCGTTCACTTGGACACTGAGTCACGGGATTAAACTGTCGAGACTTTACCTCCTGATACACTTCATAAGCACAAGCTTCGCACGTGTACGTCGCTACCGTCAACAGCGGCTTCACGGTCGACACACGAGTCACCATTCCCTTAATGCGAACAAGAGCTCCAACCTTTGCCGCCTTCACGTGTCGAATTGGTACAGCTTTCAACTTGACACCAGGAATCAAATGAACTTCAAAGCGCCGCATTAAAGCAGGAGGAAAGATGTCAGCAGCATTTCCAGTCGCCGTCGATTGACGGCTATCAATTTCACTATCATTAATCTGTCGCTGTTGTGCCATCTCCTGAGCACGAGAAATCCGTAGTACATCCAACACATCTTGAAAATCAGAAATGTCCCGTGTCGGAGGTGGCAAATTCTCGTCAACAGCGTCCGAAAAAAGTGAAATATATCGTCGAGCATTGCGCACGATGCGGCTTACAAAATTCGCGTCATCTTTATCAAACTACAGTAAAGCCATCAGCATATTCAGTGATAGCATTTCAGTGTTAGTCAAAGAGATAAGAGAACGTACGATTTGCACATCGTCCAAGGAAATAGGAATCGACGTCCGTTCTCGATTTGCAACCTCTTGCTGCCGTACAAAGCATGTTAAAAGCAGCACAAAACACCACATTCAACACTGCATCACACCATCATACGCGCGTACTTGGGACCTAGCGCAGAGTCGTCTAGATTTGACGTATAATGTAGCAGAAACTCGGCGCATTTGACTGATTTCAACATAAAACAGTGGATTTTAGCAGCAATTTGATCCGAAAACGCACTAAAACAAGCATTTTGTTACGTTTCTCTTCAGCGTAATTGGACATGCCAATGCCTCCTGAGCTTGTGTCTACATCGACACTAGATCGGACGCTGGAGGTCTGTAGGAACGGCTGCGACGCCATGACTTGGTAGATGAATGTTTTGCAGTTTAGACCAATCATATATATGTATTTTACTTTTGACGAATGAGAGACTGGGTTAATTTTGACGAATCCACAATGAGCATCGTGACGTTAAAAGTAGCCCAATTCAAAATTAAAAGGTACCAAAATTTTCAACCTGTTTCCTTTGTTAATGGAGAGCGGTTCAGTGGACGGTTTGAACCGCGTAACCATCATGTAATCTTTCCAGCATAATTGTTCTGTTGCACACAGACGATCGATGCGTGACAGCCAATCAATACACATTATTCTTCAATCATTGAGTCGTTTTGTAAATAAATTACATTTATTGGTGGATGAATGTTATTTATATGGCAGTCTATTAACAAAATAAATTCTGTGTCAAAACTGATGAGCATGATATGTTACCGCTACCTGAGGCGCAAAGCGCATGGAGGAGCATCATTCTACATGAGATTGCTGATTTGACACAAGTTAATGGTCTTTATTTGTCATTCACACGCGTTTTTCTAGCTTTTGAGGCTGTCGGTTCTATGCTAATGCAGTAGAGGATAGCGCTAGTGTTTTGATAGTAGAGATGAGTTTTGAAGACTAAAATGAAGAGATGACCAGTCAATAGTTTTTTTTATTGCATTATCGTTAGAAAAAGCTCAAAAGAAGAGAAAGTTATTGCTTTGATTCGATAATGTATTGACACTCGGGTGGTTGAGCTTACTTGGAGTTATATTATACAGATAAACCATCTGAAATAGCATAAATGACTAGAACAACTCTCATGAGTACGCAAATGCCACCACAACAAAGTTTTTGACGTTAATGAAGCTCTTTTGATTGCAAGAAAGGTTGTATCTGTTGCATTTTTTCGGTCTATGGATGAGCTGACTAAGAAAACTTTTAACGGGCGCAAGTCCTGTTAGAAGGATGCAACTAGTTCGTTTGCATCTCGTCTTACTCTGGTCCAACTCTTACAGAAGTTCTTGTACTAAAAGAGAAGATGATACACATACAAGGGGAAATGTATTGACTAGCATGAATACACAAGAAGTCATGCAAGTACAGCCGCTTTGCCACCAACACTTTTCTCTATTTTTGTATGTAGAATTGCTTGAGCATCTGCATTGCAACAAACGCGAAGGATAAGATCAAGTCATGTATATCCTATATGAAAACTTTCACTCACCTCTTCCTCAAGTGGATGAACCTCTCCAGTAATCGCAAGACAGTGCAGCGGGGCGCCAAAGTCAGCAGTCAGTAGCTCCTTCATCGTACCAGCAATAATTGTCTGATCCTTTTGACCGAGGCGAGCCATACCCACACACATTGTGTTTTTGGTGTACGCTCCATCCTGATGTTTCTCCTCAATTTCGATAAGCTGCTCGAGCGCCTGATTCACTGTCATAAAGCGAGGCGGCAAATACACAGTACGACCACGACACATTGCTTCAAAATCCGGCTCTTTCACCTTGATGTCCAACAGACAGAGTGTGTGCATGCCGCCACGACGATTGTACTGAATCTTTTTATAAAAGCTGTCGGGACGCCAATCATCACGAAAAAACGGAATGGACACAGTTTGTCCGAATGAGTAGAGTTGCAAACCACATGCACCGGCTGCTCCTATGACGGATGCGTTGTGAATCACCTCCACCTTGATGTCCAGCTCCTTGGCACGCAAAATCAAATCCGAGTGAGTTGTGGCGCAAAGCGGGTCACCAACCACGAGGAATGCGACGTCGTCATTCTTGGCATCGGTAAGGATCTGGTCAGCACCTGTCTCCACGCAGTCTCGATCGGCAAGAATCACCGCTCGACCGTAAAATGTTTCCTAGCACACAAGACAAAGGTAAGAATCAGTGATATGGGATCATAGGTTACGTACCTTTGATTAAAACATACCAGCTTGTCAATTTCTACGCCTAACACTGATGTATAGCTCTCTAAAAAGACATTCTTGGACTTTTTAATGGCATTTAGACCGCGAAGCGTCACGTCCCTGCTCGTCGCCGAGACCCAGACCAATCACGAAGAGTACCATGATTGCCTGCCAATCAAATGAAACGGTGTTTTGATACACTAAATGATCACTTCAAACACGTCATACACAGTTATGCGTGGTCACAATCACAGAGACAGTAATTTAGGGAGTTAATGCTTTTATCAGCCAGAATTACATCTATTTTAAGGCATGTTTATATTGCAAATGTATATTTTTTTGGAAAACTATGTAAATTAGCTTGATAGAGATGAAAAGAAAACCCAAAAAGGTTTTCGTTAGGTTGATGTGTGACTAAAGGTGCTCACTCGAATGGATAAAATCTAATTGCTATGATCAAATGTGATGTCTACGAAAAAGCTGTATTCACTTATTCTATTGAGCTACTTTAAATGTGATGTAGAAATAATATGTGAATGAAGTAGCTCTTGGTAGTGATTCTCTTAATTGCTATTAGGTTATTACTGCATTGCAAGTGTGTGACGCAATTTTCTTAGCTTAACAAGAACAAGCAAGTTAACAAACGCTTTTGTCAGATATTTGGATCATATGGATATTTTCTACTGTAGCCAGAGTTTGAGACGATAAGCATCACCACCATTTAAATAGTATTTGACTAGACGCTCGTCACGCACAAAGCCCAGATTTTCATACAGACGAATGGCTCCTTTGTTAGCAATCTCTGTCTCCAGCATCACCTCTTCGCATCCGTCATCCCGCATCCGCTCGATGGCTTTCTGTGCCAGCTGCGAGCCGATACCACGGTGGCGAAATTGCTTTTCCACTGCAAGCATAGCAATGTACCCTCTCCAATGACGCTTGTTGGATCCATCCTGAAAGCTCAGTCCATCATCTCCCGTCTCTTCGGGGGTAGCACCCAGTGGCTCCTGGCGACAAATTATGACGCCCACGAGTTTGTGCTGCACTCGTGCCAAGATGCTCAGCTGTGGCCAATTGTACAGAAAATAACGATACGTAAAGATCGAATAGGGCTCTGAAAGATCTTTATCAAGGAGCTTCACTAGTTCTGCAAGCTGTTTCTCGCCCTGATACGTTGAAAAGATTACGGAATCAGCATTAGCCACCAAAGTGGCAGGTTTCTTCGATTTGGCCATTAGATTCATGCAATGAATAATAATAGGTTAGATAAGGTTACGCTTTGTATGAATACAGTGTTTACATTATACCGACGTGTGATTACACTGACCGCTATATCAGTTTTGACAGTCTCATTTATTGTGGTGGCAGGATATTCACTTATCACTGGCTATTTATGTGATAATAAGCATGGGAAGCTACTAGAAGACTAAGATGTTTTATGAATAATCTCAATATGCGCAAAATAATTGACCTTTGTAAAGCATCTTTTCGTCTCTCTGCATATCTAAATCAAAATAACTATTGACATGCAATTGCAGCCAAAATGAGGCTGTTCGTGTCACCTATTGTAGTACTTGTTCTTTGTGTACTACCTGTTTATACATATTATTAGAGACAAGTGAGATGGAAGTTTAGATAAATGAATAGATCGATCCTACAAAGCCACTGATCTTCTGTTGAGAATGTAACATGACTCGAAAAAATCGTAATCTTTAAAATACGCAAGTCTCACTCAGACTTCGAGACAGACAGAATTATCAAAAATTACTGGTCAGCAGAGCTCAACGTTTGAACGGAAATAGGTCGTTTAAATAAGTACGTTGCAAGATAACAACTGCAAAAATTGAGTAAGTGCATATAAATGTGTATATTAGTTACATAAACGCAAGCATCCACGATCATTGAAAAAGATACATGACCCAATTTTACCCTAAAGTACCAACTACACTCGGTTGGCTCGTAGCGCTCGTAGCTTCCTTCTTCCCTTTTTCCTAAGTCTCGAGCCTTTCGACGTCATTTCCCAACTTGGTACCCCAGGAACACGTGCATCTCGTCATCGGTTCACTCTATTCTCCTCATCTCTAGTCGTTGTTTCAATCGTATCTCAAATGGCACCTAAACGTCGCACTCGTAAAACTACCAAGGATGTACACGCTAGCCTTCCTACTGAAGAACGTACGAAACTTGGTGCAGAAGCAAAAGAACGTGGCAATGCTGCATTTGCATCAGGTGATCATGCAACGGCAATTAAAGAATTTACAACGGCAATTGCATACGAACCAACGAATGTAATTTACTATTCAAATCGTTCAGCTGCCTATTTATCAGCTGGTCAAGCAACGCCAGCAATGCAAGATGCGAAATCGTGTATTGAATTGGATTCCAAGTTTGCAAAAGGTTATGCACGTCTTGGAGCTGCTCATTTTTACATTAAGAACTATGCAAAAGCTATTACTGCTTATACGCAAGGGTTAACAATGGACAAGGGAAATAAAGCGCTACAAGCTGGATTAACACAAGCTCAAGCTGCTCAACAAGTACAAGATGAAGAAATTAGTGGTGTTGAAATGGATGAAGCTACACGAAAGATGAAACGAATGGAAATTGAAGAAAAGATCAACAAAGCGCGTAAGGAACGAGAAGAACGAGCGAAACGTGCGGAAAAAGGCTTTTCCGAAGTAATTGGTATTGATCTCGGTACTACTTATTCATGTGTTGGTGTCTGGAAAGATGGACAAGTGGAGATTATTGCCAATAGTGAAGGTAATCGTACTACTCCGTCTTGGGTTGCATTCAGTGGAAGTGAACGACTCATTGGTGAAGCAGCCAAGATTCAAGCTGCAGGAAATGCAACAAATACTGTATTTGATGCAAAGCGAATCATTGGGCGCAGTTTTAGTGATGAAGTAGTAAAGAAAGATGCCAAGCATTTTCCATTTACGATCAAGGAAGGAGATGATGACAAGGTGTTGATTGAAGTCGAGTTTAAAGGAGAAAAGAAGAGTTTTACGCCAGAAGAAATTTCATCCATGGTGTTACTACGGATGAAGGAAACTGCTGAAGCATTTTTGGGTCAAAGCATCTCACAAGCTGTTGTTACAGTGCCTGCTTATTTTAATGATCAACAACGTCAATCAACTAAGGATGCTGGTTCAATCGCTGGACTGGATGTGAAGCGTATTATTAACGAACCAACTGCTGCTGCTCTTGCCTACGGTTTGGATACTAACGCTGGTACGGATGGAAAGGTATGCAATGTACTCATTTTTGATCTCGGTGGTGGTACGTTTGACGTATCGATCCTTTCGATCGAAAACGGAATCTTTGAGGTCAAGTCTACGGGTGGCGATACGCACTTGGGTGGTGAGGACTTTGACAACAACATGGTGGAGTACTTGTTGACAGAGTTTAAGCGCAAGAACCGTAACTTGGACCCGTCTAGCTCGGCTCGTGCCATGCGTCGTCTGCGTACAGCTTGTGAGTCGGCTAAGCGCATGTTGTCGACTACGACGAGTGCATCGGTGGAGGTGGACTCACTGTTTGAAGGAGTGGACTTTTCATCTACTGTGACTCGTGCGAAGTTTGAATCTCTCAATGAGGAGCTGTTTACACGCTGCGAGGAGACGGTGCTCAAGGTACTGGAGGACGCCAAGATGAAGCCCGAAGACGTGACCGAGCTGGTGCTCGTTGGCGGCTCCACGCGTATACCTAAGGTACAGACTATGTTGTCTGCTCTCTTCGGTGGCAAGGAGCTGTCCAAGTCTATCAACCCGGATGAGGCTGTGGCCTACGGTGCAGCCGTGCAGGGTGCCATCTTGGACGGCATCCGCAACGACGCCACCAATTCGCTGCTGCTGGTTGATGTGACGCCACTGTCGCTTGGTATTGAGACGGTCGGAAAAGTCATGTCAGTTCTCATTAAGCGCAACACGGCCATTCCCGTGCGCAAGACGCGCGTTTACACGACTGAGGAGGACTACCAGACATCTGTGGATGTGTGCATTTATGAGGGTGAGCGCGCATGCGTGGAGTCAAACAACAAGCTGGGTGAGTTCAACATCTCTGGCTTGGAGCGTGCCAAGCGTGGAGAGCCGCAAGTGGAGGTGACGTTTGAGATTGACGCCAATGGTATTCTGAACGTGTCCGCTCGTGACAAGAAGACTGGCGCCAAAGCCGAGACTACCATCTCTAATAACCGCGGGCGACTCAGCCAGGATGACATCAACCGCATGGTTGCGGAGGCCGATAAATTCAAGAAGGATGACGCCGAGATGCTGCGCCGTATCGAGGCTCGCAATGAGCTTGAGCAGTTCATTTACCGGGCGATTGAGATGGCTCGCGAGAAGGGCGATACTAATGTCGAAAGTGCCATTCGCGATGCCCGTGATTGGCTCGAGGACCACGAGGAGGCCACTCTTCGTGAACTTGAGGATAAGAAGCGTATGCTTGAGCGCATGGTCCGCTTCTAAGCGCGCCTTTACATTAGCTGCTAGTCAGCGTGCAGATGGATATTCAGTCAACAAGCTTGCTACTCATTTACTCATGCCTTAGTCTCGGTGTCATGTTAGTTTCTGATTCGGCCGCGATGCCACGAGTATGCAAGATGTCTACGCACTTGTTCAATAACACCTTTGTTTGATGTTGTATGATGTGGTCGGGCTTGAAAGCATTGAAGAAAGCTCACGTGTCATCAAGGAATTACAATTGGCTTTGAGTTGGATAAGGAGTGACTTACACGTTGCCGGGTCAAGGTAGAACGAAATGTAACCACGTTTTGCACGCTTATTCTGGGGACGTGGTAGCATCATAATCCCACTGAAGCAATGTTTTGATCTCAGGGACTGAATGCAACTTGACTTCAGTCTTGTCGTGCATGAAGGTGATAACTGGCGTTGTATACTACCGTGCGACTTTTTGGTTAGTCTTGATAACAAGAGTCACATCGGGTGATCATGCCATCGGTGAAAGATATACAACTATTCAACAAGTGTGTGTATATTTTACTAGAGATCTCGAATAAAGGTGTAGTGTTGCATGTATTCGTTGTCATCGACAGGTCTAATCTATATCACTAATATAATTTACATTGCCTTGTTGTACATGTACTAACACAATCAAGAAGAAGCTCCTAGTTTGCTTTGTAGGCCGGCTTAACAAGTTATCATTTCATATGCACAGATTCCTCGATGACATGTGTTAGTAAATGAATGCACATAGTACACACGACAAGTTGATAATTGGTCTAGTTCGTATTCAATGATCTTACATCAAATAAGCAACAACAGCAGTGGCAATACCAGCAACACAGTAGACAGTACGACTCATTGTCAATGTCGCACTTGGTGAAGCTGGTACAGGCGCAGTGGTAGCCCTATCAGTCGTGGAATTCGTATTGGTCGTAGTACCCACACTATCGGTTTCGGACACAGAACCACTACCCGATTCAGATTTCTCCCCGTAGCCCTCTAACATTGCCGGGGGGTTCGCAATCGAGTCCGTGGGGGAAAAAGTGGGGCAGACGATCCCGGACCATAGCGATTCGTCCGACATAAGGGTCGCATTACCAGGGTGTGAGACGCCAACGGTCCAGCGGGGTGGAGCGTCTTTGTCAAAAGAAATCTCACAGCACGGATCACCGAGTTCCTGGCCGTTAGTTTGACCATCATCGTCCGAGTCTTTCACGCAAAGCTCTACTGTCCATACTTCACCAACATCCTTGAAATCTTTTCCAAACTGGTTGTTTTGACCGCCACCATCTGTGTTTACGTGACCTACAGCCTTTATGCCTTCCACGTTGTTGCCGTTTGGAATGCGATTGGCGTATTCTGGTCGAGCGTTAACGACGGCAGCAACAGTTGCAATTAGCGCGAGCGAAAGAGTAGTGCGAGCCATTAGGAGCAAAGAAGCTGAAAGAGACTGAACTGTCGATTGAAGTGCGTAGCTGAAGGCGTTTTTAGAAATGAAGACACTCGAGGTGGTTTATTCGAAAGACAATCGTACAGAACATTGCATCCAGTTATGTTGATGGTCACAAATACAAGTACCAATAGAAGTCGATTCACTGCGTAAACCAAGTAAACCCAACTGACAAGCAAGAAAAATCCAACGCTTTGATATGAGTCCAACATCTGCAATGCTTTTTTTTTACATATGCGCTTGTAATGACCACCCAATATAAATACAGAAGGTATCCCATCGACAATGATCTCTTCATCTGTTTGCAAAATTTCTTTAAACCATGGTGGAAAACGTTTTTGTACAGATTAGGACAGATGCATGCGCCTTGTGGATGGATATGTGAGCTCGGCTTATGTACTGAAGGTTGACATGTCACGTATTCCATACGTGCTCGATGATTAATTAATCTAATAGTAATGGATGTTCTTCTGTCGATTCTGTAGCATAAGCAAGCCACGGACTTTTTGAAACAGCTGTCATCTTTGATGTAGCTCAATCTACACTGAATTGGAATTAATGATTTGGCTGCAAGTTTACCTATAATTGTAGTCTATTAGATTGTCACTGTACTCTTGCTTCCCACGCGCGTTTGCACGACAGCAACTCGCTTGCAATGAGTTTATGCAATCCACATGACAGCTTGGCCTAAAACTGCATGATATGAAACATTTCTCACCACCGGAATGGAAAAATCCTGGAGGTTGGATGGCTGTAGCTGCAAAACATGTTAGATAGTGCATACGGAAGTGTCGAAGGGATTAGTCTAACTAGTCATCATTAAGGAGTATACAGAAATCATAACTAGTTAGATGAATCTCCTTAGAACCCTAAAGAAAGATCCTGACGGCAGTATCGAAACGATTTTTTGGACGGTAGCCCGTTGGAACGTCGAATCAAGCAATTTTTGAGTGTTGCTTCAGACTAAGACATGATTGCTTCCACCAGTGTGAAGTCACGTTAGACTTGGCCAATTTGTAAGCTTTGTCCTGGACCTTTCTTCTTGGTGTGTGTACGTTGCGTCGTGCCTTGTCTTGTCATGGCGAGAGAGATGTCTCCCCTTAAAGCCGCAGCCTGCTGAAGACCTTTGTGTAATGTACCAGCGAGGGTCTCATTCTGTCCGTCAACATTGTGTGAATATTAAAGCCTTATCGGATACAAAAAAGGCGAAGACTCGAATTGATGCGTACAAGAACGAGTTGAAAACTTGATGATAGCTGAAGTTTTTCTGTACAAGCACGTCAAAGTTTCAAAGCGTTCTGTTGTTTCTTGTTCGAGCTTTCAATCTGTCATGTTAACAGCGAACTTACTTTCTTCTGTGCAAAGCGCTTGACTGAGATCGCCTAAGGACCCTTGCGTCAGCATCATCGATTAGGCTTCATTCATTTACTCCGTGTGCAAAAAGCACGGATAATATGATGTACGATGATTTGTAGCCTAATGGTTCATGCATTGAGAGAATCGTTCAGTCTAGAACCATCTTACGACAATCACGGCATTCAAACGTTACAAGCATTGCCAAGATCCTGTATGCCCAAAATATCTGGTCATTGTCTTTTCTCGTGAAGGCGTTTATCACTGTATTTTCGTGCTAGCAGCGATAGGACGTCAGTGACGTATGTAGCTGCAAGCAGCGTTGCAATGTCGCTTAAAACTATATTTCTAGTCGACCTTTTGACATGAGCGCTGTTTCGATCAACGCAGATTAAACACATGTTATTGTTTACATTTGCGATGTTGTTCATGGTTAAATGAAAGTTACCAGTTGTCGACTGTTGAACAGGACGCGAATGAAATCAAGTTATCGTCGTGAACGACATCTGTATGATTGACAAACCCTTTATTTCTTTTGATAATGGATTTCCGTGTCACTACTGCCCAAATGCAGGATGAAGACGTGGCAAAGCAGTTTACCAACAAGCGACTTTATGACAAGATGCTGCAAGATTTACACGAATGATGGTTTGCTATGAAGTACATGGGTGTTCTTAGGCTTACAAAACTCTTTCAGTTGTGGTGGCTACTACAACAACAGCAAGGAATGGCCACATCAGAAGACAGTCTTTGTTAATTACGCTTTTTTGTAAAGAAGGTCAAGCAGTTGATGCTCAATTTGTTGTCGCTGAACTGTCAAAACCTCAACAAAATTTTTCGCGAAATTGCTAGTCAGGATTTCGATCGGGGCACATTGGACGCGTTGGCACCATTCTCGTCTTGAACGACGTAGCCGCGCAACTTTTGGTCGGTCATGTATGTGCCCCGTGGGCACAGAACAAGACTGCATGAATGCGTCCGGACAGCTATCTTGCTTGACACGATTTACAAGAGTCGCAAGCCTTCCCAACACACCACCAAGCTGCAGCGACCATATCGCGACGTCTTGGGATTATTTTTTATTGGGACACTATGTACATAGAGGCACTGAACGACATTACGCTGCACTACATCGACGGCGGACCGTGAGCCGGGCCGCAGTCATGCTCATCCGTGCCCGATCGCTGGTGTACTAGATCCAGTCGCTGTCTAAGGTGTACCAAGCAATGATTCCAGACTTGCGCCGTTTTGTTCGCAGTTTGACTCCAGCGACCGTCAAGGGCGACGCTCCAAGACGGTTGACACATTGGACACCGGACTTCCTCACACTCACCCGCATTGTGGTTTTGTTGGACACGACTGGGGTGGCAACATCATGTAGGGAATATGAATGCCTTTTTTGGACGGTGATTTCCTGCTTTGGGTATACGCACGTCGCGCTTCTCTCTGGGTAGAGTTGGCCCAGACTATGTATGACATGCTCAGCCCCGCCATATCTTAACTCTCATACATGAAGCTATTCAAACTGGTGGTCGAGTCACTGAGGCACGAGCCGCGTAGTATTATTATTACAATGATGACGAGTACGAGCTTTTGAAGATGAGAAATGTCAGCGACAACAAGCTGAATTGCTATCTGCGACTGTTACGTAGCGAAATACTTGCGCTTGGCTTGTTTCGGACAATGTGTCTCTAAATTTGCATCACGAGCAAGACTTAGAGATTTGTGAAGGACCTGCTCCGTTTAATCAGCACCAGTCTTGCCTGCTTTGTGTAGTAGACGAACCAACCCTCAAACAAAAGCAATGAGCCGTGTATCAATGTGTTATGCGTGTTGATGTAGCAGCATTTGAGAAAGAGAAGAAGGACGAGATGGATTATATTCCATCGTGTTTGTTTTGCTTGCCCAGAACATTTTGAAGCGTGGCATCTCTAACGAGAGTATCTAGTGATGATGATTGTTGAATTTTTGGATAGAGCTATTGCGTTGGTTGCAATGGCTAGCATCCGTCACTAGCATCCTGAAACAGTCGTTGTCTGTAGAGCGGCGTAGTTGAACCAGAATAGTCATCTAGATATATACTGCTGACTTCTCGTAGTCTTGCAACGCTAAATTATCACCAACAAACAAAGTGCACGTAGAACTCACTTACAACCTGTAACATTTCTGTTATTTCTTCCTCTTCCTTTCCTCTTCAATCACGGTTCCGAGATTTTCTCACTCGCCTTCTTCTTATCCTGATTAGCCCGATATATCTGGCTGCGTTCGTGCAGCACTAGTTTAATTCGCGCCATGGACTTCTTAACCTTTGTCCGTCGCGAGGGGTTTGACATGACCAAGTTCTTGGCACGACAATGCTGTAGCTCCGTAAGTAATGCATTGCGCTCTTTAAGCAGCACAAACCAGAGTTTATGCAGGTCTTTAGTGCTCTTTTCACGCAGCATCCAGGCTTTCCAATCACCGCCTACTGTCACCTGCTTGGATCCGACGCTAGCCGGCACTTGCGTGAGGTTGTTGGTCTTTGCACTCTCACCCGCCAACTTTTGCACTGGAAAAAAGTCCTCAAGACCACGACGGACCGTTTGTCCCGCATTGACACGTAAACCACCAAAGAGACGACGTAATTGGAACGACATGATGGTGCAAATACCGAAATGCTTTGGTTCTCCGGGTCCACGAGTATATTAGGGACGACGATAAGTACGATTCGAGTCAAAGGCTGGTACTTATGTAGTCTCGACTCGAACTTATCAAGAAATGTAGTCAAATAAAGTACAGATCAAAAAATGGGTACTTTATTGGGATTTGCTGGGCCAAAAATGATTCCTTTTCTTCCACCACGCTTTAGAGTATACCAAGCTTTTCTTTGCTCACATTAGATCTCGCATACCACAGTGATCCGCCTGACCGTAGTCATTCGGACGTCTATGTAGTGGTTGGTTGACATAAAAATGTAACATATTACTACTGTCAGTGTCGTGGATTGGTGTAGCTAGCTATATCTTGAGCTCGTTTTGCACCGAAATTCTTTAGGATTCAAGGTGGGAAATGTTATTTGTATGATAGACGCCTAAGTAGTCAACGCAATGTCTACATGGAGCATATAAGTTTTGTATTCTGTGCATGTGTTCTACTACCTGTATAAGAAGCATAGGTGCTAGAAATGCGGTACTGTGCCATTTCATGTATTACGGTGCGCTTAGAATATATATATCAAATATCATGTTGAGTTCGTGATCAGCCTGTCACAAACGACGCGTCAGCTCGGTGGCTTTATGATCGCATCCGTTCGTCAGGCTGCAAGGCGTGGGTACGTTCGATCGGAATCTCATTCACGTCCCGGCACGTCTTTAACAGTTGCAATCCTGTACCGCCTGATTTGAATTGTACAGAAGGATGAAGCTGAATTGCAGCATGATATCCTCCCATCGCCGTCATTACGCGCATCCTATGAGTCGAACGGTATTCCCAAGGTAGGAGGTGGTAGGTACTGTATCTGCTGACATCACTGACCGCGTCACATTTGAGCGGTTCACAACAAGTATTTAACCGCTCAAGGTGTTTAAGATGGATCCATGTGTGACGTGGCATATCAAAGAAGTCGTCGGCCAAATTGTTGCGACTGCTGGCAGGTTCAATCGTCCTTTTTTTCTTCAAACATATAACCTTAACCTCTTGTAGGTATTCTTTTGCAGATAGAAGCAAGAAAAACACAGCTAGTTGTGCTTATGTAGAAGAAGCTATATATATCATGCATTGCGTTTCGGCTTTGCTGGTAAGAAAAGCACACGATCAACTTCAGGCCAGCAAGCAGCAAGTGATGTCACATTCGTGGTGGTATAACAAAAAATTGAATTCAACTAGCTGTCTCTTCTATGTGTATAGTGACGATAGGCTTATCACACACCTTTATGTGACAGGCGGAGCTGGCTATCCCACTGCATACAAATGCCAAGTCATTTGCACCACTTGCTGCCCGATTCGTGCTCGTCGACGCTGTCGACGCGATTGCAGTTGAAGCTCACTCATTTGCTGCAGACCGTCTGTTCCGTGGTGCACCCAAGCACGAGCAGTAGTACCTGATACAATTTGGTTTGCCATCTAGTGACATCGTTGGTGATTTCATCGCCTTGGAAGCAGACTATTTCTCTTTCTGCGTGCTTCGTGACAAACTTCAAATCATAAGTGTCATCAATTACATCTTCCTTCATCACGTTTGTAGATAGATGCCTATGAATAAAGACGTATCTAGTAAGATTAACAAGTTGAGCCAAATGGAGGAGGTCAAGGCGCTTATTTACTCGAGCAAAGTCTTTAATGAAGACACTGTGACCAAAGAGATTGAATGGTTTTACGGTCCTTTAGGTATCCATGACTTTTACTTCATGGGTCAGTCTCCGGAAGTAATTGCGCATCATATTCAGAGCCTTATTGCCGCCAAGCTCATGTCCAAAGCCTCGAACCGCCCTGATGTCAAGCTTGAGCAAGAGAGTGACAATGGAGCCTTCTTTTCGGTGCTAAGCAATGTTGTGGGTAGTAGCAACGAGCCAAGTCGTCGTGCTGCTCGCTATGACGCTGGCATCACCGAGACTGAGGTATTGGAGCGCCGTCTCGAGAAACAGTATTTCAGCGGCTCCAGTGGTGTCATTGGTGACGGTGTCAAAGCCGGCTATCAATACCTAGAGAGGGCAGAAGCTACTAAAAAGCGCACCTACCGTATGCAATGTTACCGATCAAAAGGCGTGCTAGACCCTCTTTCAGTGCCTTATCACGTGCGTATGTATTTCTTACAAGAACCAACCTTTGTCGATCCGAACACGAGCGAGAACGAGACTAACATCAACAAAGTGGCTGACAAAGTCTTCCTCGAGCGCTCTGGTCCGCACCTAAAGGAGGTCTATCAAGAGTGCATTATCAAGGCTATGGACCAAATGACCCCTGCTTTCCACTCTGAAATCTGGACTGAGTCTGACGGCTCCAAAATGGCTCGTCTTGCTATTGCTTATCGTAGCGGTGCCACACACTCGTACTTTTCCAGTATTGCCGACGTTTACCGCCAGCATGGTCTCTTCTCACAGCGCAAGTACGCCGAGTTTTTTGCCAATGGTATTGTCATTTACACCTTTTACTTGCAAATGCTCGACAAACCCACGGCCGGAAAGGGTTCGTTTGAGGACCGTCTCAGCGCAGCTATGAATGACGCCTCAATGCACTTTACGCTGCCTCGCACGTCGCTGACACCCATGCTTACCGATGGTCTGCTGACTCCGCAGCAGATTGCGTACGCGTACGCGGCTTGGAAGTTCACATTTCATTTCATGCACCGCCTGCCCGAGTCATTCGCCATTGTGAGCAAGTCGTTACGTGACCGCGATCCAAACGCATTTGCCCGTCTTGAACAGCTTCGCGCCACCATGAAGCTCAACACATATACCGAGTCACAGATTCTTGACCACATTCTAAGCTCGGCCGAGATTGTCAAGATACTTTACGCTGAGTTCCAGGCCCTACACGAGCCGATCAAGGATGGTAAGCGTGCCGAAATGAACACCGGCGTTACGCTTTCGATGTTGCGCAAGTCCATTGTAGCCGAGCAGGCTCTGCAAATTTTCTCTCTATTCCACGTGTTTAACAAACACATTAAAAAGACAAACTTTTTTGCCAACGACAAGGCTGCTCTCGCTTTCCGCCTTGACGGCAAGTTCCTGAGCAAGACTGAGTTTCCAGATGAGCCGTACGCCGTTATCTTCGTGATCGGCTCAGAGTTCCGTGGCTTCCACGTTCGTTTCCTGGACGTTGCTCGTGGTGGCATTCGAATGATTCGCTCGTCGCATGCGCAAGTATACCTGAACAATGCTTCGTCACTCTTCGACGAGTGCTACGGTCTTGCCTCGACGCAGCACCGCAAGAACAAGGACATTCCAGAAGGTGGTTCCAAGGGTGTTGTGTTGCTCAATCAAGCTCACCAGGACAAGGCCGATGTTGCCTTCCGCAAGTACATCGACGCTGTGCTCGACCTTATGCTCATGAAAGAGCCTGAAGAGGATATTCTGTTCTTAGGTCCTGATGAAGGTACGGCACATCTCATGGACTGGGCCAGCTCGCACGCTAAGCAGCGTGGTTACTCATACTGGAAGGCTATCACGACGGGCAAGTCGGCTTCGCGTGGTGGTATTCCGCACGACATGTACGGCATGACTACCCACAGTGTGCGCGAGTACGTGATTGGCATTCAGCGCAAGCTGCAGCTTCAGGCGCCTATCACTAAGGTACAGACTGGTGGCCCTGACGGTGACCTTGGCAGCAACGAAATTAAGATGAGCCCGCAGGAGGAGACCATCGCCGTCGTGGACGGTTCAGGTGTATTGTATGACCCCAAGGGCATCAACCGCGAGTGTCTTGTAAAGCTTGCTGATGAACGTAGCCCAATCTCGGCATTCGACACGAGCAAGCTGTCTTCGGAAGGGTACTCGGTGCTTGTTTCACACAACGATGTCACGCTTCCCAACGGCGAAGTAGTGGAGAACGGTACAGAGTTTCGCAACTTCTTCCATTTGCGCCCGAGCTTGACGGCTGACTTTTTCGTGCCGTGCGGTGGTCGTCCTGCTGCTGTAAATCTGAACAACGTTGAGCAGTTCATGTACCGCGAAGATGGTCGCACGCTTCGTTTCAAGTACATTGTAGAGGGTGCAAATCTATTTTTCACACAGGATGCCCGTTCTCGTCTAGAAGATGCCGGTGTGATCCTGTTCAAGGATGCTTCGGCCAATAAAGGTGGTGTCACGTCGTCGTCTCTCGAAGTACTGGCTGCTCTGTCCATGACGGATGAAGAGTTTGCGGAGCATATGCAAGTTGACGAAGCAACTGGTAAACCTCCAGCATTTTATGCCAACTACGTAAGCGAAGTGCAAAAGCGTATTGACCTGAATGCGCAGCGTGAATTTGAGTGTATTTGGCGTGAACACAAACGATCAGGCACCTACTATTCCGTCCTGACGAATCAACTTAGTGAACGCATTACGGACTTGAGTAGCAAAATTCAACACTCGACACTTTGGGAGAATGCGCCATTGCGTAACAAGATCTTTGCCGATGGGTTTCCAGAAATTCTATTGCGCAAGACTTGTATGGAAGAGCTACTTGAGCGTTTACCGGAGAGTTATACGCGTGCTTTCTTTGCATCACAGCTTGCTAGCCGCTTCATTTATAGCGTTGGTCTAGGTGCGCCCGAGTTTGCATTCTACGAGTTCATTCAGGAGCTTATTGGAGACAACTAAAGAGTCTTTAAAATAAAAGATTTCGCAGGTGAGTGAGAAGACGAATTCTGAGAATTTTCGCAGGTGAGTGAGCACGCTGATAACGGAAATTTATACATTGTAAAAGCATGCTTTTACTTAGATTGTCTTTGGTTTTATAACTGTTTTTGCAAGAAATATGCCTTACTTTATGTGCTATACATTAATTAGATGTGTAATGACTGGATTGGTCAAAATAAATTCGAATTCATCCAATGTCGTACATAAGACAGATTGCGAGGTGGGTAGTTAATATACTTGATTGTTGTATGCCTACAAGCAATTGACTCGTTTTTAAGTGGGGGCCACTCACACCTCAGACTAAGCACCAATAGTAACAAGAGAGCATATCATAAACCAAACAACGGGTTCAGAAGGCTTTGAACAAGCGATTAGTGACTATGCAGCGATTATTTCAGGTGCGTCACTGACCTCTTTCTATATACAATACAATGACACAATAGTAGTAGAAGATAATACTAGTAAACTGTAGTCAGTCTCTGCCTTGTCGAAATGACGCATCGTAATTGTATCAACTACAGCAAGACGAAGAGAAAAAAAACCGTGAAATGCTGTTACTTTTCATACTAAATGATCCTGTGACTATGCTCTTGTCATGTCAATTCATACAGACTGGACTTTGTAAGAAGAATGTCTGGCAACGTGTGACTATTTTTAATGTCCATCGTGCCAATCCTGTTGCCCGTGTTGAGGCTTCCATGACCATTTCGGTCCGGACTTTTAGTTCATCACTACCAGACCATGAGGTTGTTGGTCTACCAGCTCTATCTCCTACTATGGAGGTTGGAACGATTGCCAAATGGAACAAACACGAGGGTGAACACATTTCAGCTGGTGATGTCGTTTGTGAAGTAGAAACGGACAAGGCTGTCGTTGACTTTGAGGCGACGGACGATTCATATCTTGCCAAGATCCTGGTGCAAGCTGGTTCTGGTGAAGTTGCTGTAGGTAAACCAATTTTCGTGACTGTGATGGAGGAAGAGGACGTTGCTGCCTTTAAGGAGTTTTCGGCTGACGAGATCCCTACTGAAGATGCTTCCCCGGCTACCCCTGCTGTTGAAGCTGCCCCGGATACCCCTGCTGTTGAAGCTGCCCCAGTTGCTGCAAACGCCACTACTACAACTCCTGTCTCTGGTGCTTCAGATGCTGCTCCTGCCTCGGGTCGCGTGTTTGCCAGTCCGCTAGCCAAAAAGATTGCCCGTGAGTGTGGTGCTGTGTTGTCCGTGATCAACGGTTCTGGTCCCAATGGCCGTGTCATCAAGGCGGATGTGGAGGATGCTCTGGCTAATGGCACTGCTGCGCCGGCTATGGAGACTTCTGCTAATGCATCGTCCCCGCCTGCCGCCGCCAGCTCAACCACCACTACCACTAACCACACGGACTATCCGATCAGTCCGGAGGCTCAGGCCATTGCCCAGCACCTGACAAAGCAGAAGTTAGAGGTGCCACACTACCACTTGTCGACAACCTTGACGCTCGACAAGCTGCTTGATGCGCGTGCCCGCCTGAACGCTGGCCGTGGTGAGGACGAACAGCTTTCCGTGAATGATTTTATCGTGCGCGCCGCTTCTCTTGCCATGCGTAAGGTGCCAGACGCCAACTCGAGCTGGAAGGGCTCATTCATTCGTCAATTCAACGATGTGAATGTGAACCTGATGATGACGTCAGCTACGGGTGGTCTCGTAGCTCCCGTACTTACCCAGGTGAACCGTAAGGGTCTGGACGACATTCGTAAGGAGACGCAGGAAGCTGTGGCTAAAGCGAATGACGGTGTTTTCAAGCCGGCTGACCTGGCCAACGGCACCTTTACAATCTCCAATGTTGGCCAGTTTGACGTGCAGTCGTTGGCCGGTATTGTGCGTCCCGAGCAGGCGTGCATGCTCGGCCTGGGCACAATTGAGAAGAAGGTGGTGCCGAACGACGATCCAAATGCTGAGCAAATTTATAAGTATGCACAGGTAATGACCGCCACGCTTGCTTGCGACCACCGCGTCATTGACGGCGCTGTTGGTGCGCAGTGGTTAGCCTCCTTTAAGGAGCTTGTGGAGGACCCGCTGAAGATGATCCTGTAAGTGGTGCCACAAAATTGCCATGGAGCAGGAAGTGAGTAAGCGATAAAGAAATCTGGCTTTATGGTGTCCCAGCAAACCTGTGCGCTGCAACGACTTCAGCTCTTTATGACTTGGTCAGACCTGTTTCACTTGCTGTTACGCTGTATTTGGCGGCATTTGCAATTGAGCAAGTCCTACTTTGTACATGGGCTCAGTAGCCAGATAGATTGAGATGGAGTAAGTTGGTAAAGAAGACAAATATTCTTTGACCAGTAATGGTGGTTTTGTTTTATGTAGCGCACTATTTACACGTAGTTCCGATCAGTTCATTCGCCTTTCATTCAAACATGACTAGCTTAGTGAATTCATCTTTCTCTTTTAAAGTAGTGCAACATTCTTCCAGTATCTCGTTCACTGATTCAATTCGGTAGCCATTTCGAAATAAACTATAATTCATTACTTCTTCTTGGATCACACCTTTTTGTACCGGAATTTGGCACTTTCCTCAATAAAGTGAGTGTCGTCAACAATATGCCAAATTTGTATACATGGGCTCATATCGTGAGAACTTGATACACTTCACATCGGCAATCAGTATTTGTGCTTGCAGAACGGCTGCAAAGCTCCGTCCTTCTTACAACTCAATCATCAGCCAAGTGCAGTCTTTACATTCGTACAAAAAAGGCATGGTTGTATCGTTCGAACAAAGACTGAACCTTTAGTAAGAGCTGAAGTCGACAAACACAAGATGTACGGAATGACTATGGCCATCAACATTCTTCTAGTCTATGAATGCGTCATCCGGTTTAGATGCTTTCGGTGGTCAGTAGCATAAGGTCATGGCAGAGATAAAATCCTACAAAGCGTCTCCAAGAGTCTGCACAATGTTTACCACGTGGCTCATACTTATTAAAACTCATAAGACTTTGAGGTAAAAACAATACAATTATCGACTTAAAATGAAATCTAGATCGACATCATGACACTACAGGTGACAGTACGAACTCCTTACCATGGTTGTTGCCGAGTCTAGACACTATACCATGATAGGGCAACATTGACGATATTACGTCGAACCGCGGCGACGGGAACACTTCGCACCTGTATGAACTTCATTGGCAACCTCACCTTGCTCGACGCTAGTTTCCGCGTCATGAACAGGTTTCGTGCTTGCAGGAGTCGTCACCTCAGCTTCATATGCGTCCTCAGTGGTTTTGTCTGAAGTCTTTGGGGTTGCCCGTGTAGACGGTGACGACGGTGTGGATGGTGCGGGCGATGTGGACGGTGTGGATGGTGTGGACGGTGTGGATGGTGCGGACGGTGTGACCGCTGGCTTAGTTTTCGAGGGAGTTGTAGTGGTGGTCTTCGTATCGAATCTGTACTCCGCACCTTCAGTTGCACCGTTGATGTTAATGCAGTTAACTGTAGGTATCAAATTTCAGTCAAAGTTCATTGTAATCACATACTTCAACGTAACAAACTTACTGTAAATTTGCCAGATAGGCCCGTGCATAGCAATCCAGTAGAACGTATAGCGCTTGGCGGTTTTGCAAAGTGAAGTATCGATCGGTATAGGAGATGCTCCCTTGCCCGAGGCGGACTTGTAAGTCACCTGACAGTTCCTATCGGTCTGAACTCGGTTTCCATCGCAATACGATTCACACGGTCCCGGATGGTTCAATCCTTCATCCAGAGTGAGATCATCGTTCCTGCCCCAGTACACTGTTTTGTTGAGTGCACCATAGCTGACCTTATCCGGAATTGTGAAGCCACAGGTTTCTGTTGCATCGGGCGAAATCACTACTTGATTGTCCTCGATGAGTTCTTTCAAAGTTTTGTACTTGGACTTCTCGAAGTACTCGAAAAAGTTCTTGATATTGAGAAGAGGGTCAGTGTTGAATACTCCACCAGGGAATAGCTTCGAGCTGTCGATAGTAGCCGAATACGACGTTACATCCACGCTTGGAACGAACATGGCCATAGGCTGAACCATGCGTCCGTGAGCAGCAACTTGGCTACAGTCAAATGCTGCTAATATTGACACGACAACTGATAGCTTCATTTTCCTTCCTCCTTCGACAACGTCAATTGATAAATGAATTATTTGCAATGCAAACTCGTCGCAAACTTGAGTCAAGCCTTTGCATTGCAAATCAGATTGGGTCTAGGTGTCTCCAATCTTCCTATTTACAGCCGTCGACCATCCTTGCTGTTAGCATCGGTGCTCTCTCTTCTGTAGCAAAGCTTTATTAAGAGACTTTGACATTCTGTACGATATATGTAACGTCTTGTGACGAATCTATACGGTCAAAAAAGCGAATATCTCAGCGTTTGGAGCTGCACTTGAAGAGACGGTGTTGACACAGTTTCGCCACAAAAAACTGAGTTACCACGCCACCTCTACTCCAGCCGTTACCTTCATTTGATTCCATATCAGTGCACACCGGTGCCTTTGCAGACCAGTCAACATCATTTAAATTCGACAACGGGAATATTCTCATGAGCTGGGTTTTCAAACGACAAGCGGGTATCGATGCCAAAGTTTCTTAATGACGTAGCGATGATGGTTGAGCGAAGATGATTTCTATCGGATGCAATCGCGACCACTATGATTAAGCTCGCCGCCATAGACGATGAATTTTGTCGTTGGAGCCATTGTCGTTGATGCTGACATCGGTGTGACAGGTTGGTCGTGTATATAGTTGCGACGATTATCGGGCTCACGCTCTTGAAAGATATGAAGCCAACGTCGACACATTTATGCTCACAAGGATGAAGAAGATCTTCCCGACCAGACGCAATTTACATGCACCTTGCCAGGCGGCCAAGAGCGACGCAAAGCAACGTGTTGTTGCTTGATTCGGTCGTACAGGAGGTCAGCAAACGTAGACATGTAGTTGATGGTGCAAACGTCGTTTCCATACTCGCGTCGTTGGGACCAAATCTTGCGCGGACCTTTGTGTGACAAGTGAAGTCCTCTCTGATCGCGTGCGATCTATTCTCCAAAAGTCTGGGACCTTATCGAGATCGACGTGCGCGCTCTACCGTTAACAATGGCAATGACTTTGAAATGTCGCTGTCACCGCCTCCAACGAGACTGAAGTTGAGTAAGATGGGTAAAAGATGCCTAGTAGGTGTAAGGATCGTGACGGCAAATTGCTCTACATTGTAAGGTTCGTCTCACTACGAGTTTAGGAGGTGTCTGTCAAGTACATTTGTTAAAAGGACTAGTACTAGCCGACGTAAAGCTGACTGCAAATTGAGAAACTGAAACTTTATAATTACATGCCACTGGTTTTTCTCCTTGCATAGGGATACCAGCGGCAAAAGTGCATTCATGACCGCAAAAGTACTTTATAGTATCTTTGTTCAATGTGATAGAGATTAAATAGCAAGCTAAGTGCCTCAATTTGTGCTTATGACACCCCCAACTAGAGGACGATAATGGACACCAAACGTAGGAAGAAAACATTCCATGAACGCCTTGCATACATTCTTCGTACTAGTTCTTACAATAGTATTGTTGACACTAAATGACACTTTCACTTGATGATCTTTTTAAAGCTTCAACAACAATCTCTTTCTTGCACCACAAGTCGATCCTCGAAAACACATGCTGCAACGCTACATCCTCATAAACAGTTGGTATTTGGTATGAAAGGCTGAATACAGAATGAAAAAACTTTGGCTCTCAAATTTTTGACTCTCGTGAGAAAAAAGTCTCAGGCCAGCTAGAAACCTACAAGAGTGCAAGAGAGCTTTATCAACAGCGCTTGTGAAAAGAGAAAGAAACAAGCTACTCCATGTAAAAACACAACCAGCACTGGACCTTCGGTTTCGTCATGCCAGATATTTTCAGTATCTTAGAACTTGCTGAAACGGATATCCGTCGACCATCTTTTACGCACGTTTCATTGTATCTACGAACGACGATTAAGTGGTGCCGCTACTAGCATCTTAAGAAAGTATTCGTCTTTTTTTTAAAGGTAGAAAAGTATCAGTGAAATAGTCCTAGCGATAACAAAAACAAGTAACGCAAACGTTCGCTTGCTCTGATCCAAGTGAGCTTATGATATTCGTGCATGGTCCGGGTCTGAAAGATGAAAGTTGTGGCAGCACAGCGACGCAAAGGATACGGCTCATAAGTTTCATGTCTACCTATATGTAAAGAAATCGCACGATTCCAATGCACTGAATGAATTTGTTGATGCTACTAGGAGAAGAACAATCATCTTCATAGTGGTAGATGTCAATCAATGACCAGCATCAAGCTGCCAAAACACACGAAGATTCAAATTCAGTACGAACTGACTTACATAACCTGACGGTAAATAGAGTGCCGTCTTACTAATTAGCACAGCTGACGATGTTTATATCGCACCATGGTCGATAAAGAAAGAAATGTGTGCCACCGGAACCCATACGCAAGGATTGGGGCACCTCATGGCGGATATGCTGGCGGCTTCCCCGAATCTCGTACCCCTGCTTTTTGGCACATGGGCCTCCTTCCACACTTTACACACCATATGGTGCAGGTTGGGAGTTGAAGCTCAAGCATCCGATTGGATGCCTTGCTCGGCACAAGAGCCCCTGAGTTACGCTGGGAATTACGTCTCACTACATTGGCATAGAATTAAGCTACTAATTTGTCCGTAGACTCAAGCAGGTTGGTAAACTTTGTTACAAAAACAAACTAGTCACCAGCCAAGTATCGTCTGTCAGCATCGCATTTTAGCATGAGCCTGCTGGTTGGCTTGTGTTTTCATGCTTAGCAGCCGAATTTAAGCACGATGTAGGAGCTATCCCACCGAGTGTCGCCGTACGCTTAGTGGAAGAATGGAATCTGCTACATGCAGTATTGACACAATCTTCAATAAAATAACACTTTACTGCATCTTCTTGATGATCATTCAAATCTGAAGGAAGATAGATACATCGGATATACATATGATAAGTTGAGCCCACAGGTCCCTTCAGCTGTTAGCGATGTCCATCTCAACTGCTTGCGGTCGAGTGCGTTTGCATGGCATCGCTGTCCGAGGTGACGGAAGTATCCTAGAGTTAGCATTGCTCACGGGTGACTTTTTCGTCAAGGACTGCTGGGTCTGTTGGAGCTATGGTATTTGCGGAAGCCCTCCGGGTGAATATAGTAGCTTGCGGAGACGATTGGCCATCATCCGTTGTCACAATGTCAGCGCGTGCCGGATAGGTCTAGCTCGCACAATCTGCGTGGCGGTAGATTGTAGCGCACAGTTGCCGCCTGAGACGCATCTCGTTACACTTGAAGGAATAGTGGTTGTTGGCTAGTCAATTCGCACCATCTCAGGGCAAATTGGTCAGCAGTCAGTATTTTAGCCACGGATTCGTGCTGTCAGCTCTGGGCTTGACAACGCTGAGCATCATGATGCCGGTGTGCGGTACCTGGATGGCCCACTGATACTGTAGTTTGACTCATCATCATAACGTAAAGAAGGATTGGTAGATCGATCTGACTGCGGAGTTGTAGTCTCGTACGCTATGTGCGCCGCAGTCAGCTCAGTACTGTTGCGAAATATATATCTCAGTGTATTTTGGCCATTTATTTCTGCGTGTTGACTTGGACGAGACTACAGAGAGTACGACTGTAATGAGCGACGAGAACTGTTGCTCGATATTTATGGCTCGCAGCGAACGCAGCGTTGAGTTTGAATGAAGGTGAGAAGTTATTATTGGTACGATCTAATCTTTTAAATTTAAAAATACGCGCAAAGCTGATCCGATGTGGATTTCACCGTTTGTGTACTCACAGTGATTCATTCATAGCTACTTACTGCTATGAATGAATCTACCCTGTGAGTACGGTCCTAAAGCCGTTTACGAAAACGGAACAAATTCCGGCACTAGAAGACTACTGTTTATCTAAAGTCACATGCATTTGCTTTATCAAGCAAGATCCAAAGCGTCAGACCCGTCCTTGCCAGCTCAAAACCTTGTGGCCAGAAGTAGTCGTGAAAGCCAGAAGTGGTCTTCGACGTCTGGCTTGTAGCCCTTCGTGAATCTTTACTCGTCACAATTTGCCCAATACTGCTTTGGAATGGACGTCTAAGTTCTCAGTAAAATTTTGGGGCAGCAATGTGTCAGACACTACATTCCTTGCTAGTGTCTTTCTCAAGGGGTGATGAAACGATATTTTCACTGATCATACGAAGCAAACCTCGACAATGCAAAAGGAACAAGAATCTTGTTTGTACGTATTTTCTGCTACTTTGTGCAAAACATAGTCTAGAAACTGACCACAAACCACTTGAGGTGCTATTTGCGGTGGTGCGAAACTCCTGTCACCCTCTTCAAATCCCAAGGCTACAAATCAAATCCAGATATATGACGCACCTGCATGCGTCAGCGTCCAGTTGTTCAATAAAATGGCACTCGGTTTTACTGACCAGTTTCATCAGTAGCCACATGTCATAGCAAACAGATGCAGCATCTTGTCTGTTAAATCAGAAACATCCTACTTTTTTTTAAACGGAAATCGCACCGGCTGCTGGGAATTTTGCGGATAAGCGCCATTCGTGTAGAAACCATCTTTGATAAGACCTCTGTGGTGGGTCCTGATGACTTGAAAAGCTTTATTATTATCAGTCACGTGATAATTATCTCAATGGTACTCGACCAAGTTTCATCACAACACAATTTGCTCGGTCAAGTCCACAAGCCAACCCCGATACAACATCTTTCACACGCCTCTTTATGATGAGCTCCAAGACCCATATCACTGTTTTGGTTGGAGCTTCAGCTTTGTTCCTTGGCAGTGTAGACGCACACGGTTGGATGAGTCTACCAGCAGTGACCTTCCCAAATAACGTTGACAAGACGCAATTTATTGCGTCGATCCAATCTAGTGCTTCGGGCTTTTCCGGGTCATTTGGTGGCTCACCGTCAGACAACGCAGCAGCGTTTTGGAAGGGTTTCAAGTCGAGCAAGTATTCCTCTTTAAAGGAATTCGTGACAGAGTTGGCACAAATTGGCGTCGATGGGGCCACTATTGAATGTGGACTTACCGACCCGAACGAGACTCCTCAACCACTTCCGAACGAGATTGAGTGGACCCACAGTGAAAGTGAAGGCTTTACCCTCTCACACGAAGGTCCTTGTGAAGCTTATTGTGACAATACTTTAGTATTTCAAGACAAAAACTGCCCAGCTAACTTTCCCGCTGTTCCAGCTAAACTGCCTTACGATAAGGCGGCCTGCGCTGGTGCGAGTCGCCTAACGTTTTATTGGCTGGCCTTGCACTCGCCATCATGGCAAGTTTACATCAACTGCGCTGCACTTGAAGGTGGCAGCGGTGTGAGCTCACCTTCTTCGTCAAATTCAACCTATTTTGGGTCTACGGAACAGTCTGACACTCCGACAATCGCAACTACGCCAACGACATCACCAGCTACTCCGACGACATCATCGGTTACTCCGGCGACAGCACCGGTTTCTTCAACGACAATAGCCGATACTCCGAAGACATCAGCGAATACTCCGACGACATCACCTGATACTCCGAAGACATCACCGGTTGCTCCGGATACTGCGACGACATCAGCGAATACTCCGACGACAGCACCGGTTTCTTCGACGTTTGATGCCATTGCGCCCACTACTGTCAATAGTGCTGATCAGGAAGACGAAGAATGCGGATCTCTTGATATTGCTGGTGGTGAGGAGGATTGTGATTTACTGGATATTGCTGGGAATTCTGTTGAGCAAACCGCGATTCGTTCGGAATCGTCACTTAACTTTGACAACATTGATGATGGCAGCTACGTTAGTGGCAAAGTGGAAGCTGCATACTAAAATTAGATCCATTGTTGTCGTTCATGTCGATTTGCGTGAGATTTATAATACATGTTTTGTTTAACCAATGCAAAAAGAAACCTAATTAATTGAAGCAAAAATGTGTTGGAAGGTGTTTTATCAATCGACTGCGCTCGGGTACTGAGCGTGTCATCGTATACAAGTGAAGTAATGTTATGGCAGAAACTACAGGTCTTGAAAAACTTGTAAGCTACTGCTTGATGTGTCAGTTCTGATCGTAACGCAGCAGGTAAACAAGTGCATGCGGCCAAAATCATCAACTTAACTCAATTGATGCCTTAAGCGTGGTAACGACGTTATTGCTTAGATATTATGGCGGGACCATAGAGAAGCCTGGTAAGAACAAAAGTCGGTGGTCGCTATCTACAAGCTAAAGATACCGTCGATTTGCAACAATGGTGCAACGTTTGGTTGCAAAGAAACTAGTCATTATACTACTGTTGTTGTTGTTGTAACCACGTCACCAAGCCACTTTGGATCATCGCAATAGTTTTTACCCGACTAATGGCTCTAGCTGTTTCATTGGTATTATCGCTAGGATTTGTCCACGTCAAAAAGTATTACTCTTGTCCCGCGGTTTGTTCATAGTATTTAGAACGTGCAGCAATGTACTATTTTGTTTTACATTATTGATCACTTTCTTCCACTAATATAAAAGCGACTTGAAACCAGTTCTGTTCAAAATGACACAAGCCAATTTCTCAGAAAAATGGACTTAAAAACTTGTGAAATACTCGTTTGTGTAGTAAAATGATACGGATCTGAATACAAGGTAGCGAGCGGTAGTCGGCGTTTGTAGTCAATTATCAAAATGCAAGAGTAAAGTCGACCTAAAATGGAAGCTAGTAGTTCCGCATAAAAATGACACATTTCCTTTAACAACGTCGAGCCTCCTTGAAGCATATTTCAGTTACCATGATTACAATGTTTTACATTCAATGTTAACACAAGTGCGTAGCGGCACTTGGCCTTTTGTCACGTTTTACGCTACAATCACGTAAAAAGGGACGTAAGTCCCCCAGTTCTCTAACCAGCCCATCGTTAACCAGTCATCTCGCCTTGATACGGGCTAAACTCATCGTTCGACTCGCTGTTCTTGTCGGTAGTGCTCGAATCCTTGTCGTCAGTATGTCCCAAACTCTTGACTTTAGCATTGCCCGAATTTTTGTCGTCAGTATGCCCCGAAATCTTGTCGCCTGTATTACCCGTATCCTTGCCGTCAGGATTCGATGAGGAATCACCTCGGAAGACGCTAAAATCAATGTCCGACGGCGCACCGCTACCAGTATTCCCCCAGTACTTGTTTTCAGTATTCCCCCAGTACTTGGTTTCAGTATTCCCCCAGTACTTGTTTTCAGTATGCCCCGAGTCGGTATTGCCCGAGTCCTTGTGTTCGCTATTGCTCGAATTATTGTTATCAGTGTTGCCCGAATCCTTGTTATCAGTGTTGCCCGAATCCTTGTTATCAGTGTTGCCCGAATCCTTGTTATCAGTGTTGCCCGAATCCTTGTTATCAGTGTTGCCCGAATCCTTGTTATCAGTGTTGCCCGAATTCTTGTCGTCGTTATGCCCCGAATTCTTGACGTCGGCATTCCCCAAATTCTTGTCGTCGGCATTCCCCGAATTCTTGTCGTCGGCATTCCCCGAATTCTTGTTTTCGCTATTGCTCGAATCGTTGTTGTCGCTGTTGCTCGAATCGTTGTTATAAGTATTGCCCGAATCCTTGTTATCAGTGCTGCCCGAATTCTTGTTATTAGTGTTGCCCGAATTCTTGTCGTCGGCATTACCAGCATCCTTGCCGTCGGAACTCGGGGATGAAATACTTTGGATAACACTGAAATTAATGTCCGACGGCGCGCCGCTAGACTGCGGGTTGGTATGCCCCGATTCCTGGTTTTCGATATTGCCCAAATTTTTGTCGTCGGTATTGCCCGAAATTGTGTCGCTTTGAGTGCCTTCGGTACCAGGTAGCTGTGACGAGGCGTTACCGCCGGTAATGACCGACGATGTGTCGCCCGGAGACTTTACGGTACCAGGTAGCTGTGACGACGTGTTACCATCATCATCAGGGGCCTCGGCCATCTCCATTGAGTCGCACTCGGAATCGGAATCAGCCATCTCAAGCGAATCACACTCGGCATCGTCGTCATCATCTTTGGTCTTTTCATTATGACCACCACCCTGAGGTTGTTGCGACGTACTCGAGTCAGACTTTTCCTTCTTGTCCGTCTTGTTACCAGCATTTCCATTGTTAGATGAGCTCTCATTCTTTTCGTTACTTGAGCCTCCATGTTCATTGTTATCAGTGTTGCCAGCGCTCCCATTGTTTTTATTTGGCGATTCGTCGGAAGTACCGTTGGGAGCCTGCGTTACTTCGCTGCCCCCCGTGCCATCCGTCTTAAGTGCATCAGACGACGTATTGCCCCCGGTAGGTAGTTTCTCATCTCCAGCCATGTCAAGAGAATCACATTCCGGATCCTCCTCAGCCATGTCAAGAGAATCGCATTCCGGGTCTTCCTCAGCCATGTCAAGGGACTCACACTCTGAACCATCTGCCATCTCCTCTTCCACCGCCGCCTCAATAGCAATGCGCAGCGTTCTCTTGGCGCTATATGTTGATTTACTTGACACGACGGCATTGTAGCCGTCTACACTTCCTGTGGCCATGGTAAGGGCCACCGCTATCGCGGATGCAACGATACTTTTCTTCAAAGAAACCATTACTTTCACTCGCAAATCTCAAACAAAGTAGAGACAGTAGGGAAAAAATGAAAGCAAGTTTACGAATAAACGTATAACTAGAGGCGTTCAACACTGCAAGACTGGACACCCCCTCACAAAATGATAATTGTTTAAGATGAATACGACGCCAAGCAAATTTCAATGGCCTCTAACGTACCTTTGTCAAATGGTGGCTGGTGGTGTCTAGCGTTGCCTAATGCTTTGTAGGCTTAGGCCTAGTCAGCAGCTGTACTGTACCAATATTCTGCACAATCTACGATGAAGAAATACGTAACTTGATAAAACTTTCATCAGCAAAATCGTCGACCGGGACGGTGTTTTCAATCGACTTTTCCACCAGATTCTAGTCAACTTTGCAAGATCTAAGTATTTTACCACTCCATACACTAGAATCTAAAGCAGGTTGAGGTGTAGTGTATTGATAGAGAAACCTACAGGTGGCATGTAGGAATTATTTGCGTAAAAGAGAAGGGCCGATGACCGATCAAAGCAAGCAAAATTCCAAATGTTTATGCAAAAAGCGCCCATCGAATGGCTATGGACAGGTAATTGCGACGCCAGCAAAAAAATAAACATTTTCGCAGTACGATTTGTTCATGTCGTGTATAACGAATGCTAGTATGAATGTGAATGTACAATCGCGTAAATGTCACGACGACGACGACATTGCAATACCGTAGTCGCTAAGCTTTACTTGAGCCAAAGGATTCAAAAGTATAGACATTACTGTCGCTCTAGGCAATGCCATAGCTGGTCACATGGGGAGTTACTCTAAAAGCGCCCATCGAATGGCTATGGACAGGTAATTGCGACGCCAGCAAAAAATAAACATTTTTCGCAGTACGATTTGTTCATGTCGTGTATAATGAATGCTAGTATGAATGTGAATGTACAATCGCGTAAATGTCACGACGACGACGACATTGCAATACCGTAGTCGCTAAGCTTTACTTGAGCCAAAGGATTTAAAAGTATAGACAGTCGCTCTAGGCAATGCCATAGCTGGTCACATGCCGAGTTACTCTAAAAGCAGGAAGAGAGAGGAGAAAAGGCATGGTGATCTAGAGTGAGCGATCGAGTTTGAGTACTCGATTGACAATTACGTATTTATACTCTTGTAAACTTGTACATGAGGTTTAATGATATCGTTCTGTAAGGATTCTGTATAGTAATAGTTTTACGGCCTGCTGCATGAGCTAGAGACTTCTTTCCAGTTTAAACCGAAATTCATTAACTTTGAAGACTTCTTTCCGAGCGTTAATGAGAACCTGAAGAAGAATCGATGGGTCCACAGTCGACTCTTTGTAGGACGTGTATAGACAAATCCTTGCTAACGCGTCGAACGCCTTAGCGAAATCGAAGTATAAGCCCTACGTTCCGCCGTCAACTCCTTGGGTGAATCACAGATGGTAATGAAGAGACATTCTATGGCATTGTTTCTACGATAGCTAGTGTTTTCGACGAAATGCCTATTTTTTGAAGAACGTAACAATGTTAAGCCGGAAAGTGCTGAGAACTCGTGTAGAAAAGTGTTACGCAGGAAGAAAGCAAACAAAAGTTTGTAACTTTAAATGCACTGAACGCGACTACAACATAAGGGTAGTTATTGGCCATCCAAGACGGAAGCACAAGATAATCTGACAGAAGCGGGTTTGTGCTCGTTGTTATCAGCCAACCGGGAGGTCAAGTTTGGGCGCTGATCTTTTCTGAGGCGGCAACTTCATTCAGTAGGATTTCAAAGGCATTGAGGTCAATCAACTCAGTTGCATGAGGTGAGATCTAAAGAGGCCTGCAATATGTGTTAAAACTGGCAGTCAATGTCAAGCGTATCGTCGGGCTATTCTAGCGCTTATCATACATCGGCAATGCCGAAATAGAGCCACGAATCTGTTGCGTTCCAAACAAAGTCTTGGATGTTAATTTGGTCTATACGTCAACACCTCAATCTCCATATTAGTGGCGTTCATTCATAACTTGTACACAGCTTAGTTACCGCAACACTGTCATAACTTATTTGATTGAGCATAGATAGCAGCATTATGTAGATTTTGTTGGCTGGGATACGTATACAACGTCCATAACTGAACACTGTATACGTATACCAAGTTAGTAATTTCTCCTTTTTCGTATTCTCAACTTTGGACTCGACATTACATATTGCCGATAAATATCCACTATCCAATATGATTATTCGGAGATGTAACAAGATACAAAACGACAATAGTCTCGAAATATTTGGGTTTTAGTAATATAATTTTGATCTGATTTCTTTTGTTGAAGTGTAGCACACCATTGTTCCAATTACAAATATTGTGGACCAAGTGATTTCTAACCTCTAGCTTTTAGAAACGTTGCTATTCATTCGATTGGCCCTTCGACAAAGTAAAAGAACGCCCCATAATGGCAGACGATATTTCGACGTGGGACGCTACAAGCGTCATAGCTCAAGCAAAAGCGATGATCCATTCCAGTAACGTGCGTGTTCTACTACAACTTTCTCTTGTCTACATTTTCAAGCTTCTTGTAGCTTTCTAGACAGTCTATAGCCGACGCAATCATCATAAAAACGTCGTTATTTGGTTTTTCTAATTTTATACTTTTTGTTCGTATATGTTATTAATTTTAACAGTATGAAAAAGTAACAGATGCACGTAAAAGTGTAGATGATATTTTGGCCAATTGGGTGGCAGCAGTTGAGGAACAGAGTGACCCGAAGAGTGCCGCAAGAGGTAGTATCGCTATTGTGGCGCTCTGGCGTCAATACGCAGCGCTAGAGATGGAGCTTCGACAGTTTAAACAGGCTACAAAAGTCTTTGAAAAAGCTGTTAATTGCCGTGTTGCAGGATCCAGCACGGCTTTGTGGCTACAGTACGCAGACTTTTGCGTGCAAAGAAAGAAGTTTTCGAATGCACGAAAAATCTTTGTTCGAGCCTTGCATACGCTGCCAGAACGGGAGCAAACGGCAGTGTGGGCGAGATTCTATGGATTTGTGTGCACCCATGTAGACAACAAGCTGTCTTTAGCTATGCTACAGCATCAGGTCATGCCGGACAAGTACCCACAGCCAGGGACGACACCTGCTACAATACCTATTGCAGCACTTCCTGTTTCTTCTACTAGTGCTACTGTTTCTGTAGCTCCTGTTGCAGCTTCTACGTCGCTCAGTGCCTCGTCAGATGCGCTGACAACGATTCCGAGCACTTTGCAACCTCAACAGCCGCAGCCGGCACATGTCACGAGCAGTGAAAATAACGCTGTGTCGCTTGTAGACCCCGTGGTAGCTTTTATTGACAAAACTGGAGAAGTTAGCTCGACTCCTACACCAATGCCTTCTCCTCTTGCTGTGGAGAGTGTAGGTTGCACAGTAGATCGTGGTGATGCAGAGAAACGAGGACCGCCGGACCCACCACTTGCCGGCGATGCGAAGCGCGCCAAGCAAGATGTAGCAGTGCTCGATCCGACGGTAACCGCTACTGCATCAACTGGGGAGCCGGTAGCGTACTTCATGCACATTCCTATGACGCTACCGTTTACTCCCAGTTGCCCCCAGTTGCTGTTTGATAGCATGGCAGATGGCGAGACGCAGAAGCAGATTGAGAATGAACTTTTGGAGCGTTTGTCCGATGTGTTGGGTGACAGTGCTGTATTTGAGAGTGTTCGCGGTTTGCACGACAACCAGCGGACTCGCGACAGGGAGATGTTGTATCGCTGGCAGGAGCTTATCGGTATGCAAATGAAGGAAGGATCCGAGCTGTTTGCCCGTCACGTAGCATTGGAGATGCAGCACGGATTTTCCGATCCGCGCGGGCTCATCGCGCTCAAGACTCAGCACCTGGAACAGCGCCGCGAATTTTCCAGTCGCTGTCTGATGTCCCAGCAGCAGTTTATTGAGATTTGTTCTATGGACCGCGCTAGTGCTCTTAAGGTACAGCAGACTTCGCTCGAGAGCATGAAGATACCGGAAGTGTCGGTGACCACGGATCCCGAGAGTATTAATTTACAGGTACATTGGTCTCAGCCTTTTGAACGAAGGAAGCTTATTTGCGACGGTTTGCTTCTGCGTGATGTGTCTAACTGGCGTGTTGTTGTGTTTGTGTTGGTGACTCTTGCTCCTGATGTTTTGGTGCTATGTTCTTAGCGTGCGATTGTAGGTTTGATACTAGAAGCCGAGAAACTGTGGCGTGAGGAGAATCAACGGGCGTCTACAGAAGCAATCGCTGCATCTATTGCTAACAAGAAGGGTTCCCATGCATCCTCATCTCCTAGCCGACCTCCGATGCGGCAAAGACGAGACAGCCAAGACTCTACTACCTCAAGTCACTCTACTGCACGAAGTTCTAGTGGGGGGCGGTGGTTTTCGTAGCAGTGGGAATGGTCGACAGGACCTACGCGGATCCCGCAATTGGGGAGGCAATGGGAATAATCGCCGCCGAGATCGTGACCCGCGCGGTGGTCGAGGTCGCTCGAATAAGTGGGACATCCAGCCTCCGCAATCTGGCCCTCCGGTTGCTGCTGCTCCTCCACAACAACGCTCACATTACGATTATTCTGTGCAACACGGTGCGCCTAATGCACAGGAACAGCAGCAGATGCCACTATATGATCGCGGGCCGCAACGAATGCAGGTGCCTCTGCAACAGCAGCAGCCCCACCAGTTCCAGCCGCAGCAACCGTATGGTGCACCGAATGCCCCGCTTTATGATAAGTATGGAGGTCAGCAGCAGGGCTCCATGCCGGAGCAGCAGGGTTACTCACAGCCTTCAGGCGCTTACTTTTCCGGGCCGCAAGATGGTCCGTGTCGTCCTAGAGACGGCGATTGCTTCGTAGGACAAGAAGGCTCATCTAGAGATGGCCCTGCAAGTGGCGGCTGGCCGCAGCAGCAACAGCATCCATTCCACCAGCCGCCAATGCGGCAACACTCAGGCCCTTCCGCCGATGGAGAAGACTTTAGGCCTCCATTTGATCCTTCACTTTCGCGATATGGAGCAGGCACAGGACCTGGCGCAGCTTCGGTTGTTAATGTGCGAGATGGCCCTGGTCCCGCCCCCTTATGGTGCTGTAGATCCACTTCAAGGTGGTATGCCTGCCGATGCTCCGCATTATCAGCTACCACTTCATCAGCAGTCGCCTTATCATCATCAGCTACCGCAGCAGCAACCTTTGCGTCACAATACTTACTCTGCATATCCGCACGATCAGTACGGGCCACCCCAAGGCGAGTTTCAGCAGCATGGAGGCATTAGACCTATGGAAAATTACGGCTCCGCGCAGCAGCAACCACCGCAAGAGATGATGCAGCGTCAGCAGCCACCGCAACGTTACCAGGCGGATCACTTGCTGCCTGCAGCTGCACCTGGTATGAGCAACCGTCGCAATCGACGTGGTGGTCGATACCGTCGGTGAGTGTTGTGCTTGAGAACGAGAATCGCATCAATTCTGTTGGGGTATTGCACTACCATGCTTAGTAATGGCAAACGAAGGCGCTTATTTCTTCTACTGCTGCAGATTTTTTGTAGGAATCGTAAGTTTAGGCAGGTGCTGTTGAATATCCCAATGCATTAGTGATGCCGCTATATCTACACAGGTTAGTTGCAAATGACGACGACAGTCCGCTAGAGAGAGCATAAGGCAATTAAGACTTTGCTATGGCTAACATCTTTCAAGTTCAACACTATAGTTCGCCAACGCGTTCAGCGATTTCCATAATGCTAGACGTAATGTTATCTGGCACGCGATCATAAGCACGAGCGGCCACAAGTAGCACGTCGCGGATAAGTGCATGGTTGCCCATTATGTCAACATGATCAGCCGTCTCAGGCCCACCACGCGAATCGAACAACATTGACACGGGGTTGTGACTATACTCACGAACACGGACGTCAACTCCACTCGGGTTGTACTTCTGAGTCCGCCAACCACTGGCACACATGAGTCCCAAAGAGACAAGAGGCACCGTGCCGTCGCCGTCGCTGTATCGGATGCCGTCCTTGACATAAGGCAGGTCATGAATCTCGGTGTTGAACAAGTAGGGTGCCACACGATTGCCATTTACAGTTGCGTTGTCATCTTGCGGCGGGTTTCCTCCATACGTGTATCCTCGTTCTACGGGCTTGCCCACACCATAGAAGCAAAACACCTTTAAACTTGGTGCCTTTGGCAGAGTGGTTTCCAACGGGTTTGCCCAGTACTTTGCCTCGTCATACTTGGGAAGTGACGGGTCCTCAGCAACACCGGTACTAAACATTGAGCTAAAGTTGTCAAGGCACGGGTCTAATCTACCAAGAAACTTATGCACATCACCAGCAGTGATGTTCTCGTGTGTAGCATTAACAAAGCGAACGACCTGTCCATGTGAGCTGAAGCGCTTAACATGTTCTTTAACTTTCTTTGGGTCCACGAGTGATTCTTTTCCCGTCAACAACGGCGAAGCTGCAACTATGTCATCGGGTGCCGAGTCAGCAGTACCCCAGATACGATCACCACCAATGGGTAGCATCGTGAAGACACTCGACCACGATCGTGCCAACTGCGTACGCGCCGATACGCTAAAAAAATAACCAAGAAATTTGGATAGTCCGCCCAGCTCAGCTGTGTCCTTCATTTCCCCGGACATCAACGCACTGATTGTCTTCACTGTACCCAAAGTCGGTCCAGCAATGTTCACAAACGCTTCGACATTATTTTCCACCCACTCATCTCCTCCCTTGCCTCCTTTGTCGCTCTCCACCCACTTTAAAAAGTACAAAAAGACCTGTGTAGCGTAAGAGTGCGTGACTAGCATCACTTTGCGTCCTTTCGACGACATACGGGCCATCTCAATCATATATTTCAGTTTCGTAAAGTATCCATCACGCTTTTCCAGCAAGTGCGGCATGAGTCTCCAGTCATACGCCGCCATGTACAAATCGTTGCTATCATATCCAATCTCGGCCAAGTTCTCAACCATTTTGCCCCATACCCAGAAACCGCCGATCAAATAGTCGGCCGCTTCAAGACCTTTAGCAGCACGTAGTTTGATTCCATCTGGGTCCATTCCAGACGTGCGATTTAGCATCATATGTTCCAACCAGCATTTTTGGTTCATCATAAACTGCTGTAACATTCTCGACGTGCCCCACATCCGTTGTCGAAAATAAGCTTTACTACAAGCACTTCCATTCCAGATTTCAAGTCCTGTGGATGTGAAACCTGGTAGTAAAATCACAGGTGAGTACGCCACGATTTTTTCTTCCTCGAACATTTGAAGACCTGGACGTATTTCAGCTGCTCCAAGAAGAGCAGGACGGTGATCAAAGGCCGTTAAGAGCTCTTCTCGGACATTTACTGACCAGTTAAAATTATCAAACATCGCCCGTACGCGTAGTAATGAATCTTCCGTAATTAAAGGTGTTTCAAGATAATAGCTCTGGAAGCTAATGACAGCGACAATACCAATCATAATACCAGCTAATATCGAGTAAATGCGTTTTCGAGCCAAATGAGCAGCAGCTTGCGTGTGCCAACTATTTGTCCGACAAAGGGATCGATCTATTTCTTGAAACGTTTTGATCTGTCGAGACTCGTGATCATTTTGTTCTGTAGTCGAGAATGTCTTGACTTTATCTGTCGTTACTATTCGAGAAGATGATGATACTTTATTGTTGTTATGAGGTTTACGTTGTCGTACACTTGATTTGGACGAGGAAGAATCCATGGTTGTCTTGATTCGAATGAATATCTCAAGTGCGAGAAGAGACGTTGGATGATGATTGATAGATTGATCTAGAGAGACTGATTCAGTGATTACGTTATCATTCTTTTTCCTAACAACTATATGATGGGACGTGGAATTTGGACTCATATACTTGTTTGGTTGGTTGGTAGACAAGACCAAAATCAATAACGGTGCAATTTTAATACTTCTATTTGGCTTAACAAACGCTCTTCATGGACGCAAATGAGAACGAGATGTTGAGATTATTCACACCACGTGACAGTTGTTTGTTTCCTGCATAATCTCTTCATTTCAGTCGCAATAGCTCTGCAAAATGCCAAATTGATTTTGGCTACATGACAGTACGGCAACGAGCCGTACTTACATCATGCCACCCATACCACCCATTCCGCCCATGCCACCCATGCCACCCATTGGCGGGGCGGCACCAGCCTCCTCCGGCTTGTCGGCGATGAGAGCCTCAGCTGTCATCATAAGCGACGCCACGCTTGAGGCATCCACGAGGCCCGTACGCACCACCTTTGTTGGGTCGATAATACCGGCGTCCACCAGGTTCACATACTCACCAGTCTGGGCATTAAACCCAAGCTCGGGCGAGTCGTTCTCCAACAGCTTGCCGACAACGACGGCGCCTTCGTGACCGGCATTCTTGGCAATTTGCGTGGCCGGAGCGCGGCAAGCGCGTTCTACAATTTCGACACCCACCTTCTGATCCAAATTGGCGCACGATTCGTACAGCGAATTAAGTGAACGCGAAGCCCACAGAAGGGCGGCACCGCCGCCTGGCACAATTCCCTCCGCGACAGCAGCGCGAGTAGCATTTAACGCGTCCACGACGCGATCCTTCTTCTCGCTGACTTCGACCTCGCTGGCACCGCCAACCTTAATCACAGCAACACCACCGCTCAGCTTGGCTAGACGCTCTTGCAGCTTCTCCTTCTCATAGTCCGATGTGGTGCTCTCAATTGAAGCACGCAGTAGGTTGCTACGCTCTTCCACCGCCTCGGCAGAGCCCGCACCGTCCAGCATCAACGTATCATCCTTAGTAACAGTCACCTTCTTTGCACTACCAAGCATCTCCGGGGTTGCAGTCTCAAGACGGTGACCCAAATCCTCCGAGATAACAGTGGCACCAGTAAGCACAGCCATGTCCTGTAGACTAGCCTTGCGGTTATCACCAAAACCAGGAGCCTTGACGGCACACACTTTGACACCACCACGAATCTTGTTAATCACAAGAGCTGCCAGTGCTTCACTCTCAACATCTTCAGCAACAATAAGCAATGGCCGTTGTTGCTTCACAACTGTCTCAAGCATTGGAAGAATCGCTTGTAGACTCGAAACCTTCTTCTCAACCAACAAGATATACGGGTTTTCCATTTCACATGACTGTGTCTTATTATCCGTAACAAAATAAGGTGAAATATATCCACGATCAAACTTCATGCCTTCAACAACTTCCAATTCATTGTACAAGGTTTTACCATCTTGTACTGTAATCACTCCTTCCTTACCCACACGTTCCATGGCATCACTAATCAGATTACCAATTTCCGTCTCGGAATTGGCTGAAATCGTTGCTACTTGTGCCACTTTTTCTTTATCCTGGACATCCATTGACAGCTTTTGCAATCCATCCACAACGTGATCAACCGCCATTTGAATACCACGACGTAAATCCGTTGGATTCATTCCAGCAGCAACAGATTTACAACCTTCACTAAAGATTGCACGTGTGAGAACTGTTGCTGTTGTTGTACCATCTCCTGCGGCATCATTCGTACTACTAGCAACCGAACGTACAAGTTGTGCACCCATATTTTCAAACTTATCAGCAAAATCAATACTACGAGCGACTGTGACACCGTCTTTTGTAATCTTCGGAGCTCCATAGGATTGATCAATTACGACATTACGGCCTTTAGGACCCATTGTTACTTGAACAGCATTTGCCAATTGATCAGCACCTTTAAGCATTGCTGCACGACCATCAATACCAAAACGAATGTCTTTGCCGGAAGAAAAGAGACGAGAACGTAATGGTGAGACACGTGTGACTTGCTTCATTGGAATAGCGAGTTGAAGATTCATCTTGTTGACAACTTGGTAGATTCACAAATGATCGACTTTGTCAAGCTTAAAAGGTTTTTGTTGGTGGAGCTGCAATGGGACGATTTAATGCGGACATGATGGACCCCATTCAATACAAGTATGTGGGGTGTTCGAAATACCCGTAGATTGACGTGTTTGTGTCCGAAGAAATGTCCAAGGTACTTGTAAAAAGAGTGACGAAAGACTGTTCTAGAAGGTACGATTAAGACCCTTGCTTTACTGACATAGAACACTAAGGTTGTCAAGTACTTGCAGTATAGAATGCACATTTTCTAGTCTTGTTGCGTGCTAAACAGAGGGAGCACAGAAAATATAAGCACAATTCTATTCGTTTGCACTTAGTGTTTGTTTTGTGATGATATATATATATCTATATAACAAATTAATGGGTACAAATAGACTCGAAATTCACTTGAGTGTCTTATACTAACTACCCTTGACTTAGCCACTGCGTCATCCTTCTTGTGACTCTGGCTCTGATTCACTGTCTGTCTACCGGATACACGCTGCATCAAATAAAATTTCGCGTCGCATCATTCTGCTCCGTAGTAAGCCTTTGATTATAACCATGCCAATACTTGAGACCGTCGGGAAACCGTCGACTACTCGTGGCAATGGCAATCTCCTTTTCCACAGGCTCTATCGTCATGCTCAATAAGCTCTCCACCACTTCAACGCGCAACCCGGTTTTAAACGCCATTTAGTGCTAAACGCCCTCGCACTTGCCAGCAGGTTGGTCAGCAAACAATTTTCTACACAAGCCGCCGGTTTTGATGTTACAGCTCAAACTAGACATTCCAGCTTTTGGTGCTACATCGTCAACTCGAAATCCACTGAGCATTGAACTGGCCAACACGGCACGAACCACGCATTACTTCAACATGTAGAGTCGAGCTATGGAATCGATTGGCACTTCTGGTTGCAGTGTCAAGCACAACCGACGCCAAGTCAATAACTCTTATTGCCCTTTTCTATTGTCGCATCGTCTCCAGCTCTTGCCATGCTCGCTTCTTTCATCCTCGGTGTTTGCTCTACTGTCCACAAATAAGCAAGGAAAACAAAGCTGGTGGCTTTGTCAGCGCTCACATACAAAACACGACGACTGCTTCTCGCTCATTTGCTGCGACCGCCACAAGTGCGATGTGACAGCAACATACCATACAAAACACGACTATGGTCGTGTCGCCTCCTGTTCAGTTTCCGTTTGAGTCTTGTCGTTGTTAAACGTTACATTCGTGGTGGTCGGCAAGGAAACAACTGTTGTCTCCGGGCTGGTAGTCTCGCTCAACAGAGTTGCTGACGTCACCGCAGGCGCATCCGAGTGGAATGAAGCGCCCTGAGGAACCTCGACCACATCGCCATTCTCGATCTGCTCTCTCAGCTCGTGAATAGACATTCGAGTATTGCCTACGCCGTTTGCAGAAAGGTCAGTTTCCTCCGTAGATGGCGCCACATTCGCGTCAGTCTCAGCTGCCCCAGCTACGATGGCATTATTGCTTAGCTCGAGACCACCGAACACTTCGGTCGGAGCTTCATTAGAGGCGCCAACTGCACTGCCGGATACCTTCAGCCCACCGAACATATTGGAGGAAGTGTCAGACGACGAATGTTCTGATGAAGCAGCGCCAACTAAACTACTGGACAGCTTTAAGCCGTTAAATATGCCTTGTGGGGTATTCATCGAGTCAGAGTCTACAGCTGCAGTTGTTGTATCAGCCACCGCGCTGCTACTCAACTGCAGCCCACCAAACATGTCACCACAGCCTTCCTTTAAAACAGAAATAGACTCCGTCCGGGCACTTGCTCCGACGTCGACGGCACTTGATCCATTGTCGACTGGAGTAGAAGCACTTAATTCCACTTTTTTGGTAACACGTGCGTCAGGACTTTGCGCGTCTTCCTTGTCCTCTTCTGTCTTTTTCTCAAGTGAAGGTAAAGAGGCTCTGTCAACCGAATAGCTCCCACTTATCTGCAGGGCCCCAAACAACGATCCCGACGTAGATGGTGCAATCAGACTGGCGCTATTATTTGATACGCTACGCTTCCCGAAGAAAGAATCCTTCATCTCGGAAGATGTCGGGAAAACAATTTCAGGTTTAGCGGGACACGCTGCTTCTACCGACTCAAGAGCTATTTCCTCCACTTCCAAGTCCGATTCTGTTATCGGAACCTCAATCGAGCTCTTAGATGCGGCGCCTGGACCGCCACTCATTTGTAGCCCGCCAAAAAGAGATCCGCTCGTCTCGGAATCAACTAATGTATCCTGAGGCAAGCGTGACGAAACACCGCTCACAACATCTTCAATAGAAGTAGACTTGTCAGTCTTAAGGTCGCGTCCTCCAAACATGACGGGCGCTGTGGCGCTACGACTTCCGTCGGGAGACTCAAGTTGAGCACCGACTCGCTTCTCCCTTTCTCGCAATGACTGCAGCTCCTTCTCGTAGCTTGCGGCAATCTCGAAATCCTTGTTCTCAGTTGCAACGTCTATCTGTCTTTCAAGCATCGCAACTCGCACTTGAACTGCTTCCAAAGACTGTGCCAGCTCATCACGACTACGTGATACACTCACAGGGCTGACCATTTCTTCATGAACGTACTCCACATCAGCTTCAGCGCCTTCATCAGCAGAGTAATCGCGGCCATTTGATTCTTCATCTCCCAAAGATTCATTCTCCTGAACACCATTAGTCACCTCCTGTGATAGTACGGCTTCAATGGTCTCCTGTCGCTGCTTCAGAGTTTCAATTTTCGCGTCAAGCCTTGCGGCCAACTCGTATTCTTCATTGTCCGTTGCCTTCTCAATCTGAGACTCGAGCTCAAGCAACTGCCCAACGATTTTCTCTAGAACGAAACTGCTATTGTCAGTAGCCTCAATGTCGACGTCCGATCCTTCTGTGTCAGTAGTCAGCTTTCCAGCTAAACTAGAACGCAAAAGTGACACATGTTCACTGCCTTCCTTCTCTTCGTCGTCAATCGATTCATCATCATCGTCATCATCCTTGTCGTCTTCGTCGTCAACAGGACAAGCTACGTCGTACTTCTTCTCAAGTGCCTCAACTTGAACCATGCACGCATCGTACTCGGCTTGGACCAAAAGTATTGCAGATGATCGAAAATCGATGCCACCATTTGCAGCGTTTCCCTCGCTCCTGCATTTTTCAATCTTCCGCAATGCAGTTCGCAAATGTTTTGCCTCTTTCCACAACTCTTGCAAAGTTGCTAGTTCCAGGTGTTTTTCCATCTCCTTCAACTCTTTCTTTTTTTCCTCAAACTCCACTTCACGCTTCGCAATACGCTCCGTTAAATCTTGGAGCTCCAAGTCCACTACTTCTACGTTTTCCTCGGCTGTTAAGCGATCCTTTTCCAGTGCCTTAATATCCTTGGAGATGCGAGCTGCTTCCTTAAAATTACGCTGCGCAGCAGCTGCCTTCTTTTCCTGCTCCAAACGAGGAATCATTGCTTCTGCTGATGCAATAGCATTCCGGTGAATCGACAGAGATTTCTCAAGCTCTTCATGCTGTTTGCTCAGCATAGTAAAGCTTTGCTCAGCAACCGCAGTGGCATCGTTGAGCGAACTCAGCTCCGCTGTTTGTTGTCTTTTACGAATCAAAGACTGCTCGCGGCGGGTCTCCTGCACTTCTAACACGTTTGCCAGCAAAGACGCAGCACGCATTTCCTTTTTGACAGCGCCGATACGCTTCCCAATGATTGAAATGTCTTCCGTGTACTGTTTCAGTCTGTCATGAAACTCCTCGCGCTGTTGCTCAAGATGCTTGCCATCTGATTCTACTTCAGACTTCGTCTTTTTTATACCGTCCTCGCGTTCGGCGATGCGCTTAAGCTGGCGAGAATAACGTTTACGAACCGTGTCGATATCGCGTTGAGCAGTATCAATTGACGACTGGATTTCTTGGACCCGCTCCAATTTTTCCTTTAATTTACGCTCCAGCTCACGCACCTCTTCTTCCACAGCCTTCTTTTCCTCCATCAATTGAGCCTGAACAGCAAATTCAGGTCTGCACTGGCCCTCAATGGTCGCCTCAATTTCCGACTTCTCAGAAATCACATTTTCCAAGCTCACTGATACGTGGTGCATTTCAGTATCAATCCGTTCAGCTTCAAACTGCAGTTGTTCCGTCTGATTCGCCTCGTAAATCTTGTACTGGTTGCGCGCAACTGTTCGCTCCAATTCTTGGTCTTCTCGAAACTTTTCAAGCTCGCGTAGAGTGCCACGTGTACTTCTCAGCTGGTTTGCAAACGCTTTCTCCTTGGCCTTCACAAAGGCCACAAGATCGCTATCCACTTTTCGAACATCGCTTTCAGTTAGCGTGATACAATGCCGCACGCTGTTGATACTGGCGTTCAGCGCATCAGCTTTCTCAAAGTCTTCGACTTCGCATGCGTGGTGCTGCTGAGCCTCAACGTCACGCAGATCCAATTCGTACTGCGTCAATTGGTGTGCAAGTTGCGCTTTGCGTTCCATTAACCGGTTCTCCTCCTCGTTTTGTTTTACCGTGAGCTGGCGGAAACTAACAGCACTTTCGTGAAAGTCACGCAAAGTACTAAATAGACGCTCCTCTGGAGTAGGAGACGCAGCTGGCACCGGAGAAGACGGTTTTTTGCACACCTCGGGGGCAGGCTCTTCTGCCAAAGCATCATTCACAGGTTCCCGTGCGTCGTCATCAGCACTACTTGGTGGTGTCCTGTAATTACTCAGCCCCGATAACACACCATTTCCACCAAATTCCGTATCAGCAGATTCCGCAACCTTTATTGGCAAACGAGAGGGTGAGGCCGACTTGTGCACAGTAAGGCCAGCAAGAACACCCCCACCAGAAGTATTGCTTCCCTTATGAACCGTCAGTCCTTGCAAAACTGACCCAGCCTTCACCGGAGGTAACAAGTGAGCCAAATCAGTGGGGCCTGTTGCACTGCGTGAACTCCGCAAACTATCTGAGCGGTCTGACATGAGGCGTCCTTCCCGTTGATGAATGATGTCATCTTCCTTCAAGTCGCCGCGCTGCAGCGCTGCCGCCGATTCATCCGAGAGCTGTCGTCCAAAGCCCGGACGAAACGTTTTTGTTTTCTTCTTCTTCACAGCTTTCGAGGTCGTTCGCAACGTTGTCGTGCCAGCACTGCTACCTGCGCTCGTTCGGGAGTATTGTGACGCAACCGACGCATTCATACTCTTTGAAGATGCCACATGTTGATGATTAAACGATCCTGTGCTTCTAGACGATTTGCGCTGCTCGCTACCGTGCGTCAGCTTCGTCAAACCACCTCCATCATCATTCACCGCAGGCGCCGGAGCACCCGCAGCGACTTCTAGACCACTAAACAAATTGCCACCCGCCTTTGAAAGCTGCATAGCAGTAATTGGTGGACCAGCTCCACCATAACCCCCATAGTGCTGCTGTTGTTGTTGAATCTGAGGCTGATACCTTCCCATTCCATTGTTGCTACCACCACCAGCGACAGAAGGAGCCTTTACTGACATGCCACCAAACATGTCCATGCCTCCACCTGTAAAAGCTTTTGCACTCATTGAACTATTGTCCGGTGGCGCACTAAAGTTGCCATAAATTGGCGGATGTGAAAACCCTCCTACTGCAGCACCTCCTCCACCCATTGATGTACTAGAGACACTAGATACTGCAGCAGTTGAACCACTGTAAGGCTTTGAGACTGGAGGTGGAAGATTAAAAAAGCCTCCACCAGCAGGAGGCTCAATGTCGCCATGCTGACCGCCCCGTTGATGGCCAGGGGGGCCCGTGTCTACCGTCCTCCTTATTCTTAAAGAATCGTCCAAACATACTGTTTTAGGTTAACACAAAAATAATTGCAAAAATAAGCCAATTCAATTGTGCTCTTTAAATGTAAATACAACATAAGAGCAGGAAAAAAACAGAGTGAAGGTCTTCTATACCTTGTTTTACGTCAAGTCGTGCTTTTTTGCTACAATCTCAACAAAGCGCTTGGGCGAAGGTAAAATCACGGATCACGTCGTCTTTCACACACAGAAAAAGGCGGTACGAGAGACTTGGAACGACACGAAAGAGGTCTAAACAAGGCTTTCCAGAGCTTGTGTTTTCTTCTTGACGCTTCTGCGATTGTGCCACAAAATGAGAAAAATGTTGTGAATTCGACTAGGTTCGATTCAATGGGAGATAGAAAGCATTTAGCTGAAAAAGCGTTTTTATGAAATGATCATTATTATATTAACAAATATAACGGATCCTTTTACTCAATAGGTTTCATTCGCCAAAGTCAAATTTGTTTGGTTCATATAGAGAGACTTTTGAAAACTTGAAAAAAAAGAAAAGGTCACTAAAATCAAGTAGAAAAGAATCGTATATTTTATTTTTCATTCATCAAAATATAAATTACCACGTCAGGGTACTTTACCAATGCTAAAAGTCCAAAAAGACGAAATATCACAATACAGCCAATCACAATACCAAAATTCTGGCTGATCTCGTCATACGTGAAGCCACAATACGACTCTGTATACTCCTTTAGAGTTGTATGACCAATTATTGCCGGAGCATTCGCCATTGGTTGGCAACCAAGATCCGAGCCCACATTGAGATATGACTGCGTTGCTTCATCCCACGTTGGGAGTTCATCACATTTAGTAAAAACCAGTGCAACCAAAATACACATGGTAGAATGATGGACGTTCCGAACTTGTTAACGAGATTACACTGTTGAATGCCATCATTGAAAGAAAAAGTGCAGCCATAAACACCATACCAACACCTGAGCTCAAACCCGCGTAGGAAGCGTAGTCTGGGCTAATGAACACGATCCCGAAAATCAAAGCTAAGAACAATGACATCACCAAACGAGTAAGCGTATAACTGGGTGTACGCCAGTACATCTGGAAGAAGCGGATTACCACAAATCTCATTTGCGTATGTGAAGAGGCAGCACGCTTTTCCTTAAACACAATCTCAGGCAGGCCTGGTGAAGGAATTGTGATTCCTTTTTTTGCCATGCTAGCCTCCAGGTGTTGACTGTACGAGCTCTTTTTGAAGTAACTTACAAAGTCTGTCCCGTCCTCAGTCGCGTTGTTCACACCGGCTCCAATGCACTCCAACATCCATGTTGCAGGGTTGTAGTTTTGTGACAGTAGTGGAACACCTGGAATTTCCTCAAAGTAATCAATCAAGTTTCGGCAGTTTGTGCCCAGATCTCCATAAAATACCGTCTCACCACCACGTTTGAGCAGAAGCAAACTGTCGAACAGGTAGAATACCTCTGACGACGGTTGGTGGATCGTACAAATAATCGTACGACCGGAATCAGCAGCCTTACGCAGACCGTCCATAATCAGCTCGGCAGAACGCGCATCCAAACCACTCGTCGGTTCATCCAAAAAAGCACACTTGGCTGAGCCGCAAGCTCCACACCGATTGTCAAGCGCTTCATCTGCTCGACAGAGCTACCACGAATGTTTTGGTCAGCGATGTCTTCCAGTCCGAGAAGCTCAATGGACTCGTTCACGGATTCGTATTTCGTCGCATCTGAGATCCAGGCATCCTGACGCAGGAACGAGCTGAAAGTGAGAGCTTCACGAAAAGTGGCCGCCTCCGAGTGCACGTCCATCTGCTCACAGTACCCCGTGCAACGGCAGATCGCAAGACCATTGGCCTGGTAGCCATTTAGGAGAATCCTGCCCGTGATCTTGCCACCAGTCTTGCGTCCAGCAATCACATCCATAAGCGTTGTCTTACCAGCACCCGAAGAGCTCATTAAAGCAGTAATTGATCCAGGGACAGCAAAACCATTGATGCCTTTCAGCAATTCAAGTGATTGCTTCGGGTTTTGTGGATCCGGTACGTAGTAATGTAAATCTTGAAACGCCACCGTAACGGGCGCAAACTTCTTCTCGTGCGGGTCACGCTGGACTTCTACGACGCATTTCTGGTTTGAAACCGCTCTAGGCGTTTCAAGCAGTGCGTACGAATCTTCTTCCGTCGATTTATCGGATACGTCTATATTCGTCGGTGATTCGTATCAAAAGTGTTCCAATGCCATGCATGATAGGAACATGAACGCGACGAAGATCACCGCAAGGTAGATGATGCCATACGCAACCCACTCTTTGCCTGTGTCAAGGCCAAATAAGTTCAGATAGTACTCACCCATTGTAAGCCGTAATCCGCGCAATAATCAATTGCTCCATACACGCAGACGTCAAAGTTACTTGACCGGTACTGGTTAATCGCCAGCGCTTTGGGTCTCCAGCTCATTGGACTGATCCAGTGCGCCCAAATCAAGTAATCTGAAATGTTGTCCGTTGTCACGATGAAGCCAGCGAAGATGATGAAGATCAGAATCGACATCATGCATAATGGCGTGGCAATGTTCTCGTGCGAGCACGCTGATGACAGGAAGAAGAACCACATACCCATGGCAAGATTCGACAGTAATAAGATGAGCTCAAAGATAAGGAACAACCCAACATCGGCGGCAAAACCGCACATCCAGTAGACCAGCGTGCCAAAGATGGCTGTCTCCGCAAGGGATAGCGGAATCCCACCGACGGAACTCGCGAGTACATAAGACGACGTTTCGGTAAAAGTTTGCCCCGCGCTGCTTGTAAAAGATGTCGCGGTTTGCCATGAAACTGGAAGCTGAGACGACTGACCCGTTGACAAAAACATCACACTGGAGAAAATGACACCTGTCACAACGGACACCTCCGTCGGGTCAAAATCGTAGTAGATGGTGCAAAAAGCAGACCTATGACAAAAATCATAAGAAGTCTCCCAAATACGAAGGCTTCATTGCGGTACGAGATCATGATCTCACGCTTGAAAAGCGTCGCAGTGCTCTCCAAAAACGACTGCTGGAACTTAGGCATTGGATTCACATTCTCCTTCACTGTCTTTAGTAGTTCCAACTTGTACGGGGCATTCAATGCCGCAATAGTTTCTTTATATAACGCCGACTGACGGAAGACGTGGTACCATTGACACATGATCAATTTCGTAGCGGCCCTGCTGACGGTGCCGAAGTCCAGCAGGTAATCGGCAACGTCGCGCTCCGGCGGACATTTGAATCCCAACGACTCAAAATATTCCTCTACCTTGCTGCTTGGTCCGTGGTACATGAGCTCACCAGCGTTCAAGATCATGACATTGTCAAAGAGAGAAAAGATCTCAGGAGATGGCTGTAGTAGTGCAATCACCACCGTCTTGTTCAGTGAGTGCACAATACTGCGTTGCGTTCTAATGATGTCGTACGTCGCTGCGCTGTCAAGACCGGTACTGATCTCAACCATAAGCGACACAAATTTCATTCCAAACTCCATCTCACCAGTCGTCACACGCTTGCGTTCTCCACCCAATACTCCTCAAATCATAGCATCACCCACAATTGTGTCCTGACAATTTTGCAGTCCAGGTTGCTGGATAATCACGTCCGGGTAGTGCTGAAAAATAGCCTTTGTTGCTTTCAGTGCCTCAATATTGCCTTTCACCGACGGTAGCAACTTGAGGAATTCTTTGCGTCTAGTAATGTCACCACCACACACGTGGTATGCAAACTCTAGTGTCTCCTTTACAGTTAATGGTGCAAAGCGTTTGTCGCACTGGTCCACGTACGACACAAATTGCGGTAGTCGATCTCGAATTTTCTGCCTAGGAATGTTATTGAAAGAGATGTCTCCTTCTACCGTAATGTTTTTATCCTCTGGAAATCGAGCACTAAGCATTTTCATCAAAACTGACTTACCTGACCCTGGCTGGCCAAGTAATAGCGTAATGGTGCCTTGTTTAAACACACCACTAACATTTTTGAGAATCTCCTTGGCTTCTTTGGTCCGGCAAAGGCCTTTTTCACAGTGTTAGGTAGTGTCAAAAGTGATTGTTTTTGCATCAGCAATTGGTGTTGAGGTTTCCATTGTAGGTAAACTTGACAAGGTAAATTCAGGAATGATCATACAGAAACGAAACGTATACATTTAAGTCGTAAATTGCATTGTTGTCAAAAGAGTACGCACCGTCAAAACTTAGCACAATCCTGAACATAAATGGGATTGAAAGACTGGTGATTGGTCAATGAGATGATTATGCGGTGCTACAGGTGATTCATGATTACTTGTTGTCGTCAATACGTTCTCACCTTACATGTACCACCGTCACAATCTCAACATTGATTTCAATTGAATGAAAATATCCACCAAAACGAATGTACATGTGTAACGGGGTACACACAGGTGTGTAATTTACATACACACCTGCTGGTGTGTACTGTACATTGGCAGATACGATATGACCGTACCTAAGATACGAAGGGTCGTATCGTGGCAGAGAGCCACGTGGTCGGTCATTATACTTAGTTTAAGTATAGTGACTATACATGCTTACATATTAATAGGCACAGAGCCAGATAAATAGACACATGCACTAAGTGTAGAGTAGGTGCTTCTATACTTAGTGCTAGAAGATGAACATTAATATAAATCAGGTTCAAACCTGCTCTGAATAGCATACGTGCTAGAGCTTGATCCTTGAAAGAAAGAAAAGTTGTATCTTTGGTCTCTTGTCGGCGTGGTTGTTTATAACCGAATGGCACAAGCTTGTGAAGCTAGCCTTGAGAGAATTTTGAGCCCTAACACACAGCTCTTGGAGCTAGTCTTCCTCTGCACGTAGTGCATACTTAGCTTTGCTACAGTAGCTCGGCTACACCTGGTAGCACTCGTAGTCAATCCCGCACCTGGGTTTGCGACTACTGTGTGAGAGAGGACATCGAAGAGATGTCCGTGGTTTGCCTGTCACAGGCATAACAGAAAGGGTTGCAAAAGCTGCTCCCTATCCTTGACCCTATAGGCGTGGAATACCTCAACGCCAAAGGCGAGGAAAAGGTTAACAAGCGTATTCATGTGCTTGAAAAGTATAAAAACGCTCAAGTCAAGCATGGAAAGGCACAAATGCCTTCTTCTGCGCCTTTGCGCATGGCGACTATGGAACAAGAAGTGGTCCGCAGACCAAAACCCATACATATGGAAGTAGATAAGCTCGACGGCAAAGAGGGTGATAACCTTATGCTGTGGTTCCGACAGGCTGAGTCGGCTATGTTTATAGCCGACATCACCTATGAACCGTACCGTGTTGGCTTTGCCACGGGTAAGTTGGGTGGATTAGCCAAGCAATGGGCGTTCACATGCTGTGCATCACTGTAAGATGCATTCCCAACCTGAGCCTTTCTGAAAGTTCAGATGACCCGACAGTATGCACCGCCAAACCAAGCACACCGAAATCGGTCGCAATTTTTGGCGTGTTGCCAAGGCAATCGTGAGATTGCGGCATATGTACAAGAGTTGAGAACTCTCATCGCCGCCATGGTCATAGACCCTAATCCCGAGGCAGTTACAGTCACGGTCTTATGGAGGGTCTCCCAGTTGGCGTTGCCAGAACGGAAGTCTTCCGGGTAAATCCGTCCTCGTTCGAGGAAGCTGTTGGAGTGACATGGAATGCCGAGACTAACTTTAAGACCGCTAGGCCCGCCACTTATAACTACACGTCTGATGGGTCTTTTCCCACAGACTGTAGTCAAGTGGAAGACGAAAAAGCTGAGCTTTCGGTGCAAAGCAGCAAATTGTGCGCATGTTATATATGCAAGAGCACAGGCCATTTGATGGCTAAGTGCCCTGCAATAAAGGCATATTTGGCCTCGAAGGGCCAACGCCCCATGGGTAAACTCTCTGGTTTATCGCAGGGAACGGCGGAACCCAGTAGGCGCGGGGCGCCCTACTGGGGAAAAAAGTTTTGTTGAACCTGTAGGAGGTAGAAGTAAGCCGGGCCCAGCCCTAAAGAGACCCAGACTCTCAAAAGCGGAACGAGAATGCAAGCCAGGCTTGCTAGTCATCGAATGACGGTTAAGGCTTTGTAAAAAAATCCATGGATCGTTTTGATCGATTCAGGAGCATCTGAAAATCATGCCTGCCGTGCCACCGTGGTAGGTAGTCAGCAATGTGATGCAGCGCTTAGAGTGCTTATACGTGACACATTCATAGTTCGCTTAGCGATGGGTACGCTTGTGACCGTACCCAAAGTCCTTGTGGACTTAAATGTAAAGTTCTTGGACTTTAACAGAATGAAACGCTGTTTGGTCTTAGATCTGGATGCAAAGTATGACCTTATCCTAGGCATGGAATGGAGAGGACGCCATGAGCCATGGATTGATTGGAGGTCGAGAACCTTAGGCGCAACGCGCAATGCTCCTGGTGGGGCTATGGAGAGTCATGAACCCACCTCTTCTAGAAAGCAACGAGCTTTTGGCGCGGATATTGAACCGAGTCGGTTAATATCTTGGATGCCGGGCTATCCAACTTTGTAGAAGATGTAACTGTCGAGGACAATAGTCCTGGGCGAAGCCCAAGGACTGTCGATAGTGTGGTTGAGAACCCACTAGATGAAGCTTATGACATGTGTCATGAGAATGATGTTACATCATTAAACACCATGAGTGGTGTTGGTGACTGCAAGATAAGATGTCGGGACAAGAGTCCAATTGACATAGGTGAAGCGGTGATGATTCTGGAGATCGGGTGAAGTCACAAATGAGTGTTGACTTTGAGGACAACAAAATACAAAAACGTAGTGACGATGAACTGGTCCGAGCGGGTTGAGTGAAGTTACCAGTAGATGTTGTTTTAGATGATAACGAGGTGCAAGCACCTCACGACGAGTTACTGGTCGAAGACGGCCCGGTGAAGTCACCAATGATGTTGTCTTTGACGGTCGGGTGAAGTCACCAATGATGTTGTCTTTGAGGACACCGAGTTGCAAGCACCTCATGACGAGGCATTGACCCAAGCTGGTGGGGTGCATTCAGTAAATGGAGTGGTCTTTGACCTTGAGGTTTGTACGCCTGGAGACGCTGTTGCGTCGGATGCCGAAAGCATAAAAAAAAGTAGCAATGATATCATCAAGAGTGACGGTCATAGCGACCAGATATATGCACTTATCAACGGTTTGACTGGGGATGTTGAAGAGCCGGTGGCTCTTTCAGCAATACCCGCAGTAATTGCTCTGGTAGAGCTGGACGAGTTGTCCTTTGCCGAGTTTAACAGTGCCTTACAAGCAGGCGATAACGCCGAAAGGGTCGTTTTACGTCTGGAAAGGGTTCTTACTCCACGTTTCAGCAATGGAGTTCAGCACTGCTGCGAAGTAAGCCATCTTGTTTAATCGGTTAGCAAATAATACAATCCCAGTGCTGCCTGCCGCACCACCCGGTAGGCTAAACACAAAGTCCATACTAATGTACTGCCACAACCCCGAGGGTGCAGGCAAACTCGCCAAAGGCGCAGCCATACTAGGCGAGAGTTTTGCCCTTTGACACGTTTCACACGTCTTTACGTAGATACCAACCCATTTATACAACTTGGGCCACCAATAATAAGTGTTCACTGAGCTGTAGGTCTTTTCACAACCTACATGACAACCAAGTGGCGTATTATGAGCCTCATAAAGTATCTGATACTTGAGGTCCTCATCATGAGGCACCACAACACGAGGCTGTTCATCCGACCCTTTATTATAGCACAACAGACTATCGGTCAGTGCATAACGATGCAATCTCGCACGATTACGTGGTGACAGCTTCACCTTAGAGCTTTCAAACTCTGCGCTACCCAGCGCCTGCAGAATGGCAACACAAGCCTAATCGCGTGCATACGCCACACGAATACGATCCGTTACTGACGAACTCACGACAGTGAGATGAGCAAGCTCATAGTCAGGTCTACGCGATAACGCGTCAGCCAAACATTCTGTTTTCCCGGCTTATACTTCACCTTGAAGTTATACTCCGCAAAAAAGAGAGCCAACGAGCTATCCTCTGCGAGAAATGAGGCGACTGTGTCGCTGTGCGTAATGACGCATGATCTGTATAGACCACAAACGGCTTTGAGCCCAACAGGTGTACCCTGAACTTAACAGGGCCATACATTCATCGCAAGTAGCTCTTTGTCATGAACTGGATAGTTCTTCTCTGCAGCTTCAGCTGGCAGGACTCAAACGCGATAACACGTTTTCGACCCTCAGCGTCAACTTGAAAGAGATCACTGCCAATGGCAAAGTCCGAAATGTCACACACGACGCTAAACGGATGCTCAGAATCAGTCAAAGCCAGAATTGGCGCCTGAAGGAGACTTTCCTTAGTGGCTTCAAAAGTCTCGCGGTGCTCGGTGTTCCAACACCATTCCACATCCTTTTTAAGGAAATTCGACAATGGCCTAGCCGCTTCCGCATCGTTGTGGCTATACTTATGCAAGTAATTGCCAAAAAAACCCACTTGCGGAGGTTTTTTTGGTTCCCTGAAACCGGCCAACCCACTGTGGCTTTGACCTTGACAGGGCCCGACTGGATTCCTCGCTTCCCAATGAAGCATCCCAAAAAGGGAATCTCTTCCGCACCGAAAATGCATTTGTCAATATTGGCATACAACTTATGCATCCTCATGCAACCGAGCACAGCTTGCAGGTGCTCGATGTGATTTTCCACATTAGTCTTGCCATTTTAGGCTCGACTATGGACGAATATATCGTCACAGTATGTCTCTGCATACACCCTATGGGGCCAAAACAATTGCATCACCAGACGATTGAGCTTTGCAGGTGCATTAGACAGCATCACTAACCACTCCCAGAGCATACCGCTTGGAGTACTGACCGCTGTCAACGGGATATCACTAGCTCGCATGAGTAGTTGGTAGTATCCATCGACTAAGTTGAGGGCACTGTACATCGTACATCCCACCATATTGTTCTGAAAAACATCCTTGCGAGGAATCGGTGTTTGAGCAGGGACATTGGCTGCATTCAGCTTCTTGTAAGCATGCACTATTCGCCACTTCCCATTAGGCTTCTGCACACAAAACGTGGGCGTAGCAAAAGGAGAATTACTTTCACGCACCATGCTAGCCGCGTGCCTTGCACTAAAGAACTCGTCAATGACGTCATATTGTTCTTGTATCAGCGGCCACTGTCGCGTCACATAGTGTTTGGTTCCTGAAACCAAGTAAATCTCATGAAGTACACTTGTATCCGGAGGTAACCTCGTAGAATGTTCTTTATAGACAACATCTCCATAGTCCTTCATAAAAAGAAAAGTAAGAATCCGACGGGTACTTCAGGATCTGTGACCCACTGCGCGCATTCAGTGCCTTCTTGGTATCTTTACAAACTACAATATCCAAAAGCCAGAGGAGTTCAACTCCTCTTCAGCTTGTATGATGACCACTTCGGCGTTATCGCCTGCTTGTAAGGCACTGTTAAACTCGGCAAAGGACAACTCGTCCAGCTCTACCAGAGCAATTACTGCGGGTATTGCTGAAAGAGCCACCGGCTCTTCAACATCCCCAGTCAAACCGTTGATAAGTGCATATATCTGGTCGCTATGACCGTCACTCTTGATGATATCATTGCTACTTTTTTTTATGCTTTCGGCATCCGACGCAACAGCGTCTCCAGGCGTACAAACCTCAAGGTCAAAGACCACTCCATTTACTGAATGCACCCCACCAGCTTGGGTCAATGCCTCGTTATGAGGTGCTTGCAACTCGGTGTCCTCAAAGACAACATCATTGGTGACTTCACCCGACCGTCAAAGACAACATCATTGGTGACTTCACCGGGCCGTCTTCGACCAGTAACTCGTCGTGAGGTGCTTGCACCTCGTTATCATCAAAAACAACATCTACTGGTAACTTCACTCAACCCGCTCGGACCAGTTCATCGTCACTACGCTTTTGTATTTTGTTGTCCTCAAAGTCAACACTCATTTGTGACTTCACCCGATCTCCAGAATCATCACCGCTTCACCTATGTCAATTGGACTCTTGTCCCGACATCTTATCTTGCAGTCACCAACACCACTCATGGTGTTTAATGATGTAACATCATTCTCATGACACATGTCATAAGCTTCATCTAGTGGGTTCTCAACCACACTATCGACAGTCCTTGGGCTTCGCCCAGGACTATTGTCCTCGACAGTTACATCTTCTACAAAGTTGGATAGCCCGGCATCCAAGATATTAACCGACTCGGTTCAATATCCGCGCCAAAAGCTCGTTGCTTTCTAGAAGAGGTGGGTTCATGACTCTCCATAGCCCCACCAGGAGCATTGCGCGTTGCGCCTAAGGTTCTCGACCTCCAATCAATCCATGGCTCATGGCGTCCTCTCCATTCCATGCCTAGGATAAGGTCATACTTTGCATCCAGATCTAAGACCAAACAGCGTTTCATTCTGTTAAAGTCCAAGAACTTTACATTTAAGTCCACAAGGACTTTGGGTACGGTCACAAGCGTACCCATCGCTAAGCGAACTATGAATGTGTCACGTATAAGCACTCTAAGCGCTGCATCACATTGCTGACTACCTACCACGGTGGCACGGCAGGCATGATTTTCAGATGCTCCTGAATCGATCAAAACGATCCATGGATTTTTTTACAAAGCCTTAACCGTCATTCGATGACTAGCAAGCCTGGCTTGCATTCTCGTTCCGCTTTTGAGAGTCTGGGTCTCTTTAGGGCTGGGCCCGGCTTACTTCTACCTCCTACAGGTTCAACAAAACTTTTTTCCCCAGTAGGGCGCCCCGCGCCTACTGGGTTCCGCCGTTCCCTGCGATAAACCAGAGAGTTTACCCATGGGGCGTTGGCCCTTCGAGGCCAAATATGCCTTTATTGCAGGGCACTTAGCCATCAAGTGGTCCGTGCTCTTGCGGATGTAATATCTGTGCACAATTGGCTGCTTCGCAGCTTGAAACTTATCTTCTTGCGGTAAGAGATCATTATTTCACGCGTGAAAAGCGTCGCAGTGCTCTCTAAAAACGACTGTTGGAACTTAGGCCTTGGATGTACATATTCCTTTACCGTCTTTAGTAGTTCCGACTTGTACGGGGCATTCAATGCCGCAATAGTTTCTTTATATAACACCGACTGACGGAATCTATCCCCAAACTCTTCAGAAAGACGTGGTACCATTGACACATAACCAATTTCGTAGCGGCCCTGCTAACGGGTGCCCAGGTCCAGCAGGTAATCAGCTGGACCACGCTCTGACGGACATTTAAATCCCAACGACTCAAAATGTTTCTCTACCTTGCTGCTTGGTCCGTGGTACATGAGCTCACCAGCGTTTAATATCATGGCATTGTCAAAGAGGAAAAAGATCTTAGGAGATGGCCGTAGTAGTGCAGACACTACCATCTTGTTCAGTGTGTGCGCAATACTGCGTTGCGTTCTAATGGTGTCGTACGTCGCTGCGCTGTCAAGACCGGTACTGATCGCATCCATAAGCGCCACAAAACTCATTCCAAACTTAAGTTTTGTACATGCGTGCACCACGTGACATTGTAATGTCACTAGTTTTCGGTTTGCGCTTCAAATTGTGTATTACTGTTATACTTTAAATACGTTCTCGAATATGCTTGTAACTCATCTGAGACTTGTAACTGCACATGAAAAGTAGTATATGATATTGTTTTGAAGGCTCTAGAGGATGACTAAGGTGCTACATTTACACGACACGAGAAAAACATTCTCAACTATACTCCATGCTACTGAACCGTAGCCGTCAGCATAACATGAAAAAGTGGCCAAGAAAAAAGGTAGTTTAGTCGCGACGGCTACGGCGACGCACCGAGCACTTTGCCTTGACAGAATCAGTCGGTATGACAGCTTCCGTGGGTTCAGGCTGCTTGTCCACACTGGTCTCTTTGCTTGAATAAGCGTCCTCCTCCTTATTATTATCACCATCTTGACTAGAAACCGTAGTCTGTGACACCAAATCGTCAGTGAAGCTTACCACAATAGGCGTCACGGCAGGCGTCTCAGCTTGCTGCGCAGACGTGGTACCCGACGTACTGCTTGAGTTGCTTGCGGATTTTATCGTTCTCGACTTGGCTGATGGCGATGCGCCAGTCAGTGGGGCACAGTTAGTGTACACCTGCCATGGCCTCGAGTGCAAAGCAAGCCAGTAAGACGACAGCACTGAAGCTCCCTTACATTTGGCCTTCTCGTACGGCACATTGGCTGGGGTTTTAGGATACTCATAGGCAGCGTTCCAGCTCTCGGCCACAAGCGTGTCATCGCAATATACCGCAAGTGGGCCACCGTGGGAAGAGGTGAAGAAGTCCCACTGGACCATATCGGGAAGGTCACGTGGCGTGCCGTCCACCACCGAGAAGCCACACTCCTTGCTAGCCCCGCTTACTAGCGTCTGAGTTTTATGCAAAAATCCCCTTAACGTTTTAAATGAGCTGGCATTAAACGCTGACCAAAACGCCTTCGTGTTAGACAAAGGGTCGGTGCCGTACGACATGCCTTCCTGGACAGGCAGCACGTCGGTGGGGTCGATGGTGCCGGAAGGACTATTTTGGCTGTAGAACCCGTTCGGCCACGTTGGCAGCGGGAGCGTCATCTTGTTGTGCGCTTCTGCGGTCGAAACCAGCATGGAGACAGCAAATGTAGCGGACTTGACGATGGAGGACACCATTGTATCGTTACGAAAGAGGTACTGGAGATGATGCTGTAAAGCAAAGGTGGCAAATTTAAGAATGGCAACTCCAAAGACGGTCGATTTTTATGATGACCAGAAGTGGTAAACCTACCGCCGACTGTCAGCAGCTTTTCGGTGATTGCATATGGAAAGGAGAGATCAGAGTTCAAAACAAAACAGTCAAACTTCTTCTTTCCATAGTCCGGACGCTATACCGCTAACACATACCAGATGGTAATTGAGCCCGTCGAGTGAAATAGCCATAACATGGACGCTTTATCCAATCTGCTTGTTTTACAAGATCAAAAGCTCACCGATTCGCGGTGGAGCAAAGCTCGGGATGATATAGCACATGCTTACTACTTACTATCAAGTGTAAGATATCCACTTGAGCGATTATCAGTAAGATATTTCTCATGCTCTTTACGAAACACCATGCTTTTCGCACATCTATCTGATGGTAGAGCAAAATTTTGGTATGATTTGAAGTCTATCGTTGCAGCATCCCAATCCATGAAGCTGAAGTTTTACCAACAACAGAGGTATCTATCTAATCGACAGACCAGATTCATATGAACAAAAGCGTTGCAGCTCACGGCTATTGACGTTCAGGTTGCTTCAAGAAAGGCTTTTTGGGCGCGATGTGTTTGTATACTACTGGTACGATGTAATAACTGCAAACCGAGGAAGCTCTATACTTTACATGTAATACCGGGTCAAAGTTGGCGGGGGTAGTTCGTGATTCAGTTTTGACTTGGTGTTATATGATATGACTTGATATAGACATAAGGGAAAGGCGTCTGATAATAATTTTTATCAAGAACAGATCATCTCTCGTTCACCGAGATAACGGATGTTCATCTGGGAAAAATGTACTACTTTGACCGTGCGTGCTTACAATCTGCAATAGGATGCTGACCTTTTGTTACGAGCCAGGTGATGAACTATGAACATTCATCACCTGGCTCGTAACAAAAGCGCTTTGCTTTTGAAGCTTTGTCGGTTCTACGTCCCAGCTTGTCACAGTATTGCAGTGCTCTCTAAGAGCTTTATGCAGCTCTTCTGTCTTGTCACAACAATGGAAGTAGCGTTGATCAGCTTAAAATGTATTGAGTTTTGGAGCTCGTGTTAATGTACCCTTGCAGCATTGCTCTCGAGTTCTCGACCCGTGTTAGTCCTCTTACGTCCGAATTGTTAGTTGAATCCAGTGCCCTTTGTGGCGGTAATATTGGCATTTACTGTCATAGCTGGAGTGGAGCCATGACTGTGAAGTAATGGCCCTGTTGGCAAAGGCTAGGTTTTATCCCAAGATTCAAAGGTAATGCCTGTTTGAGTCGCTGGTGACTGCTAGTATTTGCGTCAGTGTCAAAGTTCTGTCGCTATGGCTATTGCTCTTGAGCCATGTACGAATGACATTGCATAGTCTTTTGCGACTAGCGTACTTTAACATGAAATAGATTGTTCATAGTTGGCAGAATAATTGAAGAATTACTTGATGGCAAAGCCGAAGCTTAAAGGGTGCTTTTGATCGGCCGCTTTCCTCGATTCTTTTGCTAAGCAAGCCGAGCCACGGCAAAGTGACGGAAACGGCGTTTTTTTCAGGGGACAATAGGCTACGATCGAGAGCTTGTCGGAGTTCATGTTTCATTAATGACACATTAACCAACTCATTCATTTATATCAATGATAGTGGTAAGTTAGATCAGATGGACAACGACGAGCAGTGTGCATGACTATATTGAATTACCATAAGTAGATTAGAATTGTAATTGCTCTCTGTGATCTAATGCTGAAGGATAGAAACAATGTTCAAGCGATGGTATTAATCACTTGTGTCCTGGATATTTGACGATAGTAAACGCGTGAGTACAATAGCAAAAATCTCAAGGCGTTCGACCAAAAAGCTATCGAGCAGCTAGCAAAAAATCGTACGTGCATCGCTTGTGCAGCACATTAACAGCAATAGACCAGATCAATATTTTTGAAGCGTTGCTATTCGTGTCCGTGCGGTGTATCTGTCCATTAGCACAGATTTAACCAGGTTAGAAGTGGTTGGAATAATCCAAACGTGGGTTTAGGCGATTCGTGACTGTCAGCGCTGAGTTGTAGGCGACAACCTCATGAATAACTACCAATATTTTGTGGTAGTCACCGTTTGTTCATTCTGGTTCTAGTCCATCATATAGTTTTGTTTCAATAAAGTTTCGGGTAAACAACAGAATAGCTGCCGGGTTGGTGTGGGGAAGTATCAAAAATCTCCGCCCTGAAACACGTTGCCGAGGAACTTTCTCCAAAGCTCACCGACGGCTGCCCTTAGCATCTGCAAACCACCTGGAACGCTGAATTGTCATTTGCTCCCATCGGGTACGAGGAGGTGGTGCTGTAATGGATAGTGGCCGTAAACATATCTGTCACTTGCAAGGGATCATGATGCGCGCTGTGTTGACAGACACCAATCTGGATCTGCTCGGATGATCACACTACTACATACGTTTGTGAACAACGCTAAACGCAAAATGTTCGGCACCTTGGTATGATTTTATTAGGGAGTTGGATAAGCTTTTTAGTCTGCTCAACACCTGCAGTGCTTTTTAACTGCACTGCACGGTTGTTCAACTTTTTCTTCTGTCCTTCTTATGATCCTTCTCGTGAACCATCCGTACATCTATACAGTCACGGTCATCGACTCGGTTCCGTGTCCAACCCACTTCCTAAATGACGTCTTTTTCCAAACTAATGGCTTTCATCACCCAGTTAAACATCAGTTTCAATTGGCACCCGCCCAGTCGGTCTTTGCTTTCGTGAGAGATTGTTGCTTAGGGTCATGGCTAAGTTATGTTACAGTCCATCTGACACTTGGTACATCTGACGGCGTACTGAAACGTCATTCCGGGCAGAAGACATATGATCCTCTCGAGTATATTGACTAAAAATTTGGCGAAAATCAGACACACTTTCATATCGCTACATGTGTGTGTTCTTGCTCGCTCTATTAACCGTACGTCCGATGGTAACAATCTAGTCTATCAGCGGTTGTCGATGATTAGCACGGTACTACGCTTGCAACATGCATGGAAAAATAGCGGGCCATCCAAATTTGCCAGCAGTTTCTTTGCAAGTGATGAACCAGGTGATTGCTATCCTATGTCGTTGAGAAAACACCCGTGTTACAATATCAAAGAGGCAAAATTTACATCAAAAATTTTATCACGTGCCCGGTGCCATCAATTAGTTTTTCGAGCGCGTTCAGCGTACTCAGGATTCCATAAACGACTGTGTTCGCTCAACGACTGTAGGGTGCAATGGCATTAAATAGTGCGGTGTGCCAATAATCTACCAACAAAACAGCCCATCGTTAGAGTTCACAGTAGATGGATTGAAACAACCGGATGAAATGACGAGTTCTCTCACCTCGTGCCGAACCTCTCCTGGCATCATAGTTTCTTCAACCATAACAAGGCCGTCATTTGGGTAACTGTGCTGGTTGAATGGATTGAGACACAGTTTCCCAGCAAGTATTAATGGATAACATCTCTGCGGGAGTTTTCCAAGTCGCTCATCTAACGCTCTGGCACTTAACATTGCCAACTCTTGCGCTGCTACACCTCCATATCCTGCAAATCCAAGATGTTTCTTCATTATCTTGTGGTATCGAATCCTTTAACAATGTTTGATCAAAATTAGAATTCTTGATGTTTTCAGCAAAAGACTCATCACCGATTCCATTTTACCCGCGATTAGGCGGTGCCAGCATGACTACTTTGGACTTGGTATCGTTCCAATTTACCGTTCGAAATGCTTCCTAGATAACTCAATATGATCGATCGACAAACAACAATTGGACGTTAAAATAATTACGTAAATAGCCGCTTGGTCCACATCAAGATAAAGCTCACATACGCGCAGCACTAACGCGCCGTATCCATGAGTCACGAAATTAATTGCTTCGTCTGTCGTATGTGGCTTTTGGCTCTTTAAGAACTGAGCTAGCTCTAAATTAGCGAAATAAAACCAAAACAATCTTAAAATTAGCAATTACGATCGTATTCGGATGCTCTTTGTTACTACTATGATACTTTTGCCCGAGGTGGCGAGGTCCTCCGTCCGCGGGTGATAGCGGAAGGGCTGTATATAAAAGTTACGAAACGCTTGCAAATAATACTCCAGTGGTAGCAAAGGTAGCAGTCCTCCATACAGGTCGTGCACTGTCACCACCACACCCTTTACCAGCATTCCACGTCGGTCAATTACCGCGCTGGCCATTGTCAGATACTTAACCGAACTTAACGACACAAAAACGTATTTAACCAAATATCATGTGAGACATTATTAATTTTCGCAAAATTCTTACCTTTTCGAAACCAATGTTACCAAATCGAAGGTTCTTTCGCAATATTTGAGCACAAAATTGACTTTCACGATGAATGCCACGGACCCCAGCGCTCAGAGCGTACATGGCGTGAATCCGCAGACGCTTGTGGAAAAAATCATGCGCAATCGCGTCTATTCAAGTGTGTACTGGAAAGAGCAGTGCTTTGGACTTACAGCTGAAACACTCGTGGATAAGGCCGTCGAGCTGTCGGAATTTGGCAGCACGTTTGGTGGAAATCAACAGCCGACCCATTTTTTGTGTCTTTTACTCAAAATGCTGCAGTTGCAACCGGAACTTGAGGTGGTAAAGCAGTTTATTGAGAACGAGGACTATAAATATGTGACAGTTTTAGGAGCGGTCTATCTGCGACTTGTGGGCAAACCTATCGATGTATACACGCTTCTCGAGCCATTACTGAGTGACTATCGCAAGATCCGTCGACGCAATGTCATTGGCTGGGATATCACGTACGTAGATGAGATTGCAGACGCGTTGCTGAATGAAGAGTTTTACGTGGACTTGGTACTGCCGAAATTGGTGGCGAGAGAAGTGCTAGAGAGGAACGATGGCTTGGCACCGCGGACGAGTCCACTGGAGGACGAACTAAATGAATTAAGTGAAAGTAGTGACAGTGAGTGATGAGGACATTTGTTTGTGATGATGGACCTGTTTGTACAACAAGAAATTGATAGTGCATTCCGCTTTGTGAAGTCATTGTGATGGTGCGTCATTGTGCGATGGATCCATTGTCCTTTTAAAGTAGTTAGCAGCTAGAACGATATTAGAGGGATGCAAGATGCTGTTTCCGTCAGTAACATTGATAGACGCCGGCCAGGTAGTTGGCATTGACAGATCATTAGTGCTCGAATGAAGCTGAAGGCACTGCCACCGGCCCTTGGCAGAATACGCCACCGCACACATCACATTTCTGCACTGATCTTGCCGATCATATAGATCAAGTACATGACGAGCGCTCGACTTCTGTTGCACACTTCCGGAGCAGTAGCTATTTGCTCTGCAGAATGGCAAAGAGCAGGTCGCGATGATCAGAGTACTTAATGATATCGTGGTGTACTATTGTTGTTCAGTTTAAGGCGCTCACCATTCAAATAAACTTCAACCATAGTTTCATCTTCTTTCTTATGCCATACAGGGTAGAAACGTCTTGCATCGTAGCAGCAACAGAAGAAGCGTCAGTAGTTACCTCATAACACTCTATCGCGCGCTTGACTCGTGCGCAGTATCCTCTGCCGAGTTATTCTCCTTTCATGTGCGTGATCCATTTGTCACCACTACGCAATAAGACGTTTTTCTACCATGAAAAAGAATCAATGGTAACACTTATTTGTCTTTGGAGAGACAGACACCTTTGCATATTGCGTTTATTTTCTTCCATTACGCGACGCGCATGCTACAACACTAACAGTCGTATATTACGCTTTAATAATGTTCTTATCAGCTTTAACTTGATGCATCACGGAAGGTGTTGTTTAGGTACTTTTAGCTGGGCAATACTCATGTTCCTCATGACATGTCAAGTGCACACATAACAAGGAGTAACCTCTGATGATACAGTATACGTTGCTGCCATTTGATTATCGTTCAAGCTAGAAAGTTGACATCACCACCAAATTCGAGCTTTGGAATGTTGTGCAAGGGTTGCATCCTTCCAAAGTTTAGGATTCGTGTTGAAGCCAACTTTCTGTCATCACTTTGTTGATGACACTTTGGCCAAACATTGACACGTACATGAATGACGTTGCTATTGTAAAATGGCTTGCTCATTCGTTATTTCTGATTACTAGTAAGTAGTACATACCTCGACAACTAACTACTTCATCTGGCCGTGAAAACCCTCTCCATGATCTTCAAATCAGGGACCGTATTGTTCACAAGAAGCTTGTAATCTGTACCATCGGCATCCAACACATTTTCCAGCGTATTCTTCTTCTCGTCCGTCGTGCATTGTATCAGGTACCACATTTGACGGTGGAGACAAAGATACCAGGAACCTTTACATGCACATTACAGTCGACTCCAATACGCGTCTCAGAAGTCCTTAGCAAATACCGTTATCGTTATTTCAGGTAACTTTTAGATTTATCTGAAAATATCGGAATGTATTCTCGGATATTTCGGATTCTAGCTGAATATTGTCAAATATCATAAGCTGTATCTCGGAAAAATTACATTGTGTGTGGTGAAATTTTGTGGTTGACGACGGTTATACCGGTTTCATACCTTGCAATTACTGTCAACGCGTTCAGAAATTGATTGTCACCGTTGCACCAGCAATGCCTTCTACTAAGCTGACGTCCGTTTTAGCATAATAAGCAAATAAATAACACTGCTATCTTTATCGATGGCTTATGACACTTTGACATAGTTTTGAGGGTCTTTAAACAGTTCGTGGAGCAACTCATGGGTCAATGCATGACCCGGACTTGTGGCAAAGAAGTAGCCATGTAGAGGAAAACCTGCAAGACCTATATCGCCGATGCAGTCCAGCATCTTGTGACGCGTCCATTCGTCATGAAAACGTAGTCCTTCTACATTCAATATTGTTGCTAGTTTTGCCTGATTGACTTGCGAGAATACGACGGCATTGTCAAGTGACCCACCACGTGCCAATCCATTAGTTTGCATCCACTCAATCTCCTTTTCAAACGTAAACGTTCTAGCCGATGCAATCTTTTGTTGGAAAGTATTCATTGTAGACTCCGTATTAGACCCCAACGCAAAGCGACAGAACGTCGTGCCCAGGTGCTTGTGTTCAAAGTTCACTTGCACTGACATATGAAGCGTCGGAGTTTGCAAGGACAAAGACGAGCTGCTGAGATCCACCGGCATAGGAAGAAACCACGCCGCTTTGTCATGTTTGATAACTTGCACCGGCCTCGTGATGCGAAGATAATGGAGTACTGCGCCTTCTTGCTCCTCGACACCCCCACGTTGGATTCCCTCCATGTACTCAGCACTACTCCCGTCCAGTATCGGGAGTTCAACACAAGAGTGCTGACTATTTTCTCCTTCAAGTTTAATTGCAGCATTATTGATCCGTGACGCGATCAGTGCTGCCATCAAGTGCTCGACAGTTGACACGGTTGTACCATTGGCAGTGAGTTGCGTGCATAATTGACTCTTGTCAACATCCACATTTGCAATTAAAGCTGGAATTGCACAGCTTTTGTTTCCCACGTAAAATGAAATACCCGAGTTTGAAGTTGCAGGACGGATACAGATTGCCACTTTCTTGCCAGAATGCAGCCCCACACCCGTAAAGCGTAGTGTCTGCTTGAGCGTACGCTGCCATCGGCTCATGGTTCAATGGTTGTGTATGTTTTTATCCAATCAATCGGCTCTAATCGAGTATATTTATTTAGTGCTTTGTTCTTCTATCAGCAGTGTACTGCTGAATATAGTAGCTGCAGGTCCCATTGCGTAATACACCAGACCTGCTATGAGTTCGGTAAAAAGTGATTCAAGGTTTTGCAATCATTGACCACCCACGAATAAAAAAATGGGCTGCCATGATTTACAAAGCACTATATCATAACGGATATAAAGTGTTACCGATAAGCTTTGAAGAAACAAGTGACTCGTTTGTTTGTTTTGTTTGTTTGTTTAGTCTTAGCTTGGCTCAATAACCATCATACCATCACTACAACAAACTCCTGCCAAACAAGTTGCGAGCATGGATAATTGCAAACTACACAAAAGATCACGTCTTTGATTGTTATGGATTATAAGAAAGCTATTGTTGAATACGTCCAAAACAACGAGATCAACTGCTCGCCTGTCCCTCACTAACGTCTTGTCGTACATTGTGTAGCAACATTTCATCTCTATGCAATAAATGATCTAGCAAGAAGTGCTAGCTATATAGTATGTCAATCGATAGTTGCAAGAAGAGGCAGTAAGTTGCATCGTACTCTTTTAAGTATTCCAGAACGCACAAGCTCAAAACCACATACGGAGTCCATAAGGAACTGAACTTCAAATCGTTTCGCAGTCAAGCTTGCTGTCCTTTCTGCGATTGCTACTGACTCGTTAGTCAAATGAAGTAATTCAATCTTACGATTCTACTCTTGATTCTCATATAGATATATTTATTAATTTGATTAAAGTATACTTTTCAACTCCATACTCAATCCAAACCTTTTATGTTGAAGCTGAAAGGTCACCCTGATTGAATTACAAAGAAGGAAGCAATCATTTGATCCAACAAGAGACATGGCGGAAGCGTCGCCGTTATGGAAACCGGCACCGTGGCTAGAGCCAGATCAAGTGCTAGCCACTTATGTCCCAAGTGTTCGTGTGGTGCTCACACCAACCTGTGCTCAAAAGAAACGTCGAGTTCATCGTAGTAGTCCCAATATGCCTCGAAATTGTAGTAGAAGATGGAAAGAAGATGCACAAATGACGCTTTCTCGTGCTCCTAGTGCTCATGAATTGATACAATCGAATGAAAGGCAAGTTATATATAAAATCAGTGCACAACAAGAGCAAGAGCAAGTGTGGACAGCACGGCAAAGGTTTGTACCTGATAGTGAAGATGAAGAGATAATACCACCAACAGCAACGTCCTCTTCTTCTGCCAATACATTACAGTTTATCACAACACCACCAAAGTTAGTGACAAGCAAGTCAGAAGGACAAGCTAGTTTATTACCAAGCAGAAGGAAACAGATGATACAGAAGCAGCATTCTCAACCTACGAGATCAATTACTCAAGCATCAAGACATGTTTACGGACAAAGAACTGAATCTTTAGTGTATACACAAGATACGTACGTCACTACAAATGAAAAGATAGTGCGACGATGTTTTGAAGAGCTGGAGCACAATAGAAGCTGTGGGGTACTCACATCGTCATCATCGCATGTGCCGAGTGAAGCTGCAGCGATGGCATTGGAACAAGGCATATTATCGTCGACAACGTATTCGAGCTCGAGAATGATGATGGATGAAATATTGGTGAGTGTGGCTCAAAGAGCTAAGAAACAATTGGAGGCAGCCTCGAAACGCCAGATGATGGAGGGCAAATGGAAGCGTATTGCGCGGAATAAGCTCGAGTGTCAGTCCTTTGAGTCTGTCAGTAAGACGAAGGATCAGTATAGCGTCATGGTGAGAATGGACTTGCCATGCAGTTTGCGAGAGATCATGAGTGTGTTTTCCACAGATAATTCTACGGAGTTCCACCGCAGCATGGAGGCAATCTTTGGCGACCAGTACGTCTATGGCGTTAATATTCGCACTGCGGACTGTGCGTCGTCTGTTGGGGAAGGCGATTTTGCCATGAGTTCACGCCCACAAGCTCGACGAGCTTCGGTACCCGCTACCTGGCATGGATATGATGGACCTATAAATCATTATGTGTCACCACTACGTTCAACCAAATTAAACGTGAATGCTGTATCCCTTATGCAAAAGCACCATCTGGTGTGGAAGCAGCGAAATATGACGTTCATGGATTATCTAGAGGAAGACATTGTAACGAAGTCAGTCACCCGCGTGATAAAGACGATGGATATGCAACACGAGAACTTGGAGTATAGTTCCATAACAATGTCATCCCCGACAGCTGCTTCAAGCAGTCAAGAAAGTCACTCTCAACACCATAATCAGCACGGGATGAATCTACACCAGGAACTTAAAGGCATTCTTGCGGGATATATTATTCAGGAAGATTCAAGTGAAAAGCTAACGCGGTTTTTCTTCTACGCAACTCACCATCACCGGCCTTCCGGTCGGCACGGACAGACAAGAATGCCTCGGTCTGCAGTCCAGCTTTTGCGTGCTATGGTGAATAAGGTATGTCTTCTTGAGACAGTTGTACTGCGCCGTCGTTTGGGCTACTACCCATTGTATCGCTTGCCTACTTGCTCCGATGAGGCCGCCATGGCATCGTACTGCGCAGCATGCTACGTTCCTTTCAAGATGCTACGCAAGAAACATTTTTGCAGACTATGTGGTCACTACACCTGTCGGAAGTGCTCGGACATGCAGGAAGTTGAAAAAGATGTTGGATTGGTAGAGAAGCACAGAGTGTGTGTGTCGTGTATGCGGCGTGTGAGTTACTACGTGTTTAGCATGTGTGCTTTCCCATCCAAGATTGCTTCCAACGTCAGTGGTAACAGTTGGACGTCAATGCAATTCAAGCAACCGACCGAGAGCAACGTAGAGGACGACGACGTTGACCCACCAATTATGGACGATCTTGCTTCAAATGACTCGGAGCCTGTGGAAGTGCACTCAAACCAAAGTGGAGTCTTTGCCGGCTTTGTATCCGATTTTCTTTATGGAAAAGACAAGAAGGAAGACCTGAATTGCCAACAAGAACATGATCCCGCTGATCACCGGCGGCAACACATAACTGCTAAACGAAGGCAGCGGCTGCAGCTAAGCATCAATGACCCTAACCCATGGACTCCAGGACCACTTCTCGACGGTCAGAACACTCCAAAAGAGTCCATATGTATCCTTGACAGCTTTTGTGTCTCACATCCATTGACGAGCCCTCGTTCACGCGACTTACCTCTGTGACTACCTCCATCGCCGATGGAAGCGTATAAAACGAAGGAATGTCACCAAATGTACAATATATTTGGCTCCTTGACCGAAGAGGAAGGCATAACAACAACAAGCACAGCCATCAGTGCATTCTTACAGTGTACTTATTGACAACAGACTAGGCCAAGCAGAAACTTGCTGGTCTGTATTATGAATCAAAAAACCTTTCAAAGTGACCATCTTGTGTATATGCTAAATGAGTGACAAGATTCATCTGAATGGAAAGCCAATTCATTCCATGAAATGCACTCGATATCCATGCAACAACTTACGTAACAGTCATTGATACCTTGTGCATCATCAGCCTATAGGACCCTAATTAGCCATAGACAAGAGATCATTGTATGTTTTACAGCTGTTTGTCAATAGCTTTCAACTTAGCTTTCTGTATCTCAATTGGCAACATCAATAGTCCATACGATGCAATGGCCGTGCTAATCTATACTTCCACTCGATACAATGAATGACCCATTTGACTCATTTGTGTACGTACGAGGTTTTCGACTTGCTTGTCAAAAGTCTCATGAGTGCAAATTATAAAAAAAACACTTTTTTTTCGAACCCTACTCAAGTATCGAAAAGCTGAAAATCGTGTTTCTAAACGAGCTACTACTAAAATAATAAAAATAAACCTCGAATTAGAAACTGCTCTTCTCTCTCTAGGATTGGTTGATAAAAATCCAATCGACGACATCGACCAGCCGAATATATCCCATTCACACTAGTTTACTAGCAAAACTTTGAGCCAACGCAGTGTCTTCTGATGGCTACCAAGGGCGAGCACGAGAAGCCAGAGACCATGGAAGATGAACATCAACCAGTGTGTACATTATACTCATTCTATAACATAGTTTTGTTCTCTTTTATCAATTGATATTGCTTGTATATCGACAGATTGTCAAAAAGGTGCGGCTTGATGTAGACGCGAAAGTGACGGAGGATGTGAAAAAGGTCAAAATTGATGAGGATGCAACGTCACAACCGGAGATTGGAGGACAAGAGGTTTTTGCAATCATTTATAGGACAGTTGTACGGTTAGTATGGTTTTGTGACGTCTAACAGATTGGTACAACAGGATGCAGTTGAGAAGGACTCGTCGGTATTATCTTCACCTGTGATGGAAGAACAAGAGAAGCAAGAAGCTGAAAATGTGCAAGAGAATAATAATGGAATGGAAAAGGAAGAAGCTAAGATCAATGCCTCAGGCAGCGCATTTGGTGGCTTTGGTGCTTTTAGTAACAAGAATGCCTTTGTACAGGTGACAGCACCAGCTAGTTCGAACGGATTTGGAGTCAAAGCGTTGTCTTCAACAGACGTAGCTTTTGGAGCAAATGTAACTCAAGCGTCGAGCGGGTTAGAAAGCACAACGTCATTGGCTTTGTTGTCGGATGCAACGACGAGTAGCTCGAGTGGATTCGCATTGTTTCAGAGTAACTCCTCCGTGACGTTCGCGTCATTTGCTGCAACGCAGCCGTCAACGGAGGGTTTTGGTGCGAAAGCATCATTGTCATCATCTACTACTTTTTCGGATACAGATGTGCTGAAGAAAGCGGACCCTGTCGTGGCGGCGTTGTCCAAAGCTGAGGTAAGGAAATGTGCTTGCGACTTTTATTTCAATTTTTTGATCGTTCCAACCTTGGTCTTCTGCTTATTATGTCAAAATATAGTTAGCGAATGGAGAAGAAGGCGAGCAGGTTCTAGTCGAGGTACGATATCTCTTGTTGATAAAGCTGCATTTGCCCTTGATAGGGTGCTAGCTTAACTTGTCACGATTGTATTGTGTTCATTTCGCCTCACTAGAAACGTGCCAAGCTGTTTAAGTTAGTCGAGAAGGACTACGCAGAAGTCGGTATTGGTCCAGTGCGAGTCCTGAACGCAAACGATGCAAAGACTGAGGAAGCTAAAGCTACTGCACGAATTGTAATGCGGCGCGAGTCGTACCCACACGGACCTGGCACCAAGCTGTTGGTAAACGCAAGCTTGGGCGCATGTTTGCTTTGTGAGAAGAAGACAGAAAAGACGATGCTATTGACAGTGTTGGAGTCAACAGAGGACGTGGAAATGACAAAGCAGTTGTTTGTTCCGGTGACTTATCTCATGCGTTTTGAATCGCCAGATGATCTTGACGTGGTAAGTGCACGGATTCAAGCCAACCTGCACTCGTCGACAAGTGTTGCGTCATCATTCGATTGAAGTCAAGATTAATGGGAGTGCAAGTATGCACCTGTTGAGCTATAGAGCTCAGTTTAAGCCGTGTAGCAAGATAATAGCTCAGTCAACAACAGAATTACATGAACTAGGCACAATGTTATTCGGTATCGAGGTAAAAAACCCAGTAGGATGGATGATTGCAGGATCTATTTGTGGGATAAATCAAAACACAGGTTTTCACCGGGTATTACTGGTAAAGGGAGTAAGTAAACTACCGGTATATCTGATGAACTCAGCCGGGTACCATGAATACGGTACAACGCGTCAAAAATACGGCTGACAAAACCAGTCGTCACAAAGTCAGTCGTAATTACGCTTTGTTTTTGCCCATTGCAAAACGGTTGGACGAGCTGTCGTCTCATCATGTGTGAATGTGTTAAGGCCTTGAATCATTCTGCAATTGTCATTGGTCTTGCTTGACAATAAAGTGTTTGTCTGAGTGTGTGAAGAGAACAGTTAACGGACAATGAAGACACAAGCTCCCTCTTCTGAAATGTTTTTATATCAACTTTGTGGAAGACAGCTGCATCCGGAATCACTATATGCAATCACCGAGTCCATTTCTCTTATGTAATGTACGTGTGTATTTTGGTATTTAATATTAGAGTGCAATGATGAAATTAGTGTCTGATATGGCTTGAACCAACTAGCCATGAAGAATCGAATGTATCACTATCACCCATAAAATGAGCCTCTTTCTATTGTATACATTGATTGTATATAAAGTGTTACAAGGAATGAAGACCACATACTTTGGTCCGTGTTCATGATATGCCTAATGGCAATGAAATTACACAAAGGTCTGACCTTACACTTGAGTATGTATACTTGTATACATGTATACATCTGTTTGTTTGCTTCTTTATACTCCACGCCGGCAATATTTTGTAGTCTATTTGGTCGATAATGAAAGTATACACTTCAATCCTACAACTTGCGCTGAAAAGCTCGAGAAGTTGGTGTCGATGTGTATACTTGAGATATCACTGCCTTATGGATGAGCAAGTTGTAATTGGCCCGGTACTTTTTCACAGAAGCAAGAGTAACTAGCGAGCTTACTACGGATTCCTCTGTTGTGTATACTTTGTGCTAGTGTATGGTTTGTCGAATCTACTTTCGGGTGGGTAACCGATGACTGATGCAACGGTATTGAAGTAATACCTGGTACAGTCGAGTCAACATAGCTGCTTACATGTTTGTTTGTATACATATTAATCTTGTATTTTGTATGTGGTTGATCTTTTGGATACAAGTTGTTGATGATTAGACAATTCATGCACCACTCTGAATAAAAGGATGTTTGATATCGTCAAAGGTCTTTTTTTTTTGTCGATAAACCGAACACCTAGATTTTTGGATGAAACAACACCGGTATGTTATATGTTTTAGATATTAAATTACCTCTCAAAATTTGTATTGTTGCCAAGGAGGATACTTGATTATCATTATCACCTAAATTAACCCTTTTGGTCTTCGGACAAATATGTGGACACTTTACACCTGTGTTTCTGAGGTGACAATATATTTTTTGATTATAGTCTTCTTCTATATTTACTGTATATATAATTTTACATGTATGTATCCAATAACGAGAAGGAAGGATGATGAGAATCTTGTTTTAGGATTCCCCTTCATGAAACAAATACCGCCTACATCGGTATTTATGATGAGCATCCAAAAGTACTGACTTCCACATTTATAGTTTGACCTATATCTATATTTTCTCATCTAAATTTCGACGACAATGATTATAATATCCAACACAGACCTGTTCTGAAATAACATGTGGATACCATAACATGCATCACCATATGAGTCGTCTTTATAAATCTATAATATTTACACATGTATACATACACCTCTATCTCTCTTACAGCTCTTTAAAATAGAGCAATGATTAGAACGATCTCAGACCTGTTCTCAGTAACTCACGTGATGGAATACTGTAACATGCATCACCCACCATATGAGCCTTTAACTTGTATCCATCATCATCATGATCACCTCCTGTACATAATTCTCTCTAAATCTACTTTACTCGACCATTCTTCTTGTCTTTCCAGTTGCCATTTCCATCCTTTTTCTGCTTCTGAGCCAGTGAAAAGACATCCACGTCACCACTGTCCTGATCGTCAATGATTTCATACTCCACTGTCTTTGACTGCTCCAGCTGCTGCAAGTGTATTCAAGATAATTGTCTTGGCACGCTGATAGTCGAGTGGATCAACGGAATATAAATCTTCACGGGCACAATGGGCATTTCGACCAAACTCTTCCAAGTCATTGGACCGTAAAATCTGTTCCGTTATGGTGCGCTGGAGCTGCTGCATCTGCGCTGGAGGTAACGTTTCCTGTGCAAGACGTAACAATTCAAATGCTTGACCCGCAAAACGCAAGGACTCCAAACGGAGCGTCTCCACAGGCCAACCGTCTTGTCCAGGAAGCACAAAGTACATGTCACCCACTTTCCACATTGAAGCACGCCACCGAAGATCATCCCATGGCCGATCAGGCCATAGACAGTAATTCCAACGCAGAAAACCATCAAGCTCGAAGAAAAATGTGAGGTATCCAACGAGCTCGCCTTCGACAAGTGGTGATGACACAAACTGGTTTGGAAAAGCTGGGCCACAGCAAACATACCAGCAGACGTGCCCTCCACGGGCACGAGCATCGTTGGCCAACCGACGCGTTACGTCTAGATCAGCACAAACAAGAGGCAGGAGTGGCACATAATCCGCTACCTGAGGTGGAGCATAAGTAGGAGTGAAAAACTCCGAGTGGTTCACGGCCAGCTTGACACGGAAAGTGGGAGCCAAACGCTGTATAAAGCGCAGTTGCTCGTGAAATACTGCTACCTCGCGAGGTTCATCAGCACATATCCGTACACGATCGGCAATTTTTAACGCTACGCAATGTGCATAGAACTGCTCAATAAACGTTTCAATCTCAGAAACGCGTCGCAGATAGCGGACACACTGAGTTGTGCGGTCCTGGCACCGGATGCGCCACCCATCGATCACAAATACCGGATCTTGAGAAGTGGCAGCTGAAAGAGAAGGCGGTGGCAATGATGATTGGCGGTGCTCTTGGCCTAGCTCATCAGGCTTTTGCGTTCCAGCAGCCGGAGTAGTCACTCCAGAATCGCCCAAAGCAGTTTGATGACGCACATCAGCTACGGAAGCCGAATCTGGAGCAGACGCGGTTGAAGGTGGTCGAAGATGGTGAGTAGTGAGCTCAGCTGGGGCACCAAACCCTGCAACGGGATCGCGCCACACTGAAAGAAGACCAAACACTTCAATCTCATGGTCCAGATGATGGCGAGCCCCTAGCACCAGCAGCTGGTCAAAATGTGTAAAGTCTATCGAAACCGGAACGCCGTGAGCAGGGTCTTCATATACTTCCAAGATGGCATGTTCAAACAAAGCTGACGCATTCTGCGCTTCCATGTAACATTGTTGACCTGCCCATGGCATTTCAGTGGCAACAACAGATAAGCACTTTTGACCCATTTCCGATAGTAGAGCCATGTATCGATCAATTAGTTCAAAATGCCGGTTGCTCCACAACGACACATGGTGTCCACGTGCCAGGGCCGTCCAGTGCTGCCACAGATCTAGTCGAAAGTGCCAATTCCTTGGCGTTGGGAGTTGCACGTCCACAACACTCACTGCAAAGCTGCTTGACCATGTCAAGTATTCATCACAAAAACCCGCATCTTGTGTGAATACACGCAACGGCAATTCATAGACTCCAGGTTCAAGCTTTTCTCCAACACGTATTCGTAAATATACTGCATGTTCCTTGGCTGCTTTGTTACTCACACCCGTACGTTGCAATGTTTCCATGACAAGATTAGAATTTTCATCTTCCACACATCCAACGACATAGACTTCAATTTTCAGCAAATGTGGTGGAATGAATCGTGTATCAATGGCTACACGAGCTCTTGGACCATGACCAAGTGGTAGCATCCAATTGCTTGTATCGGTTGTTAATAGAAATGCGACATTGGATTTCAACCTCAATTGCACCCCCGTCACTTCATTTCTTGCACATGTTAAACGTACACCTTCTGGTAATGCGATCCAAGCACAAGACGATGCCCATGGCACACGTCGATTCCTTGATCGATTCTTCAATTGCTCTTGTTCTTGTTCTTGATGAGTCGCCATCGGATGAAATCCTTCATTGATCTCGTCGATATCTGGATGAAAACTTTCTTCATCTTCCATCTCAATACTAGAATCAAGACTTTCCAGTATTCGCTTGGACATGGCAGGAGCAAATTGAACCAATAGCCACATTTGTGGATTACGTAATCTCGATACAAGCGGGAGTGAGTCAGGAAATAAAGACGACGACGACGACGCTACCACATCAAATGAAAAGTTTCTTGTACGTAATGGAGAACACGATCCACCTAATCCTGGTCCTATTCCTGTTGGATGATATGGTAATTGTCGTGTATACTCATTACATGAACTTGTCTCGTGACGCGAAGGATTGGACTTGAATTTCTGATTCTGAGACGGAGATTGGATATTATCCATTTCAAACGAAGAACAGGATGATGAGGATGACATGGACGCGTCATTTGACATGGAGGCATCATCACATTCGTGATCATCACGAGCTGAATAACTACTAGCACTATTTGAACGAATACGTTCATGAACACGATGATTACTATGACTATGATGATCCAAGCTTCTTTGATTACTCCGTTCGTGGATGTGAATGGACGACGTAGGATTAAATAGCTTCTTCTTATGGCAGGATTCCATGACTATAAAATAGCGATGGACGGAAAAAAAAGGTCAAAGGGACTCATTTTAAGCTCAAAACCTGAATACAAATGTCGACTATAACGTGCTGAGACAGCCTTGTTTTATTCCTTACGTCTTAAAATAGAGTCCAACTATTATAAAGAGTTTTGTTTTCGCAGTTGTTGTTGAGCTATTGAGTCGAAATATGGTGCTCTTTGTGCTTTATATTAAGGTAGATCTCGAGAATGTAGAGACGTTAATGGCACCAGCCTTCCATCGCTGGTGTCTCGATGTGAAAGAACCACGTGGTGATGAGAAACGAGAAGCTGTTGTTGTCTCGGATGAAGCGACCGTCGATATTGCAGGTGGACGAGGTGCTGTGCATTTTACACTCAAGTGGCCGGGAGCTACGAAACCATCACAATTAACAGTAGTACGTGACATCAAGAACTTGACACGTCATGTCACGGGTGCCGATTCAGGCACGTTTGTACCATTTGTAGGCTTCGAATGCCGTCGTTTAGAGCCATATGCATGGCATCCAGAAAGCGGGTATCGTGTGGTTGCTGCAGGACGTCATGGAGCTTTTGATGAGGTGGATCTGAGTGAGGATTGGGCCGAGTATGATGAAGAAGGAGAACAGTCGGTTGGAATCTACGGGATTGAGTACAAGTTCCTAGTACACAAGTAGGAGACAAGACCTTTTATTAGTAAGCGACGCAATGGAGATAGGACGATTAAGAGGGCTTTTTGACGGTTCATTGTTGTTGGGTGTTCATTCAATTCCAGGAAAGACGAGTGCATCACGTTATTGCATGGCATCATGTTGCATTACTAAGCTCAAGAGTGAACTTGCATTGCATTGGTTAAAGGTTTGCTGAAAACGTAGTTGCATTGTTGATGATGATTTAGAACTAAGCTGGAAACTTTCAGGTCATAATGCACTAGAGCAGATTGAACCAGGTTTTCGAAAATGTGTCAGAGGGATACTGTAAAGCTCACGCACGGGGTCTATTGTCGCACTTGCTTGACAATTCTCTCACCTCCAGTAAATCACTCTAAACCATCACGTGAGGTTGGAAAGAGACTTGGGACACGTGCTCTCTCTATGCTTTGGTCATCTGGATACCAACCGAAAGCAGAAACTGTCCGTTCAAAGCACCACTCCATCCCTTCGTCTTTTCTCTCTTCGCTTTGTAGACCGACCGACACATCACATACTCAGCCCGTATCATGGCGTCTCTAGTCAAAGGCTTTGCCAGTGACATCACTGGTTCGTCCGACGTCTGCAAAATCGTTACAGACTTTGCCAAATGCCGGGCGTCCGAATACCTCCTGCCAAGTGAGACGATCGCTTTCTCAATGATTTCAGTGAAGAACGAGTTCACGTTCACGAATATGGCGCTGATTACGGTTCAAGGCGAGAATGCCACCACTACTCGCAAGCTTATCGAACGCTACGAGTATAAGGACAATGCCGTTGATCATGTCAAATTTGAGAGTGCTGGTCACGTCGATCGCGACTGTGAGATCAAGTTCCATATCGGCAGCAAGAGCCTGTCAATTGACATTGCGAAAGGAGATCAGACGGCTGCTCAAGGCATTTACAAGGTATTGGAGCTGCTAAGTCGCGCTCAAGCTGCAAACGAACGGTTATGGGAGATCAGCACTCTGGGCATCAAGCACACGTCTGAAGCTTTGTACCTGACTGAAAAGAGCGGTCAGACGCTCACGAAACAGTCGGACGAGGCCACGGCATGGCTGTATGAAGCTTACAAACGCAGCCACCCACATTGCTACCGTGATGTGATCGAGTCGGCATTTTCGGACCTTCGCCCCATGGACAAGATGCGGCAGTAGACGAGAACTGTTTTACTCCCCGAACAGCTTCATACAAGTCCAGCAGTCCACTTCTTATACACACGTATGTTGGCTGAGTAGAGACTTGATCACCTTGTTGACCACTTTGTTCTCTATTGCATGACAACATGCAGAGGATAGCTGCATTGCATTCTTAAGCCACGTTGTCTACAAAAGACTCAACACACTGATGTATGAACGGAATTAATCACGATTCCGACCACGAAGCAAGATCAGAACACTTGATCTATGAAATGCGTTTGCTGTATTATTACCAACCACTTGTACATATCAAAAGAGATATGCAAGGAAGAGGGAGATCATGGCAGTTTCTAGCGTGGACACAGAGGCAGCAACGGTCGAAGATGAAGCGTCTTGGGAAGCACACGCATCACACAGGATCGTCGCTTTGTTGGAAGCATCAGCCAGTGCAGCTTCGCTCGCAGCGCAAACAGCACAACCATTTCCAACGCAGCTGTACAAACAGGTGCATTCGCCATTAAAGCAGCCAGCATTGTCCACATTACCACAATCAATCTCATCACACTCTGCACCAGCACAATATTTTCCACCTAAACCACCATCGCATGCGCACGTGCTGTTTCTCAAGCACGTACCCATATCGTTGCATGCTACGGTATCGCCCTCCGAGCAAATCTCGCACTGAGGTCCACTCCATCCAGAGTAGCAGATACACTTGTCACCTTCACAGGCGCCATTTCCAGAGCACTTACGGCTACATTTTGCGTAGGTTGCAACAATATCTTCGATACTAGTTGACGGTAAAATCTCTAGCAACTCAACACGTTCAGCAATAGGTGTGACCCAATCGTCCATTACGAAGCCACCCATGTCTGCTGACTGAGGGTTAAAGGCCCAGTAAAACGATCCAATTGACTTTTTCTCGAGGTACGCCGAGACTGCATCAGCCCATTTCTTGTTCTCGTCTTCCATCTTAGCTCCCCACGAGCCAACAACCACAGCCTGACCAGTTTCCTTCGGAATGAAACCAAAATACTCGTCCCACAAAACTGGCATGTTATCTGGAAAGCTTGATTCACTCCACCATGGTGCCTTGTAGTCCACACCCGGTGAAATCAAATGTGGGCTATACACCAGTTTCTCCATATCACTCAGCTTCACGGGATAATCCTTAGCACCTTGCAGTGATCCCCCCGCTTGTCCCCACTTCATACTGACTCCCTTTATATTTGTTTGCACACCTTGTACAAAAATCAACAGTCGAGGACATTTCTTCAGCACCGCATTGCCAATCTTAGCAGCCTGCAAGTTCCAGTCTGTAGCTTCATCTCCTTTGCCCCACGTAGCTTTTCCCTTTGGTTCATTCTTAATGTCGATAGCAAATACATTCCATGCTCCTTGATCTTCACAGTATCTCGTCGCTAGCTTCTGTAGAGCCGGCGTAATATCACCAGGTACTGCAATATCCGGGAAATCTGGTTCCGATGCTTCAATCCGATGACTATCAAGCATAATAAGGATGTTGCGTTCGCGAGCTTCATGTATAATCACATCCAGTATTTCCAAGTATGTTTTGCCTGCAAGAGACGGTGTCCCAGCCGTCTGTCCACTCTCAACAACAGGATCCTTAACGACTGAATCCATAGCCAATGGCAAACGCAGTGCGTTAAAGTTGTTGCTCGCAAACAAGTCCATTGCATTGCCAATCGAAGTAGCAGTTGGCCATAATCCTTGTACCACAAGCTCAATACTTTCTACAAGATAAAGAAAAAAACAAGAAGAAAGACACAAGCCATTAGTTCCATTTCAACAGCTTCAGGAATATGTCCAATGCCAAAGGTCGTTGAGCTTCAAACGTACCCCCACCAAACCAATTGATCCCCTTGATCAAAAACGTCTCATTGTCCGCTTTCAATTGCCCATCAATCGATCGAAAGTCGATAAAAGTACTCTCGACATTGTAGTACGTAGAGAAATAGGTGAGAATCCAGACAAATACGAGACGAACCATTCAAAAGAGGTGGACTCGAGAATGGTCAAAGTCAGTCAGAGAGTCAGTGAAATAGTGCACTCATCCGACCAGTTGACAGTTATTACCGCACGTAACGGTTGTTAGTTTGTGTGAACCACTTCAACTCTGACATACTAAATAAATTCAGTTTAGTAGCCAGCAATAATGAACATGTTATAGAGACTCCATTGAAGTCATTTTATCCTGGTATCTATGCAGATGTAAATACATCCAGCTGACTCTCTGTAACGTAATAATAAAGTCTGACTATCGGTCAGCAACAAAGCCAATTTTTGATTGGTCATTATTATCACACTCTAACCGTTTGCTCTAAGTACCAGCTGGGCGCGTGTCCACTGCTCGACGACACCGTGATTACGTCCTTGTGCGTGCTGTTGCTTGTATTATCACATTTGCCATTGTTTTGTGCGTCTTTCAAGACCTCAGTGACCTTTTACTTCACCGTAGAAGCTCATATCTTGACCATGGAAGGAGAAACACCGATTCTACCGACAGACTTCTTGCAAGACCTTGATTTATGGCTCTTGCAGGACGTTCCAATGTCTCCTACGATACATACACAGAGTATAAATGAAGAAGAAGGAAATGCTGGTGTTTTGAGCAATGAGACGGTGTTTTTGACACCTACAGCTCCAGTGACAGATACCGAGAAGATTGAAGCCGATAGCGGCTTTGTAGCTGCTTTAGAAGAAGATGTACTGCCATGGGCAGATCTTGCAGCAGTTTCTCCAGTTACTGGTGAATCCGTGACATTAACACGTCCAGTGTTAAAGTCTTTGATGCCTCAGTCAGTTGAAAAAGCCTCTGAGACGAACACTGCACAGACGAGGAAAGGAAGACCTCCTGCTTCGTCTAAGACGACATTATTAGAGCCTCCTATGAAAAAGGGAAAGAAGAACAAGAGCACAAGTCAAAGACAAAAGGAGGAGCTGACTTATTTACGAGAAAAGTCGGAGCAACTTGAGGTAGAGTTAATGTCGATCAAGCAGCGGAATCGAGAAGAAGTAGAGCAACAGCAACAAAACAAAGAGGAAGAAGCACGATCTGGTGGATTTGAGACGTCAACGGCAATGATTACTAGAAAACTAAAGGATCTTGGCGGACCTATGCAACCAGGGGTATCGCTTTGGGAAAGAATAGCGAAACGACAAAGAGAGGAGAAGGCAAAATCCGAATTGGAGAATCTTAAGCTTCGTGAGATGGTGCAGGGCCAGATGCGGCTTGCAAAGAGCTTGGAGAGATTGATTCGAAAACGAAAGGTACGACGATATTGGGCTTTGCAAAAGGTGTAGTCTATTTCTAACGCTAGTGACTTGATTGTATGTAGATTTGGGACCAGCTACAAGGAAACAGTAGCACTCAGGACAGCAGGGAAGGCATGAATGAGGAAGAAACATATGAGGAGATGCTGCGAGAAGTGGACGCCCAGTATTCACACGTTAATGCAGAGCTGAGAGGCCATGGAGTCGGCGAGTCGGATCCAGCTGTTGATTCGAATGTCAGAGATGATGCAAAGATGAATTACTCACCAGCGGATGGTATGTTTTTCGAGCACAAGGAAAAGAAGTTTATGCCGTTTGACTATTTACTTTTGGACAAAGTAATGTGGCGGTCTTTTGGTGAGGGGAAGCTCAAACATGAAGACACCCAGCTGACGATCCTAAAGAAAAAGGCAGACATGGTGCTTGCTAAGGCTGTACGCCCGCTACGACGAAAAGATGAAAACAAGGATGTTGGCTTTTCGATCGAGACCTCTGTCATCAAGCGATTCAGTGAAGGTGATCGAGTGGTGTTTGTGTGGTTCTCCAAAACAAACGCAAAGCGTTTACAAGATAAGACCGTTTCTCCTGTATTGCTTGTGCATAAAGGATGGGGGGCTATAGAAGCCGCAATACTTCCAGACGGCTCTCATGGCAGTGTCATTCGCAGCTATACGCGCTCGGTGCCGACCTTCTCAAGCCAACTATTGGGAGAAGAATCAGGACAGAAAGACACGGAGCACCGTGAAGCTGGCCTGCTCACGGAGGCAGTATTTGCTGCATACCAGCAAAGTCGTCAGAGTGTGAACCAGATAATTGAAAACCTTCTTTTGGACGAAATGATGACAAAGAATGCGACCTTGACCCCTGCAACATCAAGAACGGACACCAATGTGAGTTTATTGATGTAAATATGAGCAGCAGGATCGACGGTGTCATTTTTGTGCACTTTGGCCGTCTCGTCGGTGCCATATTCAGCATTTGGACATTTCGGGGGTCCTGCACGTACATTCGCGCGGCAAGATTGGCCAAGATTTTCTCTCATGACACCTTCCACACAAGTTTGATAGAATATTTGAAAAACCAGCTACGACGTCAACCGAGATGGAGCATTTCTTGCGTACATGTATCCCGATCTTATGACTGACAGTGAGTAGCGGATTTAGATGAACGGTTAAGGGCTACTGGCAGGGGTTGTTGTTTTGTGGCTTACAATCATTGCGCCAAGGGTGCAGTTAAAGATGTGGAAAAGGTGAAGGTGCATGCTGGAGTTTTTTGTGCCTGAGTGAACAACATGCTTGCCGCTTCAAGGAAGAAACAACAGCTGTCTCATCTCGATGATGCAACATTTTGGCTCGCTATGAATCACGCCGAAAGCCGTGACACGTGTGGATTTGCCATCTTGCAAGAGCTAGGGACGTAAAAACGCCTTGGACCAAGAATGACGTCACTGCCGCTAGCGCATGTGCCGTATGCCTCCGTTTCTTGTATCAGCTGCGATCAGACCCTACATGAAGTAGACGATAGCAAAATGGGTGTTACGATGTGCCAAGGTTGAGAAGAGAACGATGGGAATGATTGATACCGTCGGCTGTTTGGTGGAGAGTTTACGTTGAAATGTTGCCAGCATTTGCTGAGCGAGTAGTAGTGATGTATCGATGCGTGTGTTTGTAAATATGATGCAATTTGACAGACGCTGTGCCGTTATGGATCCATTGGGAGTATGATGATAATTGTGCCAACCGGTCTCGTAGATATTGGGGAAGTAGACGGAAGTAGATATAGAGGCAATTCAGGTCTTTTTTGGTTTGCAAAGTACTTGCTGCCTTCAAGTGCTCTGGTTCTATCTAATGAGCACACTTCAACAAAGACCAAGCCGGCAATGTAATGTCAACAGCACAGCATGCGGTTGCAAGACGTACAAGTAAATCTCACACAAGACACCACAGAAAAGTATCAAAATCAATTCAAAAAACACCACATCGGGACACCGTCATGCAAACACAAGCTGAATCAAAGTTGGAGGTGCGTGGACACCAATCATTTACTACCATGATCCAACGCTTCACATGCCACTCGTTGACTTCTTTCTCACGTTCCTTTTCTGCTTTATCTTCACCGTTCCGTCGACCTCACTCAATCCCCACTGATATCTGTTTGTAAAACAGCACGTATGCACATTCCAAAGTACGTGTCTAACCTCCAAAGTTGAAGCGGAAGGTACGGCCGCCCTGCTGGAAAAACTGCGCATTGTTAAACGGAGAGTGATGGTGTTGCTGCTGCTGCTGCGGGTTGCCGGTGACATCCTCGCCACGATCGTACATGGTACGCGTTTCCTCATTTGATAAAATCTCGTAAGCTTCCGCAATGTCAAGAAATCGTTTTTCTACCTTCTCGCGCTCAGTTTCGTCCTTGTCAGTGTGCTTATCCGGATGCCACTCAAGGGCCTGCTTGCGGTACGCTTTCTTGATCTCTTTAGCGTCCGAAGTGCGTGAAACACCGAGAATCTTGTAGTAATTCTTGGTTTTGCTCTGTTTCAAAGCTGCCTCGGCCTGTGCTACCTTCTCCGTAAACTCTCGGCTCGAGTTGTCCAGCTCTAACGCGCGTTTTGCTGAACGTACAGCATCCTCGTATAGTTCAAGACCGATATACGCTTCGCTCAACGTTGCAAAGGCCTGAGCGTTGTCATTGTCATAGCTCACAACCTTCTCACAGGCATCACGTGCCTCGGAAAAGTGCTTGAGACGCATTTCGCTAGTACACAACTGCAGGTAAAACTCTTTGTTCATTGCAAAGTGTTCCGGATGAACCTCCACGGCCGATCGCCACTCTTCCACTGCTTCAACGTAAGCCTCACGCTCCATAGCATCTTCCGCGCGGTTTACGTACTTGAGAACCTTATTCAGTCTCCTGTGAAGGCTCTTAATGCCTTTGTGCTCCGGGTCCGAGTGCAAACCTTGCGAGTAGTGCGACTTTGCTGCCTCGAGTGACTGCTTGTCTCCAAGTGAGTACAGTACTTCACCACGCATTTGCAACGCAACTAAATTGGACGGATCTAGCTTCAAAATAGAGCCAAGGTCTGCAATTGCATCGTACGCGTTCTCCAGTGACACACTAAGTTGTGCTCGTTCTAGCAGCAAAGGTATACTAGAAATAGCTGAACCTTCCAGCACTTGTGTCAAATAATCATACGCCGATTGATAATCACCACGACTTTGAGCAATTTCAGCTTTATCAATGTACGCCGCACATTCCTTGCTCTTATCCAATTGCTCCATAGCTACTGTATCCTTTGGGTACAACCTAATCGTTTGCCAACCAACAAATTCATATCAACACACAACAACAACAGCAGCAGCTAACAGCTAGCAGCTAATAGTAGCAATAGCTCCAATCCTAATCCACCTAAAGTCACAACGTACTTGATAAGTTTCTCTAGATCCAGTGACGCCTCTGCACATTGTCCCAACATAATCAAGAGCTTTCCACGTTGTAATAATCCTTGTCTATACTTGGGATTGATCTCCAAGGCTAAAGACAAGTCCGATAGAGCGTGGAAATACTTGCGTTCACTCAAATAAGCTCGAAAACGTTTGTAAAAGTTGCGTTCATTGCTTGGATCGAGTTCAATGAGCTTTGAGAGGAGTGAAATGGCCTATAGAAACACCAAATACATTGAAAATGACGATAGAAACAAAGATCAGAGCGCAATTCATGGCCCTTTTTGCTTGGATTGCGTCCAGTAACGTACTTTTTTCATATCTCCACCAGCAAATGCATTATCTGCAGCAATACGAAGCTTTGATACTGGATCAGAAGTAGCAAGAACATGCTGAAACTAGAAGAATTGGATCGAGTAGGTGGTAAGTAGTTGTTAAGTAGTTGAAAGAAAAACATGAGTTTGAGAGTGAATGAATGAGTGGAGATTAATTGTGTGGGGATATAAGAGAGAGAGAAAGAGAATGATACGTACAGTAGTAGCGCAGAATGCGCATAGAAGACCTACGACAAGGTGAAAGACGCGCATTTGAAGGTAGTTCAAGCTTTGATACTGCACGACGTCTTGTAGTGAGACACGATCTTTCATTTGAACTTTGTATGTGGACGGAATTGACAAATATTCGGCTTGTGCCACGTGTTTATTCGCGGAGCATAATTAAGCTTGAGATTTGTATACTGATGAATTGACAAATATTTGAATCGTGCCACGTGGACATTTTGGTTTCAATGAATATCAAGTTGGAAGTGAAACCTTTTCTATAGAATATTACGGAATATATTGGAGCTTTTATTCTTTTTGGTTAGACTGAAAAGTCAGACCTTGGAATGTTTGTAAAAATCTTAGTAGGCTTTCATGATAACTAGAGGTATCGCCCCTCCTAATCCGACTTCTTTAGAAACCAAAGTCAAAAAAAAAACTATTTCTATTTAATGCCACTCTTTGTGCGACAAGAAATACAAACGCAATCGCGCAAATTAAGTCCATCGTAATCGAAATGTGGACAAATTAATGTCTTGACATTTATTGATTTCATGCGTAAACAACACAGAATGTCTCACTGCTTTACTTGATCCTTTGCTAACACAATTACACGTGATGGTTTAGGCTTTGGGACTTACGTAAAATGTTAGAAAACTGTCTTTTTGCAACTGACTGACTACGTTACCAGATGAAACAATTATATAGTGTCTTAGGAAAGACGTAGCATATAGGAAGATGAATTGTGTGACTAGATGTAAATATGCATCAAAGCAAAGAGTATAACACTAGCGTATACCACGTTGAAGACTGCTCTAGCTAGAAAAGAAGACGAATAATTACACGATGATGAAGCAACGCCATGCAAACTAACAGTCAGAGCTTGACCACACTGCAGCGACTACGTGTTTGCTCAATTACGTTACTGTAACGTAATTCTTGGTAGAAAAAAAGGCTAAAAAACCTGGAAGCTGTGCTATTTCACATTAACTACTTTGGCTGCTTCTACCGACGGCAATCGTCAACATGATCTGTGGAATGTGCGCATAGGCTTTTCTACTTCCATAAGGGCGTCATTAATCCTGCTAAAGCCGAGTCTTTTGTATAGTCTCTCGAGCTCATCCTCATAATGATTTTTTCCTTCTCTAATAATGATATTGCATATGTCAAAAAAGAAGTCTCACTCGAAGCTTGTAAATCTGGACCTTGGGTTGTAATTGCGACACTAGAATGTCTCAATTTGAGTTTGAGGTTAGAACATCATGCCATCACGTGGCCAAGAGCTCGCCCTGCCATTCAGCAAACATTATCTGTAAAAGCTGCTTCCCTTGTAATCAATGAGGGTGATATGACAACTACTATCATCATTATCCTCGCGTGAGCTAAAGATACATAACTACACAATAATGAGGTTTCAGTCATAAAATAGGCAAACAAGCAAGGTTCATGGAAGCAATGAGATTCCAATAAGCTCTTGTGTTGGTGTTGTTCACGTGTCCGTCCGAAATGATTATGGTCTTTGTTTCTCCAATATACAAGTTGTCCAGACGACGAACTCCTGCTGTATTGGATCAAATGTGTGGGTAATAATCGCTCCAGCAGATAGAGACCTTCTCATTAGAGAGCATAAACCATTTCAAGCACGTGTTGTAAGCTCGGGTCGGTCTATGATACACTATTGACCGTAATAATGGCTTAAACTGCTGACGGTTGGCACCTGTTGTTTGATTACATGAAACGCCTTTGAGCGACGGCCTACGACAAAGGTCCATAGTTCCAGTTGCTCCTTTGAAACTTCGTCATCGTCGACCAATTGTTAGGATTATTTAAGCAGACAGCCAGAGCAACGCCCTGCGAATGTAACTGAATCTGCCATTCCATTTGTACTTGCGCTGCTGTCAAAAGACGCTCTTGGCACCGTAATCAGCACTAATGATCCAGAAACTGCAAGCTGAGGTGTACAGTACAGTACAGTCCTTATCTTTGCATATCTGGTTAGATAGAGAAACTGTATTTGTAGCTTGTATCTTACCTACTTGATAGGTTTTGAGAGGGAAAGAAGCGCAACCAACCCTGTTTGTCTCGCTCGGGTCGTAAAATCTAATACATTCGGTTGATACTATAATGATTGAGCGTGGAACAATCGCTTACACATCTTTGCCTCTCCTCGAGGATAAACGGACGAAGCCATCGGTTAATGATTTTGGTCCAATTTTTCAGCCTGTCATACGTTTCCAGGCTAATATATTTCCATAAATCTGGACTTCCTAGTTGAATGTTAATAAGACCAACAAATATCATTTGATCCCTTGAAAGGCACGATACTTGGTCTGCATCTAATACCAACATCAGCTACCGAAATGCTGTGATTGCTGACAAGTCTTTTTTCTACACGCTTGATACGACGTCTTTGAGCGTAATCAGTTATCGCATAAGCCCTCTCCTTTCACTTGTGCAACATAGTGCCACAAATTCATTTGACTTGATTTAAACATGCTGTGTCATTGTCATGTTGCTTGAACCGTGCTTGCTGCAACATGAGTAGAATGAATTGACCTCAAGTGAAACGCTTTCACGTGGCATTCAAGGATTCCCTCAGTTCCAATTTTACCACGTAAGAAACACACTGAACCAATGCACTGTACGTCTCGAAATGTCACAAATGCTGCTGTCTTCACACCCGAGTTTCCATCTCGAAGCTCCAAGCGCGATGCAATTTTGGCTGCCATTCTAGCACAGAATATGAAGAAATATGCGGTGAAGACAGGGACTAAGCGCAATTGTCCCGTATTTGCTGCTCCAGTCAAGCAACGTGTTTGTCGCCCAGACGATGAGATTCAAGCGCTGCAGCAGGATGTCGAAGAGCTTGAGGCGAGACTCGCGGCTGCTCAGAGATGCAAGAAAGCACATACTAAGACACACGCTATCATGAACCGTCTCGACAGTATTTTACAGCCTTGTCAGAAGCAGACCGACCAGGGCGTCACGACGGAATTTTTAGACTTGTCTAGCTGTGGTCAGCGCGAATACGAGCCTATGGTAGATGCACCTGTGTATAGGCTCATGGAAAAGAGCGTTGTCGATCAATACGACCACTTGGCGCAGGTTTTTAGAGACGCGGGATTGGAAGACCACGAGACGGACTTGCACGACGCGCGTGTTGTTACAGGAGGTCAACAGGGTACATTTGTACGCTTTACGACAGCTAAATTAGTGCCTTTTGCACTTGATGCTATTAGTAGAGCTATATGGAAAACGACTAGAAAATCATCGGCGTTGAATATGGAAGCAATTGAGTCGACTATTGAAGGTGGAGATGATAGCGTCATGCATGTCAAAAGAGTGTGTCTCCTGCACGACGATGCTACCGGTTGTGCGGGTATTCCGGTGCTGATGCGTGGCGTGTGTCGTCGCTTCGTAGAGCCACATCGGATCGTGGTGGTCTGGGAAGGCACGGGGGACTGGCCCAAGGACTACCTCCAATGTAACCCTAGCAGCGTTCCGATTCGGGAGCGTGGCTACTGCGTCGTCCAGAATTTCACCAGTGGAAACAACAATAACGGAAGTGCTAGCCCGTTGAGTTTACTCCAGATCTGTGTCTGCATGACACCCGGTTTGTCGGCGGATATTGATACGAGCGAACCGGAATGCCTGCAAATGCTCTCGAACGTCGTGATTCCGTCCTATCGCAAGATTTTGGACGCACGCGAGCAAACACTCGAGAATTGTATTCTAGACGAGATGGTCCATTGCAAGATAAGTGGATCCGCGAGTGAACGAACAAGGTTGACAATAGCTTAAAGCGAAATGAACATGTGCCATATATTTTTCTTTGACATCTATCTTACAATTTAAAGTCATGCATGCCCTGCAGTCCTTTCAAGGTTGGCGTTTCAGACAAGTTGACTTCATCAAGGGCAAATGCAACCTCCATGAAGGAAATTGTCCATACACTGCTGTCTGTTGGCTTACAAAAGAACGTGATAACATCGTGCGCTATCGTCAAATGTCAAACAATTTCCACTTGGTGTTACTGTCAGTAACAAAATGGTTGGCAAGCAAAAAACACTTCAAAAACGTAACCATGATGCAGGTGATAGTGATGGGCTCGTGCAGCCGATCAAAGAATGGTAGTAGGATTCAATGCACCAGTTCCCACTCAGCTGCTTTTGTCATAAGTGGCCAGATGAGTATGAGCAAGTCAGCCAGAATGAAAAAACTTTTGTCCACTGGGTGTTCCAGCCTATCCCAGCCACTAGCATGATCACACACTTGCACCGTAGCGTAACTATTATCTTGAGGACAAAACGGACTTGATCGATGTTGCAGGCAACGACACCTTTATCACAATGGCTTCGGCTACGTTGACACGAGAGTTTGCGCTTCGTGCAGCAATAAAGAAAGTTTTGCGCAAGATCTCTTCACATCGCGTTTGCCGTCCATAGTGAGTGGCCTAACACAAACTTGCAATTGTTCTTTCAGCTCGTTATTTTCATGCTGATAGTTCATAGCAACGTCTTCTCCAACTAGCAGACGTCGGTTTCGAATCCGCATTTGTACAAGCTGCTTACGGTCACCACAGACAGGATTCTGCTTGGTTAGTATCTACTTTACATCTTCTTAGCAGGTCGTGACGTGAATCGGGACTTTGGTCTTAGCGGTATGAAATAGAACGTCCTAATGATCAAATAGCGTCACAGTCACGAGACAAGAGCACCATCAACTGAAGCAAACACTCCAAAGAACGAGGGACAAGAATGCATTACGACTAGCAAAATGGCGTGATGTCAATACTGTATCGTATTTTGTTGTTTTCTGGCCGCATGAATCTATTTTTATATGCTTTGGTTTTCATTCTTGCGGCTTACCCGGCAGCTTTTTGAGAGCAGTCCATGACCTTTTTTGCTGCTGGATGTATCTCTTCTGCTTTAATGAACTGCGACAACAAGAAAGAAATGTTATGGATTGGTGTTGTTAGAAGCTAGAGATTACATGGAAGGACGAAATGACGCTGTGATCGATATTATCGTGAACATTGAGCAAGTGCTGCCGCAACCAGCATCGTCCGATCGGTGCTTTATTGCTGTTCGCAGCTGACATGCTGCTGTCTTGCTGAGACGGGATATCATTCATGTCTATCTAGCCGATCTCTCTTTGTTGCATCTTCAGTTCTGGCGCTAACTGGTTTCTATCGACCATTCGAGATCGAAGAGAAAAAAGAGCTTTTAGTTCTCAAGTTAATATGGCGTCGCCGTGGTGGTACTTCTAAGTCTGTACATGCTAATGGTGTTATACTATTGCCTCATTTACGACGAATGTGGTTGTTGTTGGGGAGTGGATGGATGGATGGATGACAATGTGCTATGGGTGTCGTGTGTACAACTATGATAGCTATTTTACTATAATACTGTATCTTTTTCAGCATTTAGCTGTATGAATCAAGGATCTGCCGACTGCTTGATTCAAACGACAAAAACGATCCAGATTGTGTACAACAGGACCGGAACCGTTCGTGTAAAAAGATCCAGAAGGTTAATGCGTGAAAGCGTACCTAACGTTGGCATCCACTTCTGTCAAGTATGACAGTCAAAAATCCTATCGACTGTGTGTATAATGAAGATATGGATACTGACTGATAAAAGAGTAAATGTAGTTCGCCGCACATGAAGAGGTAACGAATATTCCTAGCTTACAGTGTCTCCTTTACATTTTACATGAGACGAAATCGAAGTCATTTTGAAAGAATCTTTATTCCTTGCAGTCACTTGAGTACCTCATCTGAGAATTTTCCATGTACTCAAACCTGGAACTACATCTACCATGTCATATGGATGCTATGAAAGGTTCTTTCTTGTTCGTTGGAAGCGCATTACCACGTTACAAAACATGCAGCTGAAGTGGCATAAAGCTCCATATTGAACCGTATTGTCCAGTCTTCCACGATGTCATTAATACTTATGTTTACTATGAATAGCGGTCAATCAACATAGCAACAACACTATTTTATAATGCAACAACACGAGCTCATGTGTGTCGTGCAGCCTTTACATAGCCACTTGCAACAGCTTGACTCAAATACTGAGTTTGCCTATGAATGAATGACCTTTGCTGCGCAAAAGTTAGTCCAACTGTTACTTAACGGCAGAGATTTTCAGGCCTGGTATCTGCAGACAGATCAGGTACTACCAGATGCAGACTCCATCGTCGTAAAAGCTCCGTAATCCAACAACAGCCGTAATCGTCTTGGAGGTTTACCACACTTGCATATTTTATCCTAGTCATAGCTATTGCCTCAAAAAACTGGCGCTACACATTAGCGGCTCGTTTTATCGGGCTGCCTCCTGTTTTCCTTGAGCGTACCACGCCTGCCGCTAATGGCGCCATTCATGAGAGTGTTCTCCACATTGCGTTGCCGCTTGCTCCATAAACTCCGGTAGCATGGTGCTACCAGCTCGGCGAGTCCGTGAATCTGTTGCCGACTTTGCTCCGCCGATACACCACACAACTGGGGTATCAGGTATGAACAGAGCTGCAAAATACTCGAGTTCTCGCCTATGGGGCTTCGCAGAGGCTGCAATAGTCCCCAGCCACAATCGCGAATCTCCATGCCTTTGGCACTAGAACTTACGTGAGGCAGGCGATTGGGACACTCGGCCACTGACTCCCATACAAACACAACGCGCCCAGTTGGTTCGTCCACAACGCGACGAATCACGCAACGGACACTGAGCTCGGCATCGGATGCACGATGCTGTCGAAGAGGCATATAACTCTTCAAACACAGAGTGTCACCGGTAGCACCTCCCACAACTGAAGCCTCCGACTCGGCTTTCATCGACTGCCAGATCGCAGCCGCGCAGTCCTTCACGTCAAATGGCAATATTTTGGCGTCCTTGACCTCCATTAACGGACCGCGTCGCTCGTCAAGAATCATCTGCATTTCTTGTAACTCCTGCTTCTCCCCCGTCAAACCGCCCTTCTCAAACACCGCCTCCATCTCAGCAAGCAGCGCATCTAAGCCAGACGATAATGACGCAAACACGACTGTTTCTTCTGTGTCACTTGCACACGGTCGCTTCATCCCGAGCATTCCAGCAGAGGTCTCATCAGGTCCTGAGCTCAAAGACGACTTCCATCTCTTTCGCAACAGCTTTTCAAGACCCTTCGAAATCTTGAGTTGTTCTTGAATAAGACCTTTAAGACGTAAATTCTCCATCTCAGCCTTGCTTTTCTCCTCCTTCTGGTGCTGCGCCATGCGTTCCCACACCGGTACTACCATCAGTCTACAACTAAAGTCATCACCAGTCTCTAATCCCGTAACAGGCGCAGCAGTTACGGCTATAGGAGAACAATGCGATCGTCCAATCTGTCGTCCAGCATCCGTCTTGATGCCAATGTTCATGATTGATGGAACGGCGCGTGATGTTCGAGGCATCCTCGAACGCACGTGATCCAATTCGCGCTGTAGTTCCTGTACCTGTGCGCGAAGTCGTGTTAGCTCATCTTTCTGTCGTTTTCGAGAATTGTTCACTGTTCCTGGGGTTGCAGTGACTCGAGCTCTCTTTGGCGGACTAGGATCAGCGGACTGTGAAGTAATAGCAGCAGCAGCAGGATCAGGTATCGGCGTGGACCTTCCAGCCGGTGATAAACTGTTTGGACTTACAACCGTAGAGTGGGTGGGTGTATCTGTAGAGTAACTACTCACATTACTTGAAAAGGTGCGCCACTGATCTCCACGAAGCGATGGAATCACCATCTTGGGTAGTGAAGGCAGAGAGGGATTACCCGTTGAGTTACTACGCTGTGGGCGCAGAGAAGGTAGAGAAGGCTGTTGTTTGGTCTTGTAAGTCGCATTATTTCCTGCTGCCCCAGCACGCGCCAATAACTCAACAATCGTAAGCGCCGTAACGTTTCGACGCTCAACATCTTCATCATTCTCATCGCCTTGAGGAAAAGCGGCACGTGGCATGAAATTACTCCGTCGAGTATTACTAGCAAATGTAGAGCGTAGATTAAGCGGTGGAAAGACGGCTGGACTAGCCATTGTATGTGAAAGCGATGATTTCAGTGAGGATGAAGTAGTTGAAGTCTTGCGACTTTGTGCTGGCGTTTGCTGAACTGCAAGAGGTCCCATAGTATGTGCGTGTAATAGGGAAAGGCACGACGATATTTATTTGGTCTTGTCTACACCGAGCGGGTTAGCGAGTGTTGATGATGCTGACAATAGCGAGACTGAGAAAAGAATAATCACGATGGTTTTTGATCTGAGAAAATTTTGGTACGTCGCAAAAGTATGCTCTATGGATTTATATACCCTTTCTATACCGATATTTACTTACATACAAATTAATCCGTAAAAGATAGCTTTTTAATACCACAGAATCCAATACGACGGACTTAAGCAATGGAGACGGGCCGTTCGTTTCTCAACTGCCAGTCGGTCTAATCTGCTCGCGCTCTAAGCACGTTTGTTATCAGCCAATCATAATTCAATATGCAGCACCGTTGCATATCTAATCGCAAATAATTCAATCGTAATCATTTCGTGGAACGTTTGACATTTAATTCACGGTAATACCGTTGTTTCGCACACCATTGAGATGTCACTTGCTCATTCTCCAAGACGTAGCAAACGTACCCCTTTTTTGACCCAACGTTGTGACGAAATGATTGCGCGACAGCAAGCTTTTGTTTCCTAAAATGTCTCAGCTCGTTTTATCCGCACGACAAAAAAAATGGGGACAGAAATTCCTGCTCAAGTTTATATTATGCTTGTCCTGTCTTCTATGAATAACGAGCTCTAAACACTGTCGCACGGTCGTTTTTTTCTGGGCGAAGCCGTGCCGCTCTAACTGGCACGCTGATTGACAAATCCAAGCAGACGCATCACGACTGGCTTTACCAATGAGGCGGGTTCGGACGCGCAACTTTGATGACGACACCCCTTTGCTTACGCTCGTAAGGGTTGCGTTTTAATGAGCGGGAAGTTAAGGTCTAGGTGAACGCGCACCGTTTAAATGTAATCCGCCACGTCGGCTAACGTCGTTGATGCATGGGCGTGGCCAAACCTTTGCTGTATGTACTGTATGGTAAAGGCCAGCAGTATAGTTGTATCTACGACTTGAAGGACAGATAAAACACACACTCGGAGTTGTTTCTTTCCGGTCATCAAAAACCCATTATGTGATAGCAGCATCCACGGTATTAACAAACACCGTAGATGGACCAACTGGATTGAAAGCTATCCAATGGTAAGATGTGGATTTTTCTTTGCACTTGCGTAGATTTAATCTTTTTTCTGATTTTGTTTTGACTCAGATAAGCTGATGCTCCATATCGTCATGCTCATGGTGTTCAGACCCTCACCTGTACATGTACCTACCTACCCAACCATGTGCGATGGCGTGCGCGGCGATGGTTTGCTATCCTACGCTTAGTTTTTCAAATTCACACTATAAGACATCAATTGGTGTAACGGCTCGTAACAGTCAGCGATGTTCCACGACGGACCATGAGCTTTTGACGTTTGGGCCGGTAATGGAAACAAAATTGGAAAGCGTCATCATCTGGATTGATGCCAGAAACATCGGCTGCTTCATTTTATCTTGAAGATGCACTGTACATTCGTTGGCTTTGTATTGCTCGAATCACCAGTTATTTTCTACGCTACATTTAAACTGCATGTCGACTTCTGTTGTCTACGTCTCGTACGGCACAAATGTTTTGCACACAAACGCTACTTTGCTAGACTCTTCACTTGTCCTTTGACTTGTCTGCGGTATCAGACTTGGCTTCTTTCGACTTTGACGGCGACTTCGACGACAACTTCGACAACGGCTCGGACGTCTTGCTCTCCTTCTCCGCAGACTTGGTGTTGGCACTATCTGTAGACTCCGTAGTAGACTCCGTAGCAGACTCCTTAATAGACTCCGTAGCAGACTCCTTCTTGCCAGCATTAGCAGCGGCACCTCCTGATGCGGACTCATAGACAGGGTAGCCATAGTAGCCATAGCCGTAGTCGTAGCCGGGATAGCCGTAGCCGTAACCAAAGGACGAGTAGTAGTCCGGGTAGTAGCCACCATAGCCAAAGTCACCGTACGATGAGTAGTAGTCCGAGCCGCCGTATCCCTTTCCATAGCCCTTGCCATAGCTGTAGTAGTCGTTGTCGTACCCCTTGCCATAGCCTTTGCCATAGCTGTAGTAGCCGTTGTCATATCCCTTGCCATAGCCTTTGCCATACGAGTCTGGGTAGTAGCTGTTGTAGCCCTTGTCATATCCCTTGCCATAGCTGTAGTAGTCGTTGCCATGACCGTAGTAGTCATCACCGTAGCCCTTATAGCCGACGCCATAGCCCTTGTAGTCATAGTCATCGTGGCCGTAGCTTTTGTAGCCGTAACTCTTGTAGTCGTAGTCATCATGCTTGTAGTCCTCATGACCATAGCTTTCGTGCTCATAGTCGTCTTTCTTGTAGTCATCCTTCTTGTAGTCATTCATCTTGTAGTCATCCTTCTTGTAGTCATCCTTTTTGTAGTCATCGTAGCTGTAGTCATCGTAGCTGTAGTCCAAAGACTCAGCAGCCTTGGTTTCTTCAAGACGGCGACGGTAGTACGAGTGACCCTTGTCATCATGGTGATGCTTCTTGTGGTGGTCGTGCTTGTGCAAGTGATGTTTGTGGTCCTTGTACGAGCCAAGTTGACGACGAGAGGAGAGTCCACGAGCATCAGTGGCTTGCATGACAGAGGCGACGACGCACAGGCCTAGGCCAATGAGGACCTTGGAGTGCATCTTGTAGACGGAGTGACGAGTGTTGTTGGGTTAGGATGATCAGTTGGTTGTTTGCTGTGTGGGGAGTTGAAAGCAAACCGAAAAGTGAGAGAGCATGGAGTGATCGAGCACACTCAGTGTTGCGGGGTTCTTGCTTCGGATGGGTATTGGTCTTTGAGTGATGTATTGTCATGGCTGTTGAAGTGATGTCCTAGCAGTCGTCAATCTAGTTTTTATGTCATTTTCAAGATGATATGACGATTCTCTGATCAATTGATCAGAGAATCGTCAAGAGAGTTACCGTAAACTTGGCTCGTTTCAATCAAAACACCTTAGTCTGGATCTGTGTCGAAGAAGGCATGATCAACTGAGCCAATAATGCCTCAATCGGAGACCACCTGAAAGCAAATGATCACGCTTTCTCTGCAATTAGCATCCAGCGATGACAAAAGCTACTAGCTCATTTTACAGTGTATCAGCATGTTAGTAAAGTGACGGATCTTCCAACCAGTACAAGTGCAGCCACGAACCATGAAACCTCATCAAGATTTGGTGTAGGTGTCGTGGTAACAGGTCAAGCTATCGTAGATGTTGACGACACTAGCAGCATTGACGCGATAACTGCATCGATAGCACGCTATCGGTGATGAATAGTGCTGATGGGTGCTCATGCTGTGACAACAATATAATGTCCACACAGTAGTAACTTATGGCTTTGGCTACAGCAGGACCGATCGTTTGTAATCAGCGCAAAACAAGAGTTCTGCAGACTCATTCTTGTCCTCAATTCTTGCAGACAGACTCTAACTCAGCCAACGTCAAAAGTAGCTACGCCACTACATAGCAGCACCTAACATGCATTGATATATTTTCACTTCCGTCAATGATGTTCACTACTATGAAGAAACATCTGAAGGATCTACTATTGCATCTCGTTGTTTGTATACAGACGATGTGCCTCTCGCTCAAAAATGGTCGATTAACTATCGAGTGTTTGACATATTTTAGACAATACTGTCCGTGCAAGCCTTTATAGCAAGCAGAAAGAGAGACGAGTGTTACGATTAGCAGAAAGCGCACTATTTCAAGCATGTTATGAGTGATCATCATAACATTCTCGCACTGTCTCACATAATTGCCTCTTACTATTCTTCTCACAGGTTGTTAGATCACGCTCATTAAAACTCAATTTTGCCCAAAATTTATCAAATATATCAAAAACCGTAATTTTCTAAAAATTCAGATTTTAGTGTCAGCATACAGCGGAGACGATAAGAATAGAACACGCGATACTGATAGATTACGAAACAAAAATAAGGACAAGTAGTTCCAACCGGTAATCAGAAGGATCATTACGACCTTATTATCATCTTTGATTGTCCACTGCAACTGTGCTGATCCCATCTGATTGGGTCTTTACAGTCTCAGCATGAATGCCAATGCTATCAAAGGAGTCAGTGGATATTGTATGCATGTCTGACAGTGTGCGAGCAGTTTAATGCAAATGCGTCCGACAACGGGCTGCAGGCGCATTGGGATTGTTTCTGTCAGTCGCGGGACTATTGCTTATGCATGGTTGCATGATTGGAAGTGCTGGTATGGTGAGCGCAGAACAGTTGCGTTGACGACAAAGCTTCTTGTCCTTGTGAAGTAGTATTCGGCTTTTTGTCCCAGAACAGCGTTTGCTTTTGATTGAAGAGCATGGGTGGGGAAGCCTACGTGTGCATTGCAGGGAGGCTGAACTGTGATAGTAGCATTTCTGATGTTTGCAACATGGAATCGAAGCAGGATATTTCAAAAGTACGCGGGCGCAGTATCCACGCTTCAGTCTGCTTGGTAAGGTACTCACTCGGCTGGACCGACAATAGCGGCTGAGAAGGCACATTGCTGACGCATTGGCTTGAAAGAAGAGAACTGGAATACCATGGCAGGGGACGGGTTTGTAATGGGATAATAGTGTGGCAACGGAAGCTGGAGGTATGTGATGCACATCACGTCGGCCAGCAAACGATGGAGCCATGATGAAAGGTGGTGGATACAAGACACAAGTGTCTCATTTCAACAAATACCTTTTGCTGATTTGCGTACCCTTAGCGAGAAAATGATCAAGGTACAAAGCTGTGCTGGTCATTTATAGACGGGTATTCTGTGCACCGACGACCGATTCATTTCCATCCAGATGCTTTGTTGAATTCTACACGTCTTTAAATTAGCTGCTAGAGCTAAAGCGTACGTAATCCATTGACTGCTCGTCAACTTTGCGTCAGACGAAGAATCAAGTGCGCATCGTAGTACATGCATCAGTTACTGTCAATAGTTTGAGCAAGTGAACAAAACTTCACTTGCTTGGAGCTTTACTCGACCTCGACGCCTCTTTATGCGCCTGCACGCTTGTCGCGAGATGCAAGATTTCAGTCATATGATCACGATTACCACAGGAGTAGCGACGACTGGTCCGATCATACCGCAAAAAAGGAGATGTAGCTGACGAAATCCAATCAGGTCTCTACGTGCAAATGACATTACCGAGGTCATGTACACGCTTCAAGACCAGAATTGTAGCATTTGGCAACTTTGTCTAAGTCTGTCACGAGAGTTTAACCAATATCATGTGAGCAAATGGACCTTTGTCGACCTGTACGGATTACAAAACCGTCTGACCTGGAATGGAATTCTGGACTGAATCATGCATCTCCTGATCGGCAAAGATGCCAGAGATTATTGACGTAATCTCGACTCTTGAAACACCTGACTAGTTGCTTGTCCATATGGACGACATGGTTGTGGCAACAAGCGTAAAGGAAGAGGGAGTTGTTCAAAGACCTTTGTAAGGCGTGTAATATTTATACTGCAGACTAGCTCGTGCATGCTTAGGCGTAGTAGTGAATGACGTTGATTATAGACAGGGTTACATGTTTACTATGAAGGTTTTATAGACGTAAATGCATGTAAAGTATTTGTACGTCTACGCAAGTAGAAAAAGTGTGTGTAAAACCTAGTTCTTTTCCTATCATGAGGTTATTGTAACGTTAATGTACTTAGCAACAAGCACTTGACAGATACGATCGTGGTATTGACGCATGGACGAATTAAATTGCTTTGGTAACAAAACTTCTAAGAACAAGTTAATTAATACAGTAAAACGACTGTTGTCGTACAATGACCATCTCATACGTTTGCAGATACTAATGTTATTATTTAGTATAGTCAAATGATGCTATATATTTAACGAAAAAAAGTGCTATTGTTATATTTAACTTAACAAATGGTAGCAACAACTCTGTTCTTCAAGCTGAGAGACATAAACGTTACAAGATGTAACTTCAATGTCTATGAAGAGAGGACGACTGATGAAGAAAAAGACAGGTCAGATTGTATACCTCTTGGCTCCTTTTCCACCGTTATCCAACCTTTGTTATCCGGAGATTCAAACCCTGTCAAATGATCCCTTCAAGCACTGACTTGTCGTTTCAGAACCGTTTAATTCATCCGACCTTGAAAATCATCATACGTCCTGCTTTTCTTCCAGGCATTTTCAAATCAGAATCAATTGATGTAATTCGGTCATCGACAGTGTAGCGTGCGTGACCTTTCTGTCCTTTGTAGTACCAATGAGCGCTAAGTCTAGTTTCAGTAACAGTCAAGCATGCCAGGTTTAATCTGGCTTCTTGATCGCCTTTCACGTCGTAACTGAGCGTTTTCGAATTGACAATACATATTGATATCATCATGGGCTCACCATTGCAGAGTCTTTCCTGTACTGGCCATATACAATCAAAGGTTACGCTTTTCTTGCTCCATTACTGTCATGCGACAGCCTTCATGGGTTCTGTCCTGACGTTAGCGTTGATGGCCGTTGCAAATCTCCTTTGTGTATAGATTTATAATCTAACTTAAGCAAACCCGTTTGAGCACGTTGTGCGCCACGTTTCAGCTCTAAGGGACAAGGACTTATCTCAGAACACTTCACACTTACCACTCATTTGAAATTTGGCAACACACAAGTCGTAGCGACGAACTCAACAGGACGTTCAGATCGATGCGTATCCACCACCGCTCGGCAAAGTCTCCAGAATTTAAAAGCCCATTCGCACCGCTTCAACTTGCAGTAGAAGATGAGGCACAGCTTGAGGGCGTAGCACGGATCTTTGTTCAAAATACTGTGGTGCAGTATGAAAAGTTCATTGAACAGGACTGTCGAAAGATCGACAGTAATCACTGGAAGTGCATTAAACAGGAGCGTGAGCTTCGAGTATTTCTTCAACGTCGACGAAAGGACGTCGAGCGCCGCATGCGTCGACAACTGCGACTCCAAAAGCTTCGAGTCCGGAACTCGGAAGCAACGCAGTTTTCCGGCACGGAGCTGTGTAATCCTAGCTTTGGCAGTCGTGACAGCAGTTGCGGCAGTATCTCGAGCCTCTTAAATCGTCGAACAGGCAGCTTTTCGAGCAACTATAGCAAGACCAATTGTTCCGATGGCAGGTCAATGGCACCCGGTAACATGTCGAGCATTGGAGTAGACCCGTCGACACTACTGAGTGTAGAGTTACCGATATTGCAGCTTGTGGGTTCTGTTCCAGGTTCACTAGACGACGCCATGTATGGTGCTCTTGGGGCAACAGTTGATGTCATGCGTGTGAAGAGTGCATACGAACGCGACAACATTACGGATGGTGCGGTGCTGGCTACAATCATAACTCCTACTACGGCCGATCCATTCCGATCATTAACGATCAAGTGGGTTGAGCACGAAGGGCCAACGATCGACCACCATCGGTATCACCCGCTACACTACCCATTGACACTTCCAGGTGCAAGTACACGGGGGGATCTAATCTTTTTAGAGGCTACAGGAACAACAACGCTGGCGACAGGAGAGCGCATTGGATATCAGCTACGCCACTCTGTGCACTTCCCTCAGACTCATAGCCGAAAAAACGTGCGGCGAGGGAATATGTCTACTTGCACGCTTTTCCGTGACGGTGACGCCATTACGACTGATACACGTGACAGTCCGTCTTGTGGATTCGTGGAAATATTTGCTCGCGCTTGTTTAAGCGGTGGAAATGCTGCTGTTCGATCCACGACTGCCGCAATGGCAGCAATCGGCACGGTTGTTCTGTGTGGACGAATGAAGAAACTTGCGTGGATGCTGGCCCAGCGTCATCCTCCAGTTCAGCCATTGGTGGGGTTTGTTGCACAGCAAACGAGTTTGTTTGCACTCGCCCGATCGCAACCACAACGCAAAAGCCGACGTGGATCGCTTACCGTGACAATTTCCACCGCTGCTGCTGCGGCCATGTCAGTGACCGACAGCAAGTTGTGCGTTACGTGTAAAAAAAAAGCGTGGTCCTTGGTTTAGTACACATAGCAAGAAGAAGAAACCGGCAACAACATGTCAACTGTGCTGGCGATTTGTGTGTTCATCTTGCCGCTCAAAAAAAGACAGTTATGAATTGCATCACAAGACGTGATGATCGTCTTACAACACGCGTCGTTGAGCGTGGAGTCACATTATGTAATGTGTGCGTGCATCAATCTACCGTCGCAACCAGTGCTCGAGACGTGGCTCGAGAAGAGATTGAAGCGGATCCAAAGCGTTGGCGATTTCCATCACCGACTGACGATACTCGAGAGCGTTCATCGGATGGACAATTACAAGCGCATATGCTCGCCCAATTGACGGCTTCTGCACGTAGTACAAATGGTCTTCGACCAATCTCTGTGGTCTCACTACGCTCGGAACTAGCTGTGAACGACCTCTTTGGGTGCTGTGCTTGACGGAATGCCCTGGTCTAAAACCTATTATACATAAAGTGTTGTTCTGGCACTTCGACGACCGAAAGCAGGTCCTGTCGAATCTGAAATCACATGTGCCGTCTCACCTTTATACAAAGCTTTGTAGTTACGATAGAAGTAACACGATCGAGATATCTCGATACACGTTTTCATTGATCGATTCATTGTATGTTTGCATTTCTCTGTGCTAGTGTAGCCATGTCAATCCAGCTTCAAGTGCCCATGCCCATCATGAAAGGATGGGGATTGTAAATTGTAACCCTTTGTAGCTCCCGGTCATCGGATGTTCTCGATTTGTGACTTGTTGAACCGGACATAAAACTCCTTTCGTTGTCACCGTGCGTTCATTTCTCGTCACGTCATGTCATTTGCTTTGCTAGAAGGTGACGATGAGACTTTTACGGACGTTCTAGAGCTGTTGAATGAGTATGAGGAGTACGAAGCAATTGACGATACGTCTCAGTCGCAACCTCGAGTCAAACATTGCTCGTCGAGCTGTAGTTATTTATCTGAAAGTCCGGCATGGACTGCATTTGAAGCTGCACACCCCATTAATCATAATACCAAAAAACACCGCAATCGGGCGCGAGAAATACGACGACAAGAGGTGCAATTCTTGCGCACGTGTGCCATAAGACTCGAGACTGAGTTGAATGCACTAAATGAAGCAGTGGAACAGAGGGCACAGCTGAGAGTGGCAATGGAAGGATTGGACGAGACGAATGCATCGTCCATGAGGTTGTGGAAAGAGTTGGCGACACGTCAATTGGAACACCGTTTGGCTTCAGAAAGAGAGAATAGTCGTCTCAAAGGCGCACTGGAAGACCATCGGAAACTACGTGAAATGCTGGAACGAGTATTGAATACGAGAGTCGCACGTCGAGTAAGGACAGTGTTACATATGGTGAAGAAACGTCAAGACATACTAAACCTTGAGTTTGTGGATGTAGGTGATGGAGACGAGCTTAACACAAGAGAAAAGGACAAGACGCGTACATGGCGTGGCATTGGAAGCGTCGGATCAGGAGGTTTTTCAAGAACTAGAAGGTGGCGTGGATTCCGTGTATCATGAAGCAGCAAAGGTATTTGTCCAAGAGGATATGGGCAATATGACGTCTCCGGGATTGTTTGAAGAAAAAACATTGCCTTTTGATCTCCAGGCGACCGCGGAAGCTGCGTGGAGGTGTCTCGCACACGCGTTCCAGAATGAAAAATACACGTTGTCATACAACAGAGAGATACAAAAGAATGATTCGGAGAAGGGAGTACATGATAACACCGTCGTAGAAAGCTTTGGCGTCGAGATTAAAGTGGCAGACAAGGTGGCGGATTTCAGGATCAAACAAGTATTCCGACGATATGTCGAGTCAGATCGTATTGTCATTGCATGGAAATCTTACATCGACCCGGCAGAGTTCAAAGATCCGAGAATGCGCTTTCGCTTTCAAGAAAAAGGCTCAATGGTGATTCAACAGCCGCTGAAGCCGCAGGTGTCTGGTGACGAGCCCACAACGCTGCGTATCTGGCATGTAATTACTCCAGAGATGCTAGAAAGTACAAATAATGCTCCGAGCTCCCAATTTGTACAGGATCTCACCGATTTCGTGCTAAACGGATCATCGTCTGCAAGGACTGTTCAGATGATTGAAAACATGCTACTTGAGGAGTCAAACAGAAGAAATATGCAGTACACTGTGTAAGCATTGACGGTATTTTTGCGACGTATGCGGCCTTGCAATTCCAGGCGTTGCCTCGGGCTTGAACCTTCAATGCTTTGTATCTCCCAGCAGAAATGAGCTCACAAGCCCATCAGAAACAATACAAACGGTGCAGTTTGAGCGAAACCAAATGGATGAAGAAGACATGGGTACAATTATGAAGGACTTTGGAGTAACAGCTGATGGAACCATCAACGTCGTTTGTATGAACAGATAAGAAAACGCATCAAGTGACAGTGCGTTTTCGCATCAGACGCGCCAATTGACGGTTGCAGGAATCAGTGCCGTTTTGCAACGGTTGGACGTTAGAAAGTGGCTTCTTATGATGCGACTGAATCCTGTATGAATGAATGCCGTTATTACACAGGAAGCAAGTAAGAACTTACGCAAATGCTTTCCAACTTCTCTACCAAGCAATATGACAATCACGCATCAGCTCATTGATTACCATCAACTGTCAAATGATGCTATTTGCTTACCTACCGGCACCACTTGAGCAAGCTGGAAAACTTGTTGTCTACTCTGTCTTGAGCTGTTTTTGACTAATCTGAAGCCTTTACAGCCGTATCTTGGAGGTTTTGCTATGTTTGTCCTGCAAGTGTGTCTGCTACTAGCAGAGTAAAGAATGCATTGCTCATGATCTCGTTACGATCGTTAATGAACCTAGTTACGATTGTCCTTTTCACAGCAGCGGCACCATGTATGAGAGATCTGGACGTGTGTTTCGTTCAAGTCTCGTACGAATGTTGCGTTGTCTGCGCATCCAGAATGCAAGAGAGTTTTCAGGCTTCAAACGATAGCGTTGACGCCATTGCTAAGCCTGTAAAGACCCGATCAGATGGAGCATGTCGATCTCGTTCTTTGTTTGAGTACGGATGAACAACCTAATGCATCCAATGATGGACTTACATGCCTGCACGTAGCTCTTCTATCTCAATAAGCTTACACATGAATAACAGGAAACTATTTGAAGGGTGTACGTATGTATTCAATCTAATTCCAATGCTATTAAACTACATGAATAACAACGCAAATAGACACCCACAGACGTATCAGTCTTGCCATTAGTCTTGCAATTACTGAGGTTTCTGGTGACGCATAACCTGGGATGGAAGCAAAAGTTGTGATGCGCCACCGCTCTGCTTTGGGACCCATTTCTTCGGAGTCGATTGGATACCTGTCGGCTTCAGTGTATGTTTCCTCTCACTCTTAAGCAACGTCCCTTGTTTGCTCTTTCCACCACGGTTGTGGTATTTCCTCTTCGATCCGTTGACTGCAGCCTTGGTTGTTGTACTCGGCTTCTTGTTGGACTTTAAACGAAAAGCAGCTCCAATAGGAGGACACTCTTCTACGTTGGTAGGAACTAGGAGTTGCGTCGGTGCTGGCACATACATCGGAGCATGCGATCCGTCGGGCAAGAAGAGCTGCTGTTGCTGTCCAGGTATAAGTGGTTGAGTCGAATAGAATGCTGGAGACGATGGTGTCATTAACTGCGGCGGAGTTCCACTCGGTAGAGGAGGCGTAAGCAGCGACGGTTTGCCAGGAGATGGTTTGTACATGTGAGGAAACAGCTCCATTAACGAGTCAGCGGGTGCAGGTGACGGAGGCACTGAAGCCGCAGCCTTGGCTGCTGAAAACAGTGCCGCGACGGACGGAGCCAGCTTCTCCTCGGTAGACGGTAACATTGGCTTTGACGCCGATGTCGGTAACGGTGATGCTGGTACTTTCTGTGTTTCTCCAGGGGGCAGTGCTTTTCCACCACCCTGAGTTGCAACTTCACCATCGTGGCGCCACTTTTGAATCAGCTGCTGAATCTTCTCTGGGTTAGGAGGCACTGGTATGGCGCTGGGAACTGTTGGCGGAACCAGCGACGAGAGATTCGTATTTGCCTTGTCGTTTGCTTTCTGATTTTTCGTGGGCATGCGGCTGTTTGTGCTAATAGCAGGAACTCCATCCGAATAACGTCGCTGATTAGCAACATTGTTATGCTGGACATTTCCATTCTGTCCATGCTGCGAATATTTAGTGCTCGGTGGTTTCTTGCTGCCTGGCGGAACCGATACGCACAGCAAACTGTTCCAGGCCACGATTTTGCCACGATCAAGACTGACAGTTCCGTAGAGTGCCTCTCCGCCAGTGAAGCTCTCATCAAAGAGTACCTCCACGCATTTACTGCTCACGTGGGTAGCTACAACCGTACCTCGATGACCAAACGGCACACCGCGCGCACTAATATTGATCACGCGGTCCCCCAAATTTGGCGCACCTCGGTTGAGCGATGATCGCTGCGATATTTCGTGCCCCGTCAAGTCCTGGTTCACCAGTGGATTCGGACGGAACAAATCCACGGCACTGACAGTTGCAACAACAGGCGCACGTTCCTGCTCCTCAGTAATTTTAGCGCGCTCCGCTGCACGCAATGCTCCAGCAGCTTCGATGGCACGGATCGCGTTCGAAGCAATATACTCAGATGTTATCGGAATATGCTTAGAATGCTCACTGGTGCCTAAATGCTGCTGCTCAAGCCACTTCTTAACTGCTTCTGCCTTCACTTCCACTTGCTCAGCATCGTCAATTCCAAACAAGTCCTTACCTCGGTAAGTTGTTGCAAAAGATAACCGGCTCAGGTTGAGAACAACCTCGGGAAATTCTTTCTGGTATGACGCAATTAGCTGCATTGCGCGTTCAGTATACTCCCAAGCAGTAGCACTGCTATCTCTAGCCTGCACATGACCCGAGCTAGAATCAACGACATCGCTACTGCCACTTCCCACAATTCTTACAATATCGCCCTTCCTCCATACGTCGCCAGAACTGAAGCTGCTACTGTCACGTCTTATAAGCCTGCAATAGCCAGGAAGTAGCAACTCTTTGCGATAGCGAATATTCAGCCCGATATCAGTACCATTAGGCTTGACAATTACGCTTCCCGTAATCAAGCCTAAAGTTGACGTTGATATCATTAGCTTCTGAGCCACCAAATATCCTGGATAAAAACGGTCTGTGATCTTTTCTGCAATTACGTAGCCGAACGGTGGCTCCTGATCAATCGTATTCACATGAACGGTAACAGTGTGTTGTTCTTCATCCTGTGAACGCACAATAGCTGTGCACCCGAGCCACTTACCACGTGTGATAAGCGCTTTGGAGTCAACAGGAAAGCGCTCGTTTAGCGGTGGCGAGACGGTTTCCTCAAACCGCGCGTCTAAAAGCTTACGATTACGAACTGTAAGCTGGGCGGGCACAAACGCCTCCGCCACTCCAAACTTCTTCTCGATAGCACCAGTAACTGGATTCGACACCATACCTTGAAGTGGCAACACATGCAGTACCGTAGTGATTCCAGTCCTGCCCAGGTCAATGCCGCCACTGCCAGGAATTCCACGGCCAGATAGCAACTTGACCACCTCGGTTTGCGCAAAATGCGCCCACGCGCTTTTTTCGTCGGGTTCGTGCGGCGCGAATACAACCTCGTTCCGTCTGTGGCCGTTGTTATTGTGCATGCGGCTGGAATCCTTCAGGCGATATTCTCCAGATTGCGTACTGACACCCACAACAAGCGCCTCGTGAAGGTTTGGCCAATTTGCTAGAACAGTAGTGCCCAAAATCTCACGCGGATTGATCTCTTTAGCACTACCGCTTTCTCCATCATTTAGCTTCCCTGATGCCGAAAGCTGAAGGATGAGACTGGACTTGCGCGAACTCATTCCAAAACAGTTTAATCCAACACTGGCAATACGAATACTTTCAAGATCTACCGTATATAGTGACGGAAACCCAGCAAGCGGAAGCACAACATCTTTCATCAGCTTACTCTGGAACTCGCCACCAGTAATTGCTGGAAGCTCATAGTCTTCCACACGTGTGTTACAGTATGGGACATCAGGGAATCCAATAGCACCCGGCAAGGTCGATTTTAAGGTGTCTTGCACATTCAAATCTCGTACTATTCGAATGGGTAAACGCTGCAGTTTGTTACGCCGTTTTTCAATCTCAGTCAGCTTTGAGTCCGGGCAATACTGAGCGATAGCCTGCTTGAGCAATGCCACGTCAATAAATGGCAGTAAATTCACACCTTCCCAAGGGTTGCGCTTGCCTTCCATGTCGATTGCAAACGTCTCTGGGTAAAAATGCTTGATCGGTGATAGCGGAGAGACCATAAGAAATCGGTACGGCTCCGGCACGAGGTTGGCGCTTGAGGACGGCAGATTCGACATCAACTGCTCGAACGGTAGCAGTGGGCCTGCAATCGCTGGGTCTTCGTCAAACTTCACATTTGCAATAACGTCTTCGATGTCTGTAAGATCAGAAATCATTGGGGCGTAATGATAAGGGTAATACCAGGCCCATGATTGAGGGCCTTGGAAGTAGTAGGCGAGACACCACACTAACGCCTCCATGTAAACTTGTTTTACGTGTTCCAGTTCCTTATTGCCAGCATCGCCATTGCCACGTTTAATGCCAAATTTTCGCTCGTAGTAATTCCACTTTGTGTCCTGGAAACTCTCGCTGCCAGCTAACAAAAGCACCTCACGATCGCTCTCCTTCAGTTCAAATGACATTTTCGTATCTTCACAGCCATCCAATGCCTCTAGCAATGCGCGCTCGGCTTCCTCTTCGTCTTCATCTTCTTCTAATGGTGGGAGAAGATTATCCTCATCGTCATCACGAAGATTCGTGATGGCTGCTTGCACATCTTCAGCATCAACATCGTGCTGTTTGGCTTGCTGTCTCCCGGCCCAACGACCTGACCATCGTTTCTCCTCCAGCGCGCGGTTGATGAGAATTTCCTCCTCTTGGTTGCCAATAACCTGAAATAGTTCCTGGAGCAATTTACTATTCGTTATCTTCCCGTTTAGCGTCAAGTAACTTCCCTTATGATCTTCAAGCAACTGCCGATAGACTTTCAGCAACAGTGGAATCGCATCTTCGCTGATTTCTAACGTTGGACTATGAGGAATAAAGTCATTTCCCAGCAAAAACGTCAATAAAATAAAATCATCCAGCATCCGTTCTCCATCCAATGGTGCTTGCACTTTCATCTCCATCATCAGATACTCTCGAAATAAACTCAAATGAACCAACTGCCACTGCTGTTCTTGAATCTGTTTCGATGCTACCTTTTTATTGTGACTTCCCCATACAACCGTCTCTCTAACTAGTGTAAAATGAGGTTCATGCGTCATTAAACCCAAGAGCATCAAATCTGCGTCACTCCCATACATACAATGACGTATATTGGCTTTATAGTTCTTTGTCATCTTACGATGACGTATAAACTCGACAATCTTGTGTTCTCCTTCTCCAGGCACTTCACTTCCACTAAAGTAAACCTCCAATCGGGCCCACAATGGGTCCGATTTCATCTTCTGACGGACAAAATAGACCAAATGCTGTGATAATTTACTCAAAAATTCCGTCCCCGGTGTGATACAGTTCGAGTCAAACTTGTTGGCCATTGACTTGGTTTTCTGGCCATTTTTCTCATCCTCAAGCTTAATCTGCATGTATTTTTCCTTTTCCATGGCCACTTGACGGTCCATTCCAGCGCGGAAACGGCGTGAACGCTGCTGATTGAGCTTCGCTCGTGGCGCGACGCCGTCAATTGCAATGTAGACGAGCTGTTTAGGCTTGATAGTGTGCGTGATGAGACGATCCAAGTAGGTGAAAATACCGTGGAGTTGTGCTTCAAGTGAGAGCAAACTGAGCGCGTCGTCGGCGGCATCCGTGTGTGTGCAGCTATGAACAATGCCATTCATGTCGAGGTAGAAGGCGTCAAACTCAGGTAAGAGTGATACGTCAGAGATGGGCTGATTAAGAAGAGGATATCGCTCTGACATGTAGCGATAGAAGCGTGGAATGCCCATGATGGAAGAGTTGAAGAATGGCACGTGTAGTGCTTAAGGAAGGAGGAGACACGTTAGTGCGGAAAAGGGGGAGTGATGGTAGTGAAATCGAGCAACATAAGCAAATGCTTAGCAACGTAAGTGAAATGTGCAACTCGAGATCAACACGAGTGATGGTCGTTTTGGTTGAAGTTTCACATGTCGCAAGGAACAGCTATTAGGTATAATGGCAACTGCACTGATGTCTGTGATAGCATGTAGAGGTAGAGCTAGCTAACTGTCCAGCTACACACGCTGTGCTGTAGTCTTACTAGCTGATATTGATTCTATCAGCAATAGAGGTACGAGAAGATGAGCCTTACGTCTTGATGAACAACCAGTAGAATCTTCTCTTGAGGTCTTCTAGTTGTGGTGGTCTTTGCAGACAGCATGAACGTTCACAGGCTTTTGAACCTCGTCAATCTTACACTGTACGTTCAACCAGCTCACCCTATTTGATTACCACAAGTACAGGATTAGCCTCATTCGATTGCTTTCCAGTACGTCATTTCACAAAAAAGATTCCCGTACCACTGCAACAATAGATCGTCATTTAGATTCAGTCCGGGACACGCTATCAACACGCTCAGGACACATAAATCTCCCTGTAGCAGCACGACATCATCTAGGTCCGTCATCACACACACTTGGGAGCTTAGAGCCACGATTGTTGGTGTTGAGTCTGTTCCCAAAGATGCAGCCGAAGGCTTCAAGGAAAAGGCGGCGTCGCTACTTTCCGAGACTGATGCTTTTGGTATCAACGTAATGGAATTGGTCACACGAACGCGATTGCAACTTAGATGCACGATGACATATATTTCCACCACTTGCATGACGTTAGATTTCGCATGACGTTAGATTTCCCATTCAACGCAATTGTCCTTGTTGCGTGTCCGTTCGAACGATGAGATAGCAAACCCCAGACGCCACTACCCTTTGACCGACCTGAAGCAAACAACTTCTTACCACGCTATAAAGCAGATACACATGTTGACAGCGTTAAGTATAATCCAGCAAAAATGAAACATGTAGAAGAGCCAATGTACCATAATTTTTCTGTGCAATCAGGAATCCGATTGATGTCGTGCCACTGCTGCCTTAGGGGGGGGGAGTTACTTGTGGAGATGTTCAAATGGATGCGGAATACTTACTTGTGGAGAAATACGCCATCGACTACGACATAAGTCTCCCCATAACTTCTCGCTACTTGCTGCGCGCTTTAGCTTGCAGGATGTGCGCATAACAGACATTAACGTCCAAGCGTCGCAGTACGATAGGAGAGTTAACATTGCATGTGCGCTCCACTTAAACACTGACGACTCGTTGCGAATCGAAGAGGATATAGCCAGCACTTCAGTAAGTTCAGCTACTGATGCTGCTGTCATTTTGACTTCCACGCTTTCCTCTCGTCCACGCTTCCGACTAGAGGTATCAGCAGGTCGAGCAGGTAGGTCACTACGCGTCAGTAGCATCCCCGCTGACGTAACTACCGAGCAAGGCATCCACACCATCGGTGCAAGCGGAAGCCTAGTAGTTCTCCACGAATGACCTCGAGAAGGCTTGTAAGGTAATAACATCGTATCACCTACGGCGGTACCACGAACAGAACCTACAAAATTGTGCTGTCCCATCGAGTGCGCCATTGCACTAGTCATCCGAGAAAGTTGATGAGGGTGGTGTACCAAGCTCGGCGTCTTTCCCATACCTGCTTGATAAGTTGGATGTATCCCTTGTTGCTGTCGAGGACCATGTCTTGTCTTTAGTTTACCAAGCTCCGCCGTCAGCTTTGCAATATGTTCAATCGTCTTTTCTAAACTCTTGGCTCGATTCAACTTACGGTCTTCTTTTAACTGCAAAATGTCCATCAGTTCTTGAAATCTTGAATTCACGTCTTTTCGATTGATCTTCGCACGCTTCTTTTTTTCTTTCATAGTTGGTCTCAAACTGCAATAGTCGCGACGAGCTCGAAGCTTCTGACGGCGTCGACGGAGACGATGACGACGAGTACACCATCATATCATCTTCTCTGTACGTTTTCTCCAGCGCATAAAAATCCGAGTCATTTAAATCACCTACATCGTCATAAGACTCGTCACTGCGAAGTCGTCGTGGCGCTGGAGTTGCTGGAAACTCGGCGTTTCCATCTGCTGTTGCCCATCAACGTCCTCCTGTAATAAATCATCCAGAAACGTCTATGGAGCATCCATTGATACACTACAAGCTGCTGTAGTAGGTGTCATGAAAGACGATAAGTCGTTAAGTTGCTCGTTTGCTGAAGTAATGGGCAGGAGCAAACTTTGCTGATTCGTTGTGGAAACTGTAGACGTCACGGCTAAGAACGCGTTAGACGTCACGGCTAAGAACGCGTTAGACGTCTCGTCATTTTTCAACGCTGAACAAAGCTTACCATCTCGTATAGTGAATGTATCAACACCTGGTATCATCAGCACAGACGCTAAAGCTCGCGCGCAGACAAGACCGAGCAAGTTGCGACAACAGCAATTGAGCGTTTTAGTCGAGCAATAATTTTATATGATTGGCTAATAATACCTTTTCACTTCTTGGTCTTTTAATTTGCTTAAATGCTAAATATCCATACAAAACCTGTCAAAAATTCAGAATTCAATTGAGCAACTTTAGCAGCTTATAAGACAATTTGAACGACACGAAATGTTTGCAACCATTGAGTATTACCAGTTATTTTCTACGCTACATTCTTCAAACTGCATGTCGACTTCTGTTGTCTACGTCTCGTACGGCACAAATGTTTTGCACACAAACGCTACTTTGCTAGACTCTTCACTTGTCCTTTGACTTGTCTGCGGTATCAGACTTGGCTTCTTTCGACTTCGACGGCGACTTCGACGACGACTTCGACGACGACTCTGACGTCTTGCTCTCCTTCTCCGCAGACTTGGTGTTGGCACTATCTGTAGACTCCGTAGTAGACTCCGTAGCAGACTCCTTCTTGCCAGCATTAGTATCGGCACCTCCTGATGCGGACTCATAGCCGGGGTAGCCATAGTAGCCATAGCCGTAGTCGTAGCTGGGATAGCCGTAGCCGTAACCAAAGGACGAGTAGTAGTCCGGGTAGTAGCCACCATAGCCAAAGTACCGCTACGATGAGTAGTAGTCCGGGTAATAGCCGCCGTATCCCTTTCCATAGCCCTTGCCATAGCTGTAGTAGTCGTTGTCGTATCCCTTGCCATAGCCTTTGCCATAGCCGTAGTAGTCGTTGTTATATCCCTTGCCATAGCCGTAGTAGTCGTTGTCATATCCCTTGCCATAGCTTTTGCCATAGCTGTAGTAGTCATTGCCGTAACCATACGAGTCTGGGTAGTAGCTGTTGTAGCCCTTGCCATAGCTGTAGTAGTCGTTGCCATGACCGTAGTAGTCATCACCGTAACCCTTATAGCCGACGCCATAGCCCTTGTAGTCATAGTCATCGTGGCCGTAGCTTTTGTAGCCGTAACTCTTGTAGTCGTAGTCATCATGCTTGTAGTCATCATGGCGATAATCATCATGACCATAGCTTTTGTGCTCATAGTCGTCTTTCTTGTAGTCATCCTTCTTGTAGTCATCCTTCTTGTAGTCATCCTTCTTGTAGTCATCGTAGCTGTAGTCCGAAGACTCAGCAGCCTTGGTTTCTTCAAGACGGCGACGGTAGTACGAGTGACCTTTGTCACCATGGTGATGCTTCTTGTGGTGGTCGTGCTTGTGCAAGTGATGTTTGTGGTCCTTGTACGAGCCAAGTTGACGACGAGAGGAGAGTCCACGAGCATCAGTGGCTTGCATGACAGAGGCGACGACGCACAGGCCTAGGCCAATGAGGACCTTGGAGTGCATCTTGTAGACGGAGTGACGAGTGTTGTTGTGTTGGGATGATCAGTTGATTGTTTGCTGTGTGGGGAGTTGAAAGCAAACCGAAAAGTGAGAGAGCATGAAGCGATCGAGCACACTCGGCGTTGCGGGGTTCTTGCTTCGGATGGGTATTGGTCTTTGAGTGATGTATTGTCATGGCTGTTGAAGTGATGCCTTAGCAGTCGTCAATCTAGTTTTTATGTCATTGTCAAGGTGATATGACGATTCTCTGATCAATTGATCATGGGATCGTCAAGAGAATCACAAATTTGACTTAACCACTGAAGCTGTTTCAATCGCAGTTCACTTTGCATCTTTGTTCTTGAACCACCTGAATCGTCAGCGGGTACACGAAAGAGAGTGACCATCACGCTTTCTCTTGAGGCATCGCTTCCGTGATCAATCAAGAGCTTTGTTTTCCATGCACGTTGTTAGTGCAAACAAGCATGTCAACGGGTTGGTTAAGCAACCTTCTTCATCTTGTAATGGCGACAGCAGCTACCAACTACAAGATTTATAATGTTAGCATTCGGTTTTGGTGTCATAATGAAGGAGCACTACGTGAAGAAACTTGACGATTACGACGACCATGATTGAAAGCGTTTGCGTCATAATGGCTACAGCAAGACCAGAATGACCCATCTAGCTTGTGCTCTTCAGCCATTACAACAGAACTGTGCTTGGGTCCATCTCGTCCCTGAGAACTTTCTAACGTGGTCGACGTGATCATGGCGGTGCTGCTGGTATTTTAATGCAATCTGCTTTGCATGCGCTACCTCTTTTCCGTCCTGGGGTTATTGATAGAAGATGCTCACGTTTATTGACTACTTCTGCTCCATGCCCAAGAAATGACCATACACATGGAAGATTACAAAAGTACCGCGAGTAACAACTTGTATGACCTACAGTCCAGACAAACTGCACAATGAAGTAGTACTTGATTGTTTACTCATTATGAATAGCCACAAGCGTTCTTACTCGTATCTCGATAGCCTCGGTCCATCTGATCGAATCATAAGCAGTCCTAGTATAAGTTCTCCTCAATGACTTTCATCTCTGACTAGCCAAATCTTAGCTACTCTTCTTACTGCCCGTTTTCTCTGCGCTGTCGGTCATGTTAGCAGCGTCAGCAGCAAACCGCAAAATGTCATGCTCCAAGTTCGCAAAAGGGAACTCGCTTAGTGGTTTCAGCGTAAAGAACTCATGGTACTTTCCATCTATGCCAAAGCACTCCCTGAACTGCGGAAAATTTTCTCCGCCCTCCGTACCGCTTATCTTGTGATCTAGAATCGGTGCTGTGCGCTTGTACTGCTGGATGTGGGTCCACATCATCCGGCTGTTGGTGTACGTGAGCTTTTCTGCGTTACGATGTAGAAAAATCACGTTTCCACTTGGGTCGTGTTGTACCATAGTCACGCCGCAGAACAGATCGCGGTCCTTATGCTTCGTGCCAGCGGAGCCAGGTGGGCGCTCAATCATGTGAAACGAGCTGCTAGACTTGAGCCACGAGAACCGAAACAAATCCTTGTCGCCCCACACAAGAATCAAATAGTCGTGAGGTCGAGGCTTTGAGAAACCGTAGTACATAAGCAGGTTCAACGCCTTGTAGTGCATCCGTCGATTGATCAGCACTTGACCACTTTCCTGCTCAAACGCGTTCGTATAATCCAGCCCAATAAACTCCCAAAGGTAGCTCTCCTTGTTCATATTAAAAATTGAATTGCCTGGTTTCCAAAAATCTGGCCAAAAGATCGCGCCTGTCTCCAAAAACTCCTGCGTCTCAAACAAATACTTAGGATCACGCACTGCAAAATTATCAGCGTCCAGCAGCAGCACATTGTCAAAGGCACTATAGAACAGCGCATAGAGTTTTGTAAAATAAGATGTGACCGACTCGTCCTCAATCACACGCAAGTATGCTTTATGCTCCGTCACCATAAGCTGCAAAAGCGGGTGCTCGACACTCATCTCCGACGGCTTGTACCAGACCTCAATCGGCAACGTGCAACCTAAAGTGCGCAACAAGCGCACACTCACATACGCTCCTAGCATCATTTTTTCGTAAACCACATATGCTATTCCCCGGTCAAATGACAGCTCTAGCTTTCCATGGCTCTCAATCGTCCTTTTTCCATCATCTCCAAGCAAGGTTGGTGTATCGGATAACTTATTGGTCGCGCGGAAGACCCCTTGATTATGTGTGTACGAAAAGTTCGGATCATGTTCATAGTCCATCGACAGAATACGATGACTCTGTAGACTTTGAAACAAATCACATTTAAACATCATGTAATCTTTTAACGAGTTGCAGTGCATTTCCATCACTCGTTTTACCTCCCCCGTGCGTGTATTGCGCACCTCACAATACCCTGAGCGCCCATTTGGAATCAATGCACTGCAGTTTTCATCATGTTCATACTCTCGTGTTCCCAACGGTGAACAATCTTTTGTTTCTCTCCATCCAATACACTCATAGTCCCTCAAATCTTCCAATTCTTTTCTTGTTACTTCATTTTTCGCCTTTGTCATGTTTATCGATGTAAACATTTGCGACATCTCATCGATTCGAAGCACCATCTCGTGTCTCTTTGCTGCTATAAACAGCTTTTTCTTGGTCATTTTTTCTTTGCTGTCATTTGCTTGAGTATCATTTAATATCTTCTCATTCTGTAGCATGCATCTTATGATCACAAGATATATCATACACAATACAAAAAGCGACAAAAAACAACGCCCAAAGCAGCTTCCTTGAACGTCTTCTAGTCATTAAGGCTTTCTTGTTCATCCATGAGACTTGATTGCTGCTATCATTGCTCTCGTTTGTTGACGAATTCTTCCGGTCTGGTTTACAATCTTCACTTGTTCTGCCTGCAAAGAAGGAGAAAGGTATCCTCCACCTACGCTGCTGGACGCCATGCCTTACCATCCCTACGATTCAAGCAGGAGAAAAAGGATTTGAGTTGCACAAAAAGAGAAGGATAAGTTGTATTCAAGCCAAACACGTCTGTGGCTTTATGTAGCCAAGACGTCACTTTTATTTGCAACCATTCTTCTTGATAGAAGAAACATCATTTACATAACGAGAAGGATGTTGTTATAGATGGATAGATACTATTAAACTCATAACGGCATATACTTTATTCATTCCAAGGCTTTTTATAACAGATATGGCAGTTGAATAGAGAGACGTATAGTTAGAAAATATATGACTGTATTTTATATATTGTAGTGTGAAAGTAATTATCTGTCTTCGTTCAATCATGCCAAGTCTAACAGCATGACAAAGAGCTCCAATGAGAAATGGCAATCAAGAAACCAATCTTTTACGCAGGCGTGGTAGGCTTATGCTCAGTGCAGCGACATGTATATTTCCTGTAGGACTTGTTCGGGTGTGCCATAAACTGGCAACTCGTAGATTGACATGTCCAAGTTCAAAAGCATGGTCGCTAGCGCACGATGCCTAGAACACCGCTCTCGTTTTCCTAATCGCTGGAACGTCATAAAACGTCGTTTTCGTTCTAGGTACCGCCAATAATGCGAACAAAACTGAAGACATACCATCTACGGCCTATGTAAAATCGACGGTGACTGTTGTGCCCAATGGGCGGGCTGAAGCAACTGTGGCTACTGCAACTGTGTGTTCACCTACCGCAGTTGCCTGGGGATGCTGCGGCATGCACTTTTCGCGCATGGCATTGGTCTGGTGTGGATGATGAACGGTTTGCTTATAAGCGCGTTTCGGCGCGGCTTTCGACAGTCACGGCGGTGAATATCAGGCCGAGCAGGGCACTGTTCGGCTTGTATTCCTTTAAAGCCTGCTTTAGCTAATAACCTTTCTAAATTGCTAACATAGTTGTGGTTTCAACTGCTTTTTTGCATTGCTATAACTAAATAACTGATAAAACAAATATGGTTTACTGATAACAAACTCCGATTCGTAAAAATTTCGTTCCAACAGGTCCTTCGGCGATGCTCTTTGACTGCCGCCAAGCGATGATGACACCATTAACGTCAAATATTTTGCGTAATCCAAGATTCACTTCACTTTAGCCAACCGTTTCTCTTCTCACAGCAGTAGTACTACTATCTATAGTGATGGATGGTTCGGGTGCAACATTTTTGATGTTCTTCTTCCCTTAGTGTTGGTGCAGAAATAAGACCGGTCACTTCGGTATCACAATTATGTAAAATTTGTATCAGACCACAGACTCAGTTAGAAATCAAAGCTGTAGTCTTAGTTGCATTAGTACTGCGTGTGTCTGTGGCGCTCTACCTGTTAGATAACTTTGGAGCCATCAGAGCCATAAACAACATTCTTACCATGACACCTCACATTAAATGCCCCTCACAATATCCATCTTCATGGTTGGTGGCTGCTGTGGGGTGTGGTCTTTATTAAGTTAGGCTAATGCACTCACCAATTATGCAACAGTACACAAAGCTCTTGATTGATTATTAGAAGCGATGCCTCAAGAGAAAGCGCGATGGTCGACTCTCTTTCGTGTACCCGCTGACGATTCAGGTGGTTCAAGAACAATGATGCAAAGTGAACTGCGATTGAAACAGCTTCAGTGGTTAAGTCAAATTTGTGATTCTCTTGACGATCCCATGATCAATTGATCAGAGAATCATCATATCACCTTGACAATGACATAAAAACTAGATTGACGACTGCTAGGGCATCACTTCAACAGCCATGACAATACATCACTCAAAGACCAATACCCATCCGAAGCAAGAACCCCGCAACGCCGAGTGTGCTCGATCGCTTCATGCTCTCTCACTTTTCGGTTTGCTTTCAACTCCCCACACAGCAAACAATCAACTGATCATCCCAACACAACAACACTCGTCACTCCGTCTACAAGATGCACTCCAAGGTCCTCATTGGCCTAGGCCTGTGCGTCGTCGCCTCTGTCATGCAAGCCACTGATGCTCGTGGTACTCTCCTCTCGTCGTCAACTTGGCTCGTACAAGGACCACAAACATCACTTGCACAAGCACGACCACCACAAGAAGCATCACCATGGTGACAAAGGTCACTCGTACTACCGTCGCCGTCTTGAAGAAACCAAGGCTGCTGAGTCTTCGGACTACAGCTACGATGACTACAAGAAGGATGACTACAAGAAGGATGACTACAAGAAGGATGACTACAAGAAAGACGACTATGAGCACAAGAGCTATGGTCATGATGACTACAAGCATGATGACTACGACTACAAGAGTTACGGCTACAAAAGCTACGGCCACGATGACTATGACTACAAGGGCTATGGCGTCGGCTATAAAGGCTACGGTGATGACTACTACGGTCATGGCAACGACTACTACAGCTATGGCAAGGGCTACAACAGCTACTACCCAGACTCGTATGGTTACGGCAATGACTACTACAGCTATGGCAAAAGCTATGGCAAAAGATCAAGGGATATGACAACGACTACTACGGCTATGGCAAAGGCTATGGCAAGGGATACGACAACGACTACTACGGCTATGGCAAAGGCTATGGCAAGGGATACGACAACGACTACTACGGCTATGGCAAGGGATACGACAACGACTACTACAACTATGGCAAGGGCTATGGAAAGGGATACGGCGGCTATTACCCGGACTACTACTCATCGTACGGCGGTGACTTTGGCTATGGTGGCTACTACCCGGACTACTACTCGTCCTTTGGTTACGGCTACGGCTATCCCAGCTACGACTACGGCTATGGCTACTATGGCTACCCCGGCTATGAGTCCGCATCAGGAGGTGCCGATACTAATGCTGGCAAGAAGGAGTCTGCTACGGAGTCTACTACGGAGTCTACAGATAGTGCCAACACCAAGTCTGCGGAGAAGGAGAGCAAGACGTCAGAGTCGTCGTCGAAGTTGTCGTCGAAGTCGCCGTCGAAGTCGAAAGAAGCCAAGTCTGATACCGCAGACAAGTCAAAGGACAAGTGAAGAGTCTAGCAAGGTAGCGTTTGTGTGCAAAACATTTGTGCCGTACGAGACGTAGACAACAGAAGTCGACATGCAGTTTGAAGAATGTAGCGTAGAAAATAACTGGTGATTCGAGCAATAGGAAGCCATTGGATGTTCATGTATTTTCAACAAGCTTAGTGTGGTTTATTCACATTCCTATTGTATGTACAGCGCAGACTTTGCATGAATCGGTCCATTTAGCCGAGACATGAATGCAAATAAAGAAAGCTTGACTACACTATTAAAAAGCATAAGGTATGGCTCACTTTGTCTTGTGTGTGGAACCCTAAATGTATGAGAAAAATACATGGATGTTAATGTTTGGCTCACAATGCGACGTTGTTCGAGCTTTATTGCGTATACATAGTGATTACGTCGCCATTTAAAATGTAATGTTGACGATGTTAGAATTTAACTAAATAGCTCTGCCATGTCAAATTTATAATTTGTATTGTGATAATTGCCGCAAAGTAGTAATAAACTGTTTACTTTTGCAAAAATATCGGAGTCGTAGCTTAACATTTCAGTTTCATATAAATTGTAATTACGTATTTAATCGAAGATATTGAACTCTGACTGGCAAGAAAAAGAGCAAATGTACACCTTTGGACCCTATTGTAACAAGATGGCTACATTACACTACCAGCTTAGCTACTCATTATTCCTCGAATTATCCCGCAGTACGCTCACATGTCCATTGCGCTAGAAGACGATTACGACGCGTTTATGGCTGCGCTCTGTTTTGTAGATGAGTTTATGAATACGGAGACGAATACGGCGTCATTTTCCATTGCATACGAAGGATTTCCAGCCGTTAATTCCATTGGATCGAATGATAACAAATTGACACACAACAGCACGGCGGCTGCCACGTTCTTGATACAACAAGATAAAACAAATACGGGCGAAGCAATACGATGCAATACCATAAGTAAAAAAAGAGTGAAAGGGTGTCAAATGTCGCGGAACAGTACACGAAATCGAGCACGGGATCAGGAACGACGAGAACTTTTATACTTGAGAGAAAAGGTGACAGACATGCAACAGAAGCTACAGACACTTGAGAGACTGCGTCTTCCTTCTGCACTAATTACTACAGGAAGACATGTACAAAATGATACAAGAGTCGATCAGGACGAGGAGGAGGGTGACACTATATCGGAAGTGTGGAAGGAAATGGCTAGTCATCAACTTGAACAGAGACTCAAGTCTGAGAGAGAGAATCGACATTTAAAAATGGTCTTGGAAGGACAAATGAGAATTGCCAAGAGTCTTGAAAAGCTACTTCAGACTAGAGCTACAACGACTGTATGTCGTACAATGTAGACGACATGGAGATACAAGTTGTCGTGTCTGACATTTTTTATTGTCTTGTGGTTTGTTGTAGGCTCTTGAAAGCTACTTGGGTACTGTTCAGAAATTAAAGAGGATGCACGTATCGACGCCAAATCGGTCGGATGATAATGTTTTCAAGGAACTCATGATGGGCATTGACTCAGCTTATGAAGAGGTTGACGATGTGTTTCATGACACCGGGTTAGACTCCAAGGAGTCGTCGTTTAGTGATGCTGAGATGCATGAAGCAGCTGATGGCGTCTACATGAAGATATTTGCCAGTAAGGTATTACCGTTTGATGTGACTTCAACAGGAACGGCTGCATGGCGATATTTTTCGCGGTCAATGGAGCACATGCCGTTTCGATTTCTGTATCACAAGGATCTTCAAGTGAGTTTGGTGAGGTTGTCTAAACTTACTGGCCAGCTCTGACATCGCTTCGGCATGTTTATTTTTTCGAACTGATTTGTGATACAGAATATGGAAACGACAGACAACACTATTATCGAAAGCTTTGGTATGGAGCTGCATGCGAAAGGCACGCAAGCGGATTACCGCGTAAAACAAATTGTGCGTCGATATGTTGAAGAAGATCGTGTAGTGATTGTCTGGCGATCGTATATCGATCCAGTGAGTTTTGCAGGTAATGCGGTGTGTGGAGCCGAGTTCCAAGAGAAGGGCTACCTTGTAGTGCGTCGACCACGCGCTATGCCTCCTCACTTTGCTTTGCTACAAACGTGCTACTTAATTTCTCCTGCACTTCCCATTCGCTCTTTATCGGATGAGCGCGCTGTTACAGGTGAGCTTACGGATTTTGTATTGAGTGGCACTGAGGCCAATGTTGCTTCATGTCATCAGATGATAGAGAATATTCTGTTCAATGAGGCTCTGAAAGCTAATCGTCAAACGTAGGGACAACGTTGTCATTTTACTTAAGTAGATCGATGTACTCGACCGAGATAGTGTAGACATTACGCGGATTTCATACAATGTATGCAAACTAGATTAGAAACCGAGAAGGAAAAAGCTCTCGCTATGTCAATTACACCGTCTTGTCAAAGGCATGATCATCCAAAACATACCGAATGGATCACATCATGATCGCAGTGCTTATAGATGCAGCAACAAGCTTATTAAGCCAAGCAATGGCTTCATCCAAGAGCGTCTGACCGTTGTTTTTCGCCAAGCCTATAACTTCCTCGCATTGTTGATGCCAGCCGTGCTTCATCAAGCTTGTTTACATCCCGAGCGCAACTGAGCACTGTCACCTTTTTTTTAAATAACCCAAAACTTTGTTTGCACTTCACAATACCATACAAGCCTTGCTACTTGCTGCGAGGCGAAGCTGACAGCAGTCTGCGACAATAGAGTTGACAATCATGAACGTGGCGGCCACATGTACCACAGCAATCGCTTTGACTAATCTTTCAAAAATAAAGGCGCTTCAATAGCACCAAGAAATACGTTAGGACGATACAAGATAACATCTTCAAACTGATAGGAAAGTTCTCGTCACTGTAAACAATGACAACTGCCTGATGCATTCAGCATCTTATCGATTCCGAAGTGGAGGAGTAGCACGCACATTTTCCGCATTAAATTGAGCCAGTATCTTGGCTTTGCTTTGTGCAAATGCAGCATACACGTCTGCTTCAAAGCATACGATTGCAATTCTTGCCTTCCAGTCTGTGGAACGCATGTAGCGTTGAATGGCACACAGTCCAAACCACGCCGCTTTATCAACTGGCATGCCCATGTTCCCTGTAGAAATGGACGCCATAGCCACACAGCTTAGATTTTCGGTCTGAATGCAGCGTAACACACTTCGGTACGTTTGCTGTAGATCTCTCAAACAGTGCGGATTGAATCCACTCGGACCAACACAGTGAATGAGCTTAGCGACACCTGCATCGAAGCCTGGCGTAACATACACCTGTCCAACATCAAGCCGGACGTTTAGTGTTCGAACATGCTCATTTAGACCTTCTCCTGCTCGCCGGAAAATCACTGACGCGACACCAGAATGAGGATTTCTCATAAATGCTGCTGTTGGAAAAGCCAATCCATCCAATTTTTGTTTCCCAACCATCTCTATATCTCCAATATCTCCTCTTATTATCTGCACAAGTGCATTAAACTGGACCAATTGCTCTGCAGATCGTAAGAAATCCTTAAGATCGGGGCAAGCTGCATCCAACAATTTCTGACTTGGTATATCGGCAAGCCACGTCACAGGTGTTATCTGCACAATCTCATTCGTGTTTTCAGTGTTCATTTCTTGCACTTGTGCTGGTGCAGTAGTACTACTATTTCCTGTTCGAGAATGAGGAGGAGGAACAACCGTTCCATCTCCATTATCATCATCATCACCATCTCCATTTTCTACATCTTCTTCCAGTAACGAATCATTCTCTTCCACGTCCATATCACCTTCTAACATTTCGAAAAGATCACGTTCATTATCTGGATTTTCTTCTTCTTCCTGTAGCTCTTCTTCATCGCTTTCAATATCATCATCATCGTCTTCTTCTTCTCCATCCCCATCTTCCTCATTCTCATCATCGTTTAGCTGCTCATTAGGCGGTAAGCTTCCAGCAAAATGCGTCATCAGAAGCTCTTTCCATAGTGTCTCATGAGTCAAAATAGCTTGCCACGTCTCATCTAGTACTAAAACTTCAAGAAAACTCGCCAACGACGTCATGTCTAACATGACAAGAAGCCCTCGTACTAACATTTCAACATCAAAGATACGACCAATTGGACAAGAAGGAGATGTAGAATCTTGTATACAATGACGCTTTGTTATAGGCGCATTGGTAGATGCTATATCCGTCGAAGATCTCTTGATCTTGTCGTCCTTTGGTGTCGCCATAGTGTCTGTTTTGGATACGTAGAAGAATTTGTCAGAGGAAGATTTGATTGGATAGAAATAGAGGATACATATCTGCAAGAATTAAATGACACAGGTTATTTGTTGTATGAAGTAATATAATGTATCACAGTCATTTTCAAATGTAGTCATGTAGTGTTAATGCATCTTAATCAGTTTATTGGTCCGGAACCTGTGCTCTGTAATATCTAATACTCTAGTCATACTTATCAAGCACAAACAGCACAAATAAGGTTCTAGTACCTTGTATTCCTTATACCCCTTCCTAAACGGATTCATATCACATCCCATCCATCTCCTACCACTCTCTCCTGACCTTTTAAAAGGATGCGTTGCTAACGTCCGTTCGTCGTCGTATCTCGTTCCTTGGATATCATGCCTGGGTCTCATTCCCATCGCCAATTAGGCATTGTATCCGTAGCACTTATTACATACTTTAATGTCAGTGGTGGACCATGGGGAAGTGAACCTGTTTTAGCTTCTTGTGGCCCATTTGTTGGTATCTTAGCTGTGATAATATTCCCCTGGATATGGTGTTTACCATTAGCATTAACATTTGCTGAACTCTTTACGGCATTTCCAACGGATGGTAGTTTTTGTAAATGGGTCGGTGTTGCATTTGGTCGACCCATGGGTTTTCAAGTCGGTTATTGGTCCTGGACATCTGGCGTTATTGATAACGCCATCTATCCATGTTTAATCGTGGATACATTACTGGCTCTTTTTATTGTTGATGTGGAAGAAAAAGATACAGTTCATTCAACTACGAATGGTGTCGCTTGGAGTATCTTTTACATTGCGTGCAATATTTGCAGTGTTATTTATGCTACTGACACTAAATAGTATTAAAATGGTTGGACAGACACTCTTAATCCTTGGGGTTCTGATCTTTTTACCCTTTGCAGTATTAGTTGCATATGCAATACCACTGATTAAACCAAGAAATTGGTTTGTTCTTCGGAAAAATGTACGTACATAGTGGTCAATGGTTTTTTCGAGGCTTTGTTGACTTTGTCTCGGTGACTAGCATATGGTGTTGTTCACTCATTGTTGTAATCTTCAGCGTGATTGGGGACGGTTGTTGAGTTCTTTGTATTGGAATTATAGTGGCTTTGATGCGGCGGGAGCGTATGCGGGTGAAATCCAATCTCCAAAGACTACGTATCCGAAAGCGATGGTGCTGACGGTCGTGATGATTGCGTTTACGTATGGATATAGTTACATAGTTGAAAGTGTCGTGATCAGAAGGAGTTTTAATGATTGGAATATGTTGTATTGGATTGGTGTGTTGATTGCTAGGTACATTATCCCATTTATTGCTATTTCAGGTGCGGATATGCCGCATTACACGACATGGGACGATGGATCGTATTCGATTATTGCACACGAAATTGGTGGAACATGGCTTTGCATTTGGGTTCTGATTTCGTCAGTGTTTGGAAACCTTGGACTTTACGTCGCTGAAATGGCCAAGGATGGATTTCAGCTTGCAGGCATGGCTGACTCAGGCTTGGCCCCACCATACTTTGCTCAGTATGTGTTTCAAGCTTATTTCGCGCCAAAAACGATTGTCTCGCTAACCTTACTCTGTTGTGCATTGTTGCTATCAGACGCGATCCTGACACAGGCGTACCACGGCGTGCCATCCTGTTGGCGTTCGTCATTATTGTGTTCATGGGCATGTTTGACTTTGATACGATTTTGGGGGTTGACAACTTTTTGTCGGCGCTGTCGTCGCTCGTTGAGATGAGTGCCGCTGTGCGTATGCGCTTTTCACATCCTGAAATTGAACGGCCATACCGTGTGAACCTGTCAGATCGTTCGCTGGTGGTGGCTATGATACTGCCATTTACGCTAGGAATCTTCATTATAGTGAACGAATTGACCAAATCCTGGACCAGCTTGTCGCTCAACGTGGTTGCACTTCTATTCGGTTACCTCGTTCAGAAGTATATTGAACAGTATCCCTACCACAACTATTCAAAGATTATCGGAGGTCCACTGCAACTGACTGATCTCTCTGACGAACTCTAGCTTCTCTTTCGTCCTCTATTGATGGACAATTAAACGGAGATTTTGTTTTGTTGGCTTAGTGCGTACTCGTTTGCTAGCATTTGGATTGACGTTATGTTCCAGACAACAGATAAGCAACAAGTATCGAATCCAACAAGTATCAAATCCAGATAAGCAACAAGTATCGAATCCGGTGTATTTGAGCCGACGTTACTCGCTCAAAGTAACATCACGTGTTTTGCTTCCATGCATATTATATTATCGGCTAGCAGGCGCAGCTCCGTTAGTATGTAGTGGTATGTCTGACTTGCATTCGACCGGTCACTCCGTATTTAAAATGTCGACTAATCGAGCACCCATAAGCTGTTACGGACTACTGTTGTGTGTCTGCTCTTTCTCAAAAGGGTGCAATTTGGCTACAAAAATCCGGTCAATAAACAACGCCAAGTTGGACTTGTAAATGCAATGCTTGTAGCTGCCCTCCTCAGCAAAACTTTCAACCGGTGTGTGGCGACTTCGTGTGATTCTCGACGTGCCACCGCAAGAGGTACATAATCATGGTTCGCTTAGCTAGTGGTACTCGTGCTACGGTATTCAAGGTCGCTCTGGACCTAAATGTGAAGTTCTTGGACTTTAGTAGCGTGGAACGCTGTTTGATCTTAGACCTGGGTGCAAGGTATGACCTCATTCTAGGCATGATATGGCTTGAACGCCATGAGCCATGGATGGACTGAAAATTGAAAACCTTAAGCGCAATGCGCAATGCTCCTGGTGGTGCTCTGGAAAGTCATGAACCCACCTGTGCTAGGAAGCAAAAGCGCGACGATATTGAACGAGTCGGTCAATACGTTGGATGTCGGGTTATCCGACTTTGTAGATGTTGTTAGCGAGGCCCAACGACTGTCGATAGCGTGGTTGAGAACCCACTAGATGGCACATGTGACATGTGTCATGAGAATGATGTTACATCATTAAACACCGTGAGTGGTGTTGGTGGCTGCAAGCCAAGATGTCAGGACAAGAGTCCGGGTGACATAGGTGACGAGGTAAAGACCCCGGAAGGTCGGGTAAAGTCGCAAATGGATGTTGTCTTTGAGGACAACGCGATGCAAGCACGTCACGACGAGGTACTGGCACAAGAGGGTCAGGTGAAGTCAAAAATGACGGTTGTGATATAATAACAACGAGGTGCAAGCGCCTCATGATGAGGCATTGGCCTAGAAAGATAGGATGAAGTCTGTAAACGGTGGTAGGTGACCTTGAGGTGTTTACACCTGCGGATGATGTTGCGTGGGATGCTGAGAGCATCAAGAGTAGCGATGATAACATTGTGAGAACGGTGATAGCGAACGCTATAACACTAGCCCATGATTTGTTTGACGATATAGTACAGTTTCTGACCTTTGCGCCTTAACCCAGGGTAAATTCTCTGTCAGAGCTGGACAAGTTGTTCTTTGCCGAGTTTGACAGTGCCTTACAGGCAGGCAACGTCACCGAAGTGGTCGTTATACGACCTGAAGAGGAGTCAAACTCCTCGCTTTTGGATAAATCAGTTCTTGAAGATTTTAAGAAGGCGCTGCATGCGAGAAGTTGATCACAGGTCCTGAAGAACCTATCGGATCCATACTTTTGTTTGTTGAAGAAGTGTGGCGAAGTCATTTCTAAAGAACATCTTACGACGTTACATAAGTGTACGTCATGAGATTGAATTAGTTCCAGGAGCCACACACTCCGTGACGCGACAGTTGCCTCTGCCAGGTCACCAGACGATCGAACGTAGCAGGTGCATTGGACAGTCATTGTAACATTACTAGACGCTTCTAGAGAATACCACTCTAAGTGCCGACCGCTGTGAGTGGGATATCACAAGCTCGCATGAGCAGTTGGTAATATTTATCGACTAAGTAGAAGGCACTGTAAATTTTTTGTCCCATCATATTGTGCTGACGAACATCTCTGCAAGGAATCGATGTTGTAGCCGAAATAGTTGCTGCATTTTATTGTTTATAAGCATGCACTACTCGCAACTTTCCCTTAGGCTTTTTTACACAAAACGTGGAAGTAGAGTCAGGAGACTTAAACAAACACACCATGCCAGCCGCGTGCTTTTTCACTAAAGGACTCTTCAATGACGTCACGTTGTTCTCGCATTTGTTTCGACCCGTATGCACATACATACTTTAACGATATATTCGTCCATAGTCGAGCCGAAAATGGCAAGGCTGATGTGGAGAGCCACATCAAGCACCTGCGAGCTGTGCTCGGTTGCATACGGATGCATAAGTTATATGCCAATATTGAAAAAATCATGTTCGGTGCGGAAGAGATTCCCTTTTTGGGATGCTTCATTGGAAAACAAGGAATCCGAGCAGACCCTGTTAAGGCCAAAGCCATAGTGGATTGGCCGGTTCCGAGAAGCTAGACGGACCTTCGCAAGTAGTTGGGTTGGCAAATTACTTGCATAAGTATAGCCACAACTATGCGGAAGCGGCAAGGCCATTATTTAATCTCCTGAAAAAGGATGTGGAATGGTTTTGGAACACCGAGCACCACGAGGCTTTTGAAGCCATTAAGGAGAGTATACTTCAGGCGCCAATTCTGGCTCTACCTGATCCTGATCGCCCGTTTAGCGTCGTATGTGACGCTTCGGACTTACCATTGGCAGTGCACTCTTGCAAGTTGACGCTGAGGGTCGAGAACGCATCATCGCGTTTGATTCTCGCCAGGTGAAAGCTGCAGAGAAGAACTATTCAGTTCATGACAAGGAGCTACATGCGATGAAGCATGCCCTTGTTAAGTTCAGGGTTCACCTGTTGGGCTCAAAGCCGTTTTTGATCGATACCGATCATGCGTCGTTACGCGCAGCGACACAATCGCCTCATCTTGCGCAGAGAATGGCTCTTTGGCTCTCCTTTTTCGCGGAGTATGAACTTCGAAGTGAAGTATAAGCTGGGAAAACAGAATGTTTTGGCTAACGCGTTATCGCGTCGACCTGACTATGAGCTTTCTCATCTCACTGTTGTGAGCTCGTCAGGAACGGATCGTATCCGTGTGGCATACGCACGCGATGAGGCATGTGTTGCCATTCTGCAGGCGCTGGGTAGCGCAGAGTTTGAAACCTCTTAGGTGAAATTGTCACCACGTAATCGTGCGAGATTACATTGTTATGCACTGACCACTTCGTTTACTGACTGCACCTCACCCTCTTGGGTCAATGCGTTGTCATGAGGTGCTTGCATCTCGTTGTCCTCAAAGACAGTCGTAATTTTTGACTTCTCCCGACCCTCTTGGGCCAGTACCTCGTCACTAGGTGCTTGCACCTCGTTATCCTCAAAGATAACATCCATTACCCTGTACTATAGTACAACAGACCATTCGCTCGGATGATCTGTTGTACTATAGTACAGGGTTGGATGACCAGCCTCGTGTTGTGGTGCCTCATGATGAGAACCTCAAGTATCAGATCCCTTTATGAGGCTCATGATACACCACCTGGCGGTCATTTAGGTCGTGAAAAGACCTAAAGCTCGGTGAGCATTCATTATTGGCGCCCAAGTTGTACGAAATGGGTTGGTACCTACGTACGCACGTGTGAAACGTGTCAAAGGGTGAAACACTTGCCTAGTGTGGCTGCGCCTTTGGCAAGTTTGCCTGTACCCTCGGGGGGGGGGGTAGCAGTCCATCAGTATGGACTTTGTGTTTTGTCTACCGCGTGATGCGGCAGGCAACACTGGGATTGTGGTCTTTGTTGACCGACTGAGCAAGATGGCTCACTTAGCGCAGTGCCGGACTCCGTTGATGGAGAAGGAACAGCTAAGCTGTTCATGGATCGTGTGTTTCGACAACACGGATTGCCTGTGGCAATCGTCTCGGATAGAGACCCCCGTTTACGGGTAAGTTTTGGACGTCCGTCTTTAAAGTGCTGGGCACTCGACATGACCACGGCGGATCACCCGCAGACCGATGGTCAGACTGAACGCGTCAATTGCGTTATTGGCGATATGTTTCGCAGTGTTTGTGCTGAAACACCCAAGCAATGGAGCGCGATTCTCCCTCTCATAGAGTTTGTGTTGAACAACGCGGTGCATGCCTCGACAGGCTTCACCCCATTCTATGTGAATGGTTTGGTCAATCCTCGCGTTCTTCTAACGCTACCCTCTACCACATCAGGGCTTAGTGGGGGGAGAGATAGCCGAAGGCTTGGCTGACATTATCTCTGTTGCGATTCGCAAGAAGATGGAAGCGTTTCGGTCAACGCGTTTTGACGTATTACGTCGCGTCAAAGACGCTATGGCTGAAAGCCAGGATGTTCAAAAGGAACAAGCAGATTACAAAGGCAGAAAGAACGAACACGAATTCAACGTGGGAGATTTGGTTTTATATGCTAGGAGTTTAGCTGCTCGCGTAGTGTCCGCGGTATATAAAATCAAACTACGTTTACGCTTTATTGGACCTTTGAAGTTCATAAGCAAGAAGTCTTAGGCTATGCGCTTAACCTTCCGAAGAAGATTCAAACACACCCTGTGTTCTATATTAACTTACGCAAGCGATATCTCAACCTAGCCTCAGTGGACTTCGAAGGATTGTCCCCATACCCGCTGCCGAAGTAGGCGAAAAATACTTTTGATGGAGGTGTATACGGGACCATGAGATATATGTGATACCAAAGCTTTTTGAAAGAACGCTAAAATCGATGCTAAGCAATCAGGGGTCTCTGAGAGATAACGCTTGAAAGAGCGACGCTGTGATCGACACGATCCTCAACCAACGTTACGCAAGACTCCATAAAACCCAAAGCATCATTTTTTAGAGTCGAAACCGACGACGGAACTCAGAGAGATCCTGACAATTAATGTCACGAGGGCATGGTGGGTCATCGACCTCTGCCAACGTTGATTACGCGAAGGGTCAGCTAGAATATCGTGTTGAGTGTGTAAGGGGGTAGTATCATTACACGCCATAACAAGTACGATATGGCTATAATAACGGTCCCATTATTATGCATAATTAGGTAGAGAATA